CCGCAAACTTCTACAACTTACAACGTTTACATTGTTCAGAAAACACTCTGACGAATAAGATTCTCTTGACGCAAAATTGACGAAAATGAAAAAAAAATATGAGTAATGATTTATTTGTATATCAACGTCAGCTGACGAATGTATCAAATGGCTGTATTCGCCTCAATCGTACTCACCCTTTTTTGGAAGGAACGTCTCCACAAGCCATAGCAACTTAACCCATTTGATTTTGAATATTTTCGTCAATATTAACCCATGAAGAAAAGAAGAAAAACATACATACAGATGTGTAGGCTGTTAATTGGCCTTTACTATTGTGGCCAACACCCTGCTATGGATAAAACTTATGATTGGCTTCACCGCATGGTTTTCTAGTATTAGCAATTTGTTTGTGCATGTGAATGCTAAGAACAGACAGCAGACTAGCTGGAATCTTAGTATGCATTTTTTTATTTGTTTCGGTTTTGTGAACCTGTTCTTCATGTGAGAAATCATGCTGAGTAAATGCTGATCTGGAAATCGAAAGTATGAAAAGCATTCATTTATTCATGTAAAGTTCGTTGCAAGCAGTATTGACTATAATTACATAATCTACGATGAAGTGTCATCGTTGTAAGGAGGATAAATTGTCCGAAGAATTCCCGTACTATGCTCCCAGCGAGAGTTGTGAACACGCTCTTCTACACTGCCTTGAGGTAAGTATCAAATAGAGAAAATACGGTTTTATTTGTCAAGCAGACATCATAAATGATCATCAGTTCATACAGACTGAGCCAAAGTCTGTGCGGGATTGTAGCATCAATATATATAACTATAAATACACTAAATACGATAACCATTAATTGACATAAAGTTTTTTTTCAGTGCGTGACTAACGAAATCCGACAGTCCAACTCATGCTCTCAGTGTGAATCGAAAGTTGAGATAGGCAGTCATCGCTACGTGGAGTACATGAATGCTTTGGAATTTTTGTTTCCGAAAGTTCAAAATGTCATTTCGCAAGCCGGGCCTGGTAGCGAGTCATTCATAAAGGTGACAAATCTTGCAGGAGAATGTATAAACGAGATGTACCAACCAAATTTGACTATCAAAGCTCTCGAAGAAAAGGTGGAGAGGGAAATGCATATACCCTGTGAACAGCAGATGTTACTGTATAGCGGTGTCCAATTGAAGGTAAAGTACACAACTGCAAAAAATATTCACGTTGGCCAGGCCTGTGATATTATTCCATCTTAATATTATTCTTGATATTATTCCATATTAATATAATCTTCGTGTATTGGCCTAAATCTACTCACGCGATTGGTCAAAATCAATCACGTGGTTTCTCTGGCGACAGATCATGGGATTGATGGGAACAGTGAGATGGGAATAATAATTTATGTTATTGAAAATCGTGGTTTATTCGCAATCATAACCCATTAAAATCATGGTTTATTCAAAAATGACAGCCTGCAACGAAGTTTAGATCTTCAATGTAGCAATCAATGAACTCAGATTATATATGTTAAAAGTGTTAGAGACTTTATGTTCGTGTTTTGTTTACAAATAAAGGCACTTACTGACCATACAATGAATTCGAAATTTCAATATAAATTTCAAATTTCACGGCCTCGTGCTATATTGAAATTTCTCGTTCATTGTATGGTCAGCGCGTGCGTTTATTTGTGAACAAAACACTCACAACAGTCTCTAACCCCTAATAGAAACCCTATCTGGTGTTTTTATATTTTGCCAAAAACAAACTTTTTATTCTTAACACATGAAACAACTTGTAACTGATGATAGTGATGTCCGGCTATGTTTTACGAATAAAATCGATCCTACATAACTATCATCGCTTGTAAATGATATATGTCTAGTGGCTAACTGGAGGCTTTTTTATAGACAATACTCAATGGTAAAAAACTGACGCTCGCAGACAACAAAGTTGAACCCAATAGCACAATACGCCTTTTGGTTTGCCTTTTCGAAGTACCAGCCGAGCTTGACAATGTTATTTTTATGCTTTCTTGGGGTTTTCCTGTAGCCGGCGAAGACTATTTGGATGCCACAGTCTTTCTTTTCGAGGGTGAAAATTTCAAGGAATGTATTGACTATAAAGAACGCGATAGCAAATATGGTAAAATTAAACATACGGGTGATATAATTGATAAAAGCAACAAAACCGGACACCATAGGATAAATGTATCAATCAAGTCGCTTTCCCAAGAGATTGATAAAGTAGTGTTTACATTGAGTTCTTATAATTCACCCAACATCTCGAAATTTAAAAATCCAAGCCTTAAATTTTTTGATCAGAAGAAGCCAACGCAACAATTATGCAGTGATGAAATGAAGGAAGCTGCTGACTCTCAGGCCATTATTATGTGCTCTTTGACAAAAAGCGACGGACATTGGAAAGTATTCAGTCATAAAGAAAAATCAAACGGCAATGCGAGGGACTATACTCTGTTAAAAGAGACAATTAAACGTCTAATATGCTCAGGTCACATATAGAACATAAAATCGCAAACACTAGCATAGCACATGAAAGTTATATATCTTGTTCCTAAACGAATTTGTTGGAGACAAAAGAGAGCAATCACAAAGGAAGAGAAAGAATGAGTATAATTCCGCACGCAAACACATAACCACATATAGCATATGGTATATAGGCGTTAGGACCACACCAAGGCCACATCCACTTCCCCTATAATGATCGCACCCATTCCTGATGTTTGACGTAACAGTTTAGCTTATTGTTTCCACTTCGTCGTTGCTTTTCGCTACCACGACAAGTGGCTGATTCAAAAGAGTGTCATCAGTACATCTCTACGGTCAGTAAAGCCTGACGCGCATTCCCGCACAAAAGACAAAGATAAATTTAGACTATTTAACATCGACTCCTTGCCGTCACTGTAGCAACAAGTAACAACCAAATAACATTAAGATATCAATTAGGTTGGCATATACTACATATCAAACTTAATTAATACAAATGCCTAATACCCATTTTGTGAGGCTCATATTTCACCGAATTAGCTGCGAAATGTCGGTAAATTTTGCGGTTTTTTGCTTCTTGCTCTTTGTGTGAACAAGTTGGAAAAAACTTCCCGAGATATATGAAAATTAGTCATATAAGCTTTATTTTGAATTACTTCTCGTGGTGAATAGACGTAATTACCGCTCGTCATTTTCGAGTTGAAATGAGACTGTGAAGCGATATTTTATTAGGACTTTGTACAGTGCGCGCGTCAATGGGTTGGGGGATTGAGCCATAGTTCGAAATACGCATGCTCTGCGCGGTAGTTACCACCAAATTTGAATAGCTCGAAAGAAAAGCTACATTTTGATACGAAATTCGTCGTGATTCGAGGCATTTTAGGCCTGTCAAAATGCGAGTCAATTTACTAAAGTTGGTATTTAGTTTGCTGTTGATATCCAGCATTGCCATAGATGTAGCTCAGGCTGGAAACTATGAATTATGCCCATGCATGAGACGTTGCCGGCCTTAGCATATCACGTTAGCATGTAAGTGTATAAAATTATGAATATTTTTAAATGACTTGAATATTTTTTATCAATTCACATCAAAATTCCCAATAGATCTTTGTTATTTCGGTTTATCGTTGTGTTAATAGGGGTATATAATTTATTCGTCGACGCGTGAGACTAAGCGGCAAGATTCCGCTGCTACTATAGCCTGCCTTTGTTGTGAATACGCACTAGATTTATGTCTTTGTCGACTTTTTGTACCTCAATGTCATATAACGCATTATCCTTCTTTTTTTTGGCTGGCTTTGGACCAGATATCGTAGTGGATTCAAAGCAAAACAATCTGGTGCTTGACGCACACGCGTCTTTCCGGCATATTGCGCGTACACAATTTGAGCTAAAGGGCCTGAACCCGAACTTCAGCAAATGTTCATTTACATATGGTGAAAGTTTGATTTTCTGTGCTCACGATTACGCCTAAAATTTGTCGGGGTATATATATATATATATATATATATATATATATATATATATATATATATATATATATATATATATATATATATATATATATAATATATAATATATATTATATATATATATATATATATATATAGTAATCGCCTGATGATCGTACACGTAAGTAATCGCCTGATGATCGTACACGGTAGAAGTACGTGAAACACAGTGTAGCGAAATAAAATTTTAAAAAATTTTAAGATTGTAATTTGTTGATATATATATATATATATATATATATATATATATATATTAATATATATCAGTAAATAGATGTTAATATTAAGGTCTGGATGAATTGGATAATTTAACTAAAAGAATATATACTTGAAACTAGAACGACTCTACTTTAGAGTGAGTCTAGACTAGTATTTGGTACAACAACCAAGAAAATTCAGCAGAATCTCATCGACTTCAGAGCGACGAGCATGGCTAAACTTAAAAGGAGAAAGAGCCTGAAACAACAACTTTCATGACGTCAGAGAAACCATGGGAATGCAGGCATAAATCCTGGGCATGTTGTAAAACACGCCTTTCGCCTATTTAGAGTTGAGTCTGACACTGTCCACTGCACTGGTGACTGGTGTGGTGTCTGATAACATAGTGCACTACTTCAGTATTTGGATTCCCGCCGCTGTTTTCTTTGCCCTTCGTTATTTGTCCGGTATTGGTGTTTTATGCTAAACTAGCCATACAAAAAACTAGTTGGGACTTGCGAAAATTTCAAGGGTCCGAAAACCACAAAGTTTTACGTAGGTTGCAAATGGCAATGTCAATGACGAAATGATGAAAGATACCGGAACCAAGTTCTTAAAAGCCTCAAAACATCGGAAATTATGTCTGCTCGTGAGTGCATTCGAGAGCCAAACGACAGTAGATTAATATAGACACTGAAATTAAATATTACCGAACAATGTTTAAAGATGCAATAAAATTTAGTTCACTTTGTTAGTATCGATAATACAAATTGGTTATTTTGCTCGTATTTTAAAATACAATACTGACGGCTGCATCAATCGCAAAATCGCGCGTGGTTTCCTGGGGAGGAAATTACCTATCTGCAACACTTTTGTTCTCTGGCGAGCTGCCTGTAGTCCAGATGGCAGGCCAAATGCTGCAGTTGATTGAGGAGTATTTTCCCCGTTTTTCTCAACGTTTGTTTGTCGTTTACAAACGGTACTGCCTTATTGTGTAACTATGAAGTTCCGTGATGTCGATGGCGTGAAAGTTTTTGAACCAACACTCGATGAATTTCAAGATTTTGGAGGCTGTATCAGGGAGATAGAAAGACACGATGCTGCGAATGCTGGTCTTGCCAAGGTGAATTTTCTCTTTGTTCTCAGTCATGTACACATTGTACTGCATGTTTAGTGCAACCAATTGACATTTTATTCGTTGTGCGATGTAGGTAATACCACCCAAAGGATGGCAAGCACGAAAGGACTACACGACCATCAAAACCGGCGAATTTTGTATCCCTGCGCCGATATCACAAATCTTTCAAGGTCGCCAAGGTTAGCAGCAGTGTTAATTAAAACTTTCAATCGTTAGGTGTTTATTTGTCGTCGCATAGGTTGTAAACTCGTTTTTATATATACTCTACTTGAAATTTCAGGTTTATATGAACAATATAATATATTGAAGAAAGCCACAACTGTGGAGGAATTTGAAAAACTGGCGAACAGTGAAAGGTAATTTAAATTGGCGTTTTACTCAATGTCAAATTACAATAGCAATCTGATAATAAATTTTAACGCTCTTTTTTTAGTCCTCGTATGAACTAAGCTGATTTATTTTTTTACTATCGTGTTTATATGGTGTAATGTTTGTTTATTCTTGGATTCTCTAAATATAAAGACATCTAGTATAAATATAAAGACAATGTCATTCAAACACCTTTACTTCTGTCGTTTTGATAGTAACCAGTATCTAAAAAATACAATATTGTGGAACTGTAATATGAACTTGTGTCTTCCCAGATAAAACCATACTCTATTGTTTAATGCATAAAGCGTTTGGGCATAAACATTGACAAGGTGAACAAATGATTTCACAAAAAAAAAGGCCGACTTTGAGTTGAAAATGCCGGACATATCACCAAATTCTAGCCAATAGGTCTTCATGTAAATGTCTTTACGTCTTCAGCCCAATGTAAATGGTCTTAACAGTCTTATAATATCAACCAATGTGCAATTTTCAAGTTTCTTGCAAGACAAACAGCCTGAAAAATTACAGAAATTGGATTTAGGTTATCTTTTTTTGCAAAAATTACAATGGTGTTTGCAATAGACCTTTTTCATATGACGTCATAAACGTGGAAAGTCTGATGTAACACAAAGTTTGATTGGCTTGATATCATAGTTGCCAAGTCTCAGGGATTAGGCGTGAGACTCACGTATATTTGCGTAAAAAACAATCTCACGCCGGAAAATCAAGACAGTCTGAGATCTCGCAGATTTCGTCTATTGTTGTTAGGGTATTGTCCTTAAAAGTTAAGAAATTAATAATAACATCTTAAATCAGTCCGTACACAGATTCAAATTAAAATTAGTCAAAGTTCAAATAAAATTTTTTTGCTGCAAATTGTTTTTTCGAAACAATATCAAATTTCCAGGACCCTAAATTTGAAATTTTTTGTGTGCCCTAGCCTTCTAAAAACCTATGTCTATGATGCTTGCTCCAAATTAAGAAAAAACTGTAATCTCACAGATATTTTTTTTAAAAACTTGGCAACCATGTGATAGTTTTGAGGAGCCAATTAAATTTTGTGTAAAATCAGACTTTCTGCATTCATTATAAGAAATGTCTATTAACATCCCTTGAGGATGTGAATGAAGACAATGTAAAAATAGTGAATAAATAGGTTAGTGATAAAGAAGGTTCACATACATTGTATAATATGTTTTTTAGGTATCAACCCCCAAAAGGAAACCATACAGAACTTGAAAGAAAGTATTGGAAGAATATTACATATAAAACACCTCTATATGGAGCTGATGTATCTGGTTCAATATTTGATGATGACGTACATGCCTGGAATATAGGTTGTTTACCAAGCATCCTTAATGATTTAGTCGAAGAATATAATATCAGAATTCCAGGAGTGAATACACCTTATCTTTACTTTGGAATGTGGAAATCAACATTCGCCTGGCATACTGAGGATATGGATCTGTTCAGCATAAATTACATCCATTATGGTGCACCTAAGACCTGGTAGGTGTATAACATACACATTCTCCTGCTTCAGTTGCGTATTGTTGGTAGAGCACGATGGACAAAAAATGTAAAACATGCCTGTGTGCTGTAGATAGTTTTAAACCAGGGTTTGCTCTTTGTGTTGGTGATCATGTGACCAATTGATGGTCATGATGATCAAAAGTACATTTTTGTCAAATCTCTCTCCTAACTTGACCAAACCTAACTTGGAGGAGGCTGCATTAGAGTACTGTTATTTATTTTACTGCTAAACAACTGTGTGTTTTATATACGTAGTTTGCAATATACAGAAAAGGGGATGACAATCACATAAAAAATAACTAATGCTATTCAAATGTATTTCATGCAAATGTGTGCCTCTACATATAGATTGTTTAGCACTGTAAATCTAAATACTGAATAATGTTTAAATACACCATATATGTTGCTAATTTACAATACTGTGTACAATGTATTGTAATTCTAAAGATCATTGGTAATTTTAGGTATGTAATCCCGCCAGAACATGGTAAACGTCTTGAAAGGCTTGCTGCAGGTTTGTTCATACTATTGTATAGCACACTGGCCTAGCCAAGAAAAGTAGCAGTGGAAAGCAGTCCTCAATTCCTCCCTAACTAATAGCATAATCCCGGATGAATATTTTAACTCACATCCAAGGTATCTTCCAATTTCGATGTCACGGCCTCGAAGTACAAAGTTCAACTGCATCCATTTGGAATTTGGATTTTCGCACAATATTACAATTTTAACTACGTATTTTAGGTCTACAACTCGTAAACCCCAAACAAATTTTCTATGATGAACTAAGATAGGCCATCTATTGTTCACAGTACTTCAAATATTTTACGCTATATTTGTTTAGGATTTTTCCCAGACAGTTCTGGCACGTGTTCAAACTTCCTTCGACACAAAATGACGGTGATGTCACCTCAAGTCTTGAAGAGATATTCTATTCCTTTCACCAAGGTAAGCTGTATAAAACGTAAATATTATTTCGACCATCGAATTTTAAATATAAAAAATATATAAAAATATCTTACTGGATTGTAAATTAGCCCAACCCTTCATCATGGGTCAAGTATTGTAAATGCCAGATTGATATTGTCTAATTCTGAGTGCAGTATAATGCCCCAAGTTAGTTGTAAAATGTAACTGACTGTATGGTAAAGCTAATATACGACAGTATACAGCATATTTTCGTAATAAACTGGTGAAAATTGGTATTAGGTCAAAAACTTTGTTTCTTACTGCATTTATCTAAAATAGTTTTTCATTGACAATCACTAGGTTGTCCACGAGGCGGGCCAGTTTATGATTACGTTCCCGTATGCGTATCATTCTGGCTTTAACCATGGTTTCAATTGTGCTGAATCGACAAATTTTGCATTTGAAAGTTGGATTGATTATGGCAAGCTAGCGCAGCAAGTATGTGCACTGCAACATAACTCATGTGTGTCGTTTTTTAAGATACTCCAGCATTTTAGGGGGTTCCTATTTTTAGTTTAGTTCCAAGATTAGGGTATATATTGCGATATGTTAAAATTCAAGTGCAGTTCGCTTCCAGAAACTATGCTACTAGTTTTACACATTGCTTTTTCATGAACGATTTGGTCTCCTTTTTCCGATTTTGACATTTTTTAATGATGTTGCGGGTGTTCGTGAGCGAATGGGTACGGGTTGACCATTTTTCATAAGACCAACTTTTTAGCGAAATAGCAACACGAACTCTGCCATGTTATGTTGTGTTGTGTAGTGTGACTGCCAGTCAGATTCCGTGAAGATTGATATGGATTTTTTTGTGAAGAAATACCAGGTAGATAGAAAATAATAATCGATATATATTATAATAGAAACAATATAATTATAGTAATATAGTGGATAATAACCAACTATGGGCATTGCCTAGTTTTCGTATAATCTTTTTACCCGATTTGTTGTGTGACTACTTTGAAATAAGTTTGGAGTGTTCAAAAATTGTTCCAGACTTGTCGCAGTTATGAATAAATAAACATTCTGAACATAGCTAATAGCTGCAAGATTCCTCTGTGTAGAAAAGCCCCATTTGTGAATTTACAAAACTGAAGTAAACCTTGAATTTCAGCCAGAACAATGGCCGGAGTACAAAGCAAGTCGAAAGAGTGACTCGGATTCATCAAATGAAGATGACGTTCCATTGATTGAGATAGCAAAGAAGTACTCAAAGAAAATGAGAAAGTCTGGCAAATTCAAAAGTTGATATTTGATCCAAAAGTTGTGATTTCATTTCCATTCTTGTACATTACTAAATTATTTTTGGGTATATTTTTATAATTTATTTTTCACCAATGCAATTTGTGTGACACCTTGTGAACACCCTTTAATCCATTAATGTTTGTACTCAAGTGTTGACTAATATTTATACGTGTTTAAATTTTAACACACGATGTATTTATATTTGACATGTTATCATAGAAATTGTAAATATTTTTCACAAGGTCAATATAATTCGACGTTATCTGGGAGAAAAACTGAAAACTTTTTGTTTTTAAGATCATAAATTGTTCACGATAGCAAGGATGACAGAACTTGGTGGAAAGGAAAGTTTTGTCTTGAATTTTGATATACGAGGACATTCATGACAAGACGGTCATTCTCTTTCGAAATATATCAAATCCTTGTCGGAACCGTGTTCACTAGCAAACTGAATGGAACTAACTTTGCTCGGTTGCTTTTAACCGGGCTAACCTTGCGCAAAATTATTGCATGGACTCCATGTTGAAAATAATAATTTGCTAAATTGAGGTTTTATACCCGGGGACCACCAGTAGTTATATGACGGCCAGATTCGAAGACTTTGCGCATTCATAGATGGAAAATCTAAAAACGCTCCTCTCTTTGAAATTTCCCAAATCATGAGAATTTCGGGTGTTCCGCGTATGCTGCTGGCCGGACGCCCGTGGTTACCATCTTATCCAGCATCTATAAGCACAATGCATTATAACTAAGGAGGAAGCGTTTAGTGGACAAAGCGAGGGGTGCCTATATATGTCAAGCTAGGGATATTGGAATGCAAACATTAGTATTGTATTTATACTTAAAATTTTCAACTTTTTCATTCCAAGCACTTTGCTTCAGCATAAATAAAACAATCTACCGTAGTAGACAATCTATCGTATATTTGGCTTAGCCAATCCAAACAAAAAGACCATAGACATTGAAGTGGATGTGCATGTGTATAATTTAATAATTCATTTATGAAAATGTGAAAGCATAAAAATTCTAAGTGATGATCAGTTTTGACCAAGGCAACAAGGCATATTGCTTTGCTGGTCAATGACATTTTTCATTCACATATCAAACATATCTCCAAAACTCTTAAAACTGGTTTTAATACATAATTTAAATTTTTTAACTTAGATCATTTTATGTTATTCCAATGTCTGGGTAAACTATCGCCATTGTCATGTCCTGAATACAGTATAGTCATCATTTCTAAATACTAGCTGAAAAGGTTTGACATGTGATCCTTCCTCTATTTTCTTAAATAATATACTACAACAACTTGGTCTTCCTCTGTTTTTAATATCTTCAACGTCCCATATGTCTGGCATACTGCATCCTTGCCTAAGATAAGTAGACATAAGTAGAAAATTTATAACAACTATACTCTTGGAGATTTACTCATATGAGTACCATTCATGGGCTTGACAAGTTTTATTGATATTCATATGTATAATAATTAGTATGATAACTCACTTTGATCTGCCAAAACACCAATTTTTTTCAATAATAATGTAATTCACGCCCATATCTATCAACGATTTCCAGCTCTCTTCACAAGGTTTTCTGCTGTACATCTGATAAACCTTTTTTGTTCTTTCTCTAAAATTGTAGTTTTGAAGGATTATGCCATACACGAAATCGTACAATACTCCTTATGCACTCTTAAATATATATACAAGAAGTTGGATAGTTGAAAGAATAGGTTGAGAAGAGAGACGAAGAAAATGTAATATCTTATCAGTTAGAACTACCCCACGGTTTTCTTTCAAAGCTTTCTGTTCGTGTCATCCATGAAGTACATATATTGTACTGACTCACTGATGAAAACCCGGGTTAATGGATCGAAAGCTTTGCAGGGGTAGTACTACAATACATAGTGTAGTTATACAAACTCATTATTTCGATTGTTAATGGCTATGCAGAAATATAAGAATATAATTAGAGAATATGTTGTTATTTCGTAAATTTTTAAGATAGTTATATTTCGCATCGGGTCCATAATTTCAGAATAATGATAAATTGAACACCTCAGTCCAGCATCTTCATAATGCGGGTGATTTACGATTGGTCTCTTTGTAGTCAACTTGACCGTGGCCATTGTCGGCATTGAACCAGCAAATACGTGAACTAAAGAAATTTCAAACAATCAGTGCATGTATATAGTGATTTGAAACAATTCGATAATCCGATGATACATAGTAATCCTAATACTAATCCTATCCACAATCCTAATCCTTCAGACATGTCAGGAGAGTCGTATATGGGAGTCAGACACTTAACTGGATCTGTACTGAATTTGTATATGGAACTTACATTTTGACGTCTTTGTTTCTATCCAGCTGATCTAAATATAAAGATCTAATGTTCAGGTTAAAGAATCCGTAACGCATGCGCTAAAATAAGCAAGCATATACCAGTTCTTCCAAGTGAGGATTGTTGTATTCTCCACTCGTGTTCTTAAAAAAAATAATACATTTCTTTGTAAGGTTGTAAGAGGAATATCCCAAGTTGATTTTGATGCATGTTGCATGAGACATGTGATAAATGAAGGTTGAAACTGCACTCACGAGAAAACTTCCCACTAGGAGAAATGTTTTAAAAGTTGTTTAAAAACTGTCAAAATTTTTGACAACATACAAACTGGATTCTTAAATTGGCAATTCCTTGCACAGACATCATTGCTAATATCACAACCAAGATTGCTTGATGCCGAGTTTTACTGCCAACGAAGCTGAAATACTGCAAAAATGTTTTTGCGTCATCACATGTACCAAATACGAAACATTTGAACATTGAATTCGATTTTTCAAAATGTCATCCTCACACATTTCACATTCCTTACCTGTCGTGAGGCAACCATGGAAGCCATGATGCACAGTGCAGGTGTTCCGAACAATTTTAGACGCATGATTAATATGGCAATGATGATGAACGCGGATGCTTGAAGTACGTGATAGAAATGCTATAATTGCGTAAGAGATTTAAATTATATAACAATATACCATATATGCTATGCTCTAACACTTTACCATACCATGGATTATACCGTTATGTACATACTGTTGTAGTGTATCCATACTATGGTATAGTTCAACAATATACAAGACCATGCACATACAATACTATATGCATCTACATCCATGCCGAACTACGTAAAATATACAATAAAAAGTTGCAAGGTCTTCTATAGTATAAAATACCTCAGCATAAGGTTTTAGATTCGATAATGGTCTGTTCCGAAAAAAAAGCAAAAACAAAATAGATATTAGCTTAGTGATTATGACAAGGACTTCACCACACTTTACTAAGGCATATCAAACATACATCTCGTCATCTTCATTATCTGCTGCACCATTGGGTGTCTCGTCATCTTTCGATAACAACCAGTAATGTATCTCAAATTTTATGATCTGAAAAATAAGATATCCACGCAAAAAGAACACTTATTTATAAAGCCTGCAGCATCCTGTATCGGACATATCCATTATAGTCTTTCATCTCAAGGTTTTTGCTTGCATCAGGACTGAATAATTTATTCACTATTAGGTAGTGTACCTTACCTTGAAAAGAATGGCTGTAACACCAAGGAGAGCACAAGGTAACAATAAAGTCTTTGATAACTTGTAAAATGTCTGAAAGAAGTATTGAAGTGGAAGTGGTAAATATAATTATACAACAATGGATGAATGAACAAACATGGTTTGGCCGAGCGAGCTCGATAGGCGAAATGAAATGTACCTCTATTTCGATGAAATTAAATTCGGGTGCACAAGTGTATAACAAGGTATGGAAATCTTTATAACTTGTAAACTTCGATTTCAGGATATCTACAATATGTGCCTAAGATGAAAAATGACGTTGAAGGGATCATAAACCAACCAACTACTTCGGGATCCTGTCAAGGTTGTGAACATGTATGAAAGTGGATCTAAAAACTAAAGTGTAAAACTCACATCATCTTTGATATTAAGAAGCCTCGCTGTTAGAAACTTTATTCCAAAAGTACCAACTAAAAATACGGAGCCTTGCACAGCCTTGAAAAATGAGAACATACATTAAGAAAAATCAAGAAACACACACTAATAGAACCGAGTTATTATGACTAGTCTATTATTCAAAAAATAATTGACTATATAGATAAATATATACTCTTACCCAAATTAAAATGATATTTGGTAATTTGAATATATAGAGTTCCAAATTGGATATTACCTACAGTACAAATAGGATTGAGTTGGATTTCCTTTTTCTAGTTCTAGGATCCATTTTAGAAATACACTTTTCGTAATTCCGAACACTTTTACGTAACATCAAACAACAGAAGTTAACAGAAGGGCAACTTACCAACACTGAGATAACAGCTGCCATGAAAAATGAACTAGGATAATTGAAATCTTAGATAAATTAAAATTGAATAGAAGACGAGACTGGACAGACAAAATCATCTCATCCTTTACCTGAGTAACATAGAATTTCCAAATTGACAGACGTAGTTTGCAACATGAGCAATCTAAATATTTCAGGAAGAATTTTTTTATACAGCGCTTTCTTTTTAACTTTGTATTCTTGACTTGAATTATTTACAGTAAAACAGGATTCAACTTACAAAGAGACCGTACAAAATACAGCAAATCTTCTTAGCTGTTATAAACCTTAGTGCATAAAGACCGAAAAGGGCGCATGTCTAAATAGAAAAAAGTTAAGTATATACCTATTCGCTTACAATTCAAGATGAATCTCGGGACTTGGGGTATAAGACGAAATCGACGTTGTTTCTTTCGTCAACGTTACTCGATAGTAGTTACCTTTGCCTGTACTGGGATCAAACCGGCTAAAATGCATGCAAGTTGCAAGAATTAAAAACAGCCGTTCGTTTCATTTTGATGCATCATCGCCATTTTTTCTAACCATTTCTATATCGTACTACAAACTTTTATTATTTACCTGTGTTAGCAAAACAAACTGGGCAAACTAAATAGAAAAAATACACAAATATACTTTTGTGTGATGAAATAGCGTACGCTAAAATACGTAGCTACTACAATTCTAACAAATGATCTACAAAATAATGCTTTTGGTACACTGTTGAGTGAACTACATATTGTTTTACCTGCCATGGCAACATAAAACCAAGGGTAGTAATAAGTATTAAACAGGTATGATACCAGTTTGGTTTAGGATGCCTAAAAAATCAATGTGACAATGGTGTGTAAATAAAGGCGCATTTAAACTACCAGCCAACGCCAGCTTTGTCTTGGAACTTGTTCTCGTATGGTGTAGCCTTAACATCCTGATTTTAGAATATGCTTATTATGACAGAAAGTTAAACGCTTACTTAAGAACAATGGTTACTGACAACAATTGTACAACAAGCAGTGGAAATGAGAAACTTTCACGTAAAGGAGGCGTCCACATAACGCGTGTTGCCTAATAATATGAAAGATAAAATGATGAAATAGGTAAGTTGCCTTTTGAAGCATTTCAAAGAGAAAACCTCCAAAACCTATATGATCTGGTTACCATGAGTTTTTTGTAGCTAATATATAGCTGTATTGCTTGCCAGCTAGATGTTCTGGCTATGTAATCTTGCTCATCAGCTTTAACTTAAATCATTGCTACAATTACCTCACCATGGTTGTAAAAATATGTAGTGATTCCGATAATTCCTCCCCAAATGCTACCGCTGTAAAATACATATCAAAATCATTGTTATAATCCTTGAATGAAAACATATACAAAAAAATTTGCAGGTCTACCACTCAATGTGTGTATGTACCTCAAGTAAAAACAAAGTAGAAAGAAACAAAACATTGTAATTCCACTGAGATAAAATATAGGATACACATAAAAGAATGACAATTCACCCATCCCTGGTAAAAAGTAAAAAGGCACAAAGATATGAATGTGTCAGTGATACAACGGCAATCCAAAAGTATCAATCATATTACAGTACCTTCACAACTCTCTACAGGTGGTAGATTATAGCCTCTGTTCACTTGATAGCATACTTTTGTTTGAATCTCAAATGTATTTGCTACCCAAATATATAATCTATACCCAGCAGCCAAAAGGACCTGAAAGATAAAATGCAAAAAAAATGCAAAATCTAGACAGTAGCCAACAGCATTGTATGCATTTAAGCACAGCGTAAAGGGCCCAGAAATAGTTATCATTGGTAGAAATTCATTAGTGACAGGTGCATAGGTGAGGAGAGTAACCGACCAATTTTTTTTTTTTAACAATATCTAATTGTGCACATAACCATGCTAAACTAACAAATGTCATGGCTTCAACACAGCTAACCCACCTCTGGGTATAAATTAAATCTCTTCAGTGTATTTGTTGTTTGAGGATATTCTGTGATGTTACAGTTCATGATGGCATGAACACCACTCCAAAAGGTTGGTGCTTCAACAATAGTTTTGTAGTATGAATAGTAGAGACCCTGCATTACAAAATACAAATTTTAGACAACATATTCTTTACAAACCAAAAAAGGCTTGGGTAAACTTAAAAATATTTCAATCACTCATATTAATTTTCAATTATAGTTGTATGGCAATTATTCCACAGTTACAAACCATTTCAGTCCTGAATGAAAGTTCCCTCTCCAAGGTGGAAAGGTGAGAGAAAAACCGTTCATTTTCAAACATCCGAGAGACATGCGCACTAGAAATAAACATTTATTAAAATATAATTGGACAAACATAGAGTTTTAATTAAAGCAATATCAAAATATCAAATAGAGCTCATTACAAAATTTCACCTGTGAAGGATTCCAGCACATGTAGCTACAGAGAGATATTAAGAAATCTAAACAATCTTTTTTTTAACGTTTTAGAATCACTACAGCCTCATGCCTCAACACATAACCTACCCAGTAAAATCGCCAAGGCTACATATGCTTTGCTATGATTTCCAAAACTACCAAAAGGTTGCAATATTTTCTCCTCATATTCCTTTTTTTTCAACTTCGTCTTCGCTGTTTTTTTCGGGACCGTGGATACATGATTATTTCTTGGCGCATCTTGTTTCTTCTTCCCCATATTAACGAGTCTTTTATTATTGTATCGATATTTTGTTAGTTGTATCCTCTTCGTTCAGTCATCCTTTCATCCTTTGTTCTTTTGTTGTAATTATTCAATGATGCATAAGTGAGTACTTTATGTAACGGCGAAGTATAGTGGTTTTCAATATGGCCGCAAAAATGGAGAAAGAAATTGAGGATCATCATAAAAAATCGTCACTATGTGCATCAAGGCCAAAGTATAGGGATGCAAGATGGGAAAGGGCTGTTAAGGTAATACTAGGAGAGGCAATTTATTCCTGTTATTCTGATTTTTTCCAAGCAGAAATTCAACACACCCACCGGTTTGCACTTTGCAGTCTTCAGTCTTGCTGAGTGTCTCACTGAGTGAGTTGCAGAATGTGGCTAGTATTTATTAGTACATGTCAAAATTATGTTCCTTTGCAGCTTATTGTATGTGCTTAATAATAAGGTCTAGATTAGTTTCAATCAGTTCTAATACTACCCAAGACAGCTCGAGAAACCGTTGGGTAAAGTTTTAATAGATAACCGCCTTACCCTCGTATGACGTATTTACATTTTAAAAAATGAAATGTTTGTCATTGAGATGACTTGAAGATCAGGTATTAATTAAGAAGATTAGATCTGCACACTGAAGCTCTTTCGCATGAGCAAGACTTTTCAGAAGTCACCCACTAGAGTAGATATATGCATGTATATTTACTGGAGGTTATAACTTTTTAAGAACAACTGAACAACCAAAATTGAATTGACTTTTCTTCATACTAGGTCTATACAATAAATTTGGAGTCAAAATTTTTACTGGTTCAAGGTGTTCCAGCTTTGGGTGTAACTAAGGATTTGTTGGAAACATTTGCAATTTATGGCACAATAGATGAGTAAGTACTATTGGAAAAATATGGGAAAATATATAAGCTCCAAAGTTCATAGATCTTGTATATTTGTTACCTGCAAAGAAAATTACTCTCTGCAGCTAAAAAACATACTTGTCATACATAACTGAGGTTGAATATAATGAGTTTGGAAGGAGACCATATACACAAGTAGTTGGTTGTATTTGTTCGCCTGTAGTCGCGAATGCCGATGATAGAAAATACCAAAGAAAATAAATTGGAACATTTGAACATGCATAAAAAAATTGTGCAAATTTGAAGGTATACACAGCTAAACATGTGCTGAATACGCTAGAGTTGTGATAGAAGCATTAAAAACAGCGTGTACCTTCGTATGAGTAATATTTGCCAAAATATGAATGCTGGGCCGGTTTGAAGAAGGACATCCGAAGAAGATGTCAAAGAGGAAGGGCAAAAATGGAGGAAAATATCATTCCAGATGACCATAAAGAAGGTGTGTGTTCACCATTCATTTTCTTATTATAATAATAATTTCCTAATGTCCATGATTCATTTCTCATTCAACTTTACTAAGAAATAAATATTTAATAGTACATTATGCTAACTGTACGGTATTCTGAAAAATGTAATGATATAACTGTGACGTCTTCTTATGTCATACACTTCAGCTGACCAGAATAGCTGGTCAAGGAAGGCTCTCGGTCTGAAGAAAAGTGATCAAACTGATCTTCGCAAAAAAAGTATGCTCAACGATGAGGTGATAAACGCAGCACAAAAGTTTATAAAGAAAAAGTTTCCACTCGTCGGTGGCCTCCAGGATCCTCCACTCTCACAACTATACCATGTGATCGGTGCACTTGTGAAGGAATCCAGATTCATAACACTTACAATGTCACTGGATTACGTCGTCATCTATTGGAAGGCAGCCAGTCTTTGATAATGATAGCCTGTACGAAGACTTAACGGATATTGAGCGAAATGCAGTTAATGCAATGCTACAATAATTATATCGACCAGGAGGGCATTGAAATGGCTTAATTTCAGAAGCAGAAAGGATCTACGGATTGCGGTTTATTTGCTATTGCAAGTGCATAAGATATGAGCTAGCAAGTGGAAATACTCACTTTAATTTGGAAATAATAATACACTTAAATTACGGTCGTCTATTTGTAATTATAAAAGTGGCGCACATTCAAGATATTGCTCTAGTTTTAAGATGTGGTGGGGAGTTACACATGAAATAAAATGAGGTTCAAATGGATATGGAACCTAAGGGAATAGTTTTTGCTATCAATTTAGCTGAAACCTTAACACACCTGCTCAAAGATGAAAATAAAAAAATTTAATTAAACTTCAATCATATTTTGACAGTCTATAATATGCTACATAACACTTGATTGCATTTTTATCAGCTCCTAGAGAAGGATCTGTTGCTCCGCTGATGCGCTGAATGCTTTTAAAAGTGCTTGACTATTCTCTATATTGTATCGCCATGTATGTGTGCATAAACGTGCGCCTGCCTGTATCCTGTGTGCTCAAGAATACTAGCATACTTGAATGAAAGAATACTGCAATCCTGCAATATTATTTTACTGTAATGAAGTTGCTCATAAATGTTATGTCAAAATTGACACTGTCAATTTTGTGTGTGATCTAATATAAGGATGAAAATTCGTGCAAAACTGCATTAGAACCACGCAACGCAATGGACAAGCTGATTTCTTTTCCCTGAATATTTCTCAAAATTTCAAGTCCATGCACTAATGCACCCAATCTCGCAGCATTGAATAGTGCAAATAATTTTTATTATTAAGGATGTATAGTAATATAGTAATAGGAAGTAATAATAATGAGTTTGAATAATTATGCATGTAACATTGAGAAGAATTTGTATGTACAGTAAGAGTTGTTGGTCAGAGGCCCACTGGGATGGTTGTAAATTATTTAATATAATGAGTAATTCTACACGAAATATCGCTCCAACGTCGTTTGTTGTTTCCGTGAGTGTACAAATGACAATAAACGTATTCGGAATACTATTGAATACTGCATTGCTGTATGCACACAGAAAGGATCCTTTCAGAATTTTACGATGTTCATCGTCGCCATTCATTGTTAATATTGCAGTTATTGATTTATTGTCGTCTTGTTGCTTTCTAACCCGAACGATTCTTGTGATTACCTATTTCAAGTTCGAAGTAACCATGTCTCCGAGACATCCAACAAGTTTACTAAATACTGTCATAACATTTCTTCAGTCTATTTCATATTCTTCATTTTTCTGTCTGTCTGTGGAACGGTATACTTTATTAGCATATCCATTATGGCATCGTGTCTGGATAACAACGCGTGTCGTTAAATATTGGCTGGGAGCGCTGTGGCTCTTTCATTTAACTTATGAAGGATTAGGGCTTATTTTAATAATCTATGAATATATTCTTCAATGGACATTAAACAAACTTTCTTTCTCGTGGGCAATGTTTTTTTTTACTCAAATTATGTACTTTGCCTCGTATATTTCACTGAAAAGACAAAGAAGACGATTAAGAAGAAGAAATGATTTAGGCGAGACCAGTATTAGAATGATTCAAATACGTTTAAAAAATGAAAATGATTTCCTTGTAACAATTGCTATTGTCTGTTCCGTCCTTGTTTTAACGCTGTTCCCAATGTTAATCATGTGTGCCGCCATATTGTCTGCGGAAAGACAATGGAGTTTTGACAACTTACTAAAATCATTTATGGATTGGGGAGTTACAGTGTCAACTTTGAACTATGTTGCTAATGGACTTATCTACCTCTGGCGGATGAAAAAATATCGTAAAACGTTCAAAAAGCTTTACTGTACCTGGAAATGTTCCTCTTTAACTTAAGGCAATGGAGGTCAGTGTTGGATGGGGAATTTCATTTCGTTGACTTTTGGCCTGATACTTCAGGATCATTTCATACATCATTTTGTGGAACCTGATATTGAACATATTAAACAATGGTGAAATGTGGCATCGTCGACGAATTAGAATATATAGACTTGGTTCATATTAATCAGTTATATTTTATGATACTTTTAAGTAATAATATAATAAAAATATTTTACTAAAACGAGTGCACCTTCTTAAATATTTTTGTCGGGAGGGGAAGAGGGTTTAGAATGTTTCGGGATCGACCGCTATACAGCAATACGTAATTCACGTAGAAAAGGGAATCGTGTTGAATTATAAATTTGTGCAGCCAAGATTATATAATGCGGCATTTATTGTTGTGCTCGCGATAATACTCTCTGTTCATGTTTCATGTTATGCACCTCTGCGGTTTTACAAATGGTTCATATGGAACCTATGTCTGTATTCATCTCTCTGAATGGTACGCGTCAGCTGAATAAACCATTTTTCGTTTCAGCATTTGTATTATTTTTTTATATCTATATTATATTTTTCAGGTATAGGATTTTGGATGATTATCCTTCAGATAAATTCACAAAGGTTTATTGGATAAAATTTAGGCATATTATGGCTGCACGGTAAATATACAAAATATTCACTTCATGCATAATGAAAACATTATCTTCCCAGACTTTCCTAATTGGTTATTCTTTTACACTGTCGGCTTTATTTTTGTACTCTAAATAAACAATTGTTTAGCTGGATTATTATGTTCTGTACTTCTTTGTTTTCAGAAAAGCTAAAAGAAAACTCGATAATCGTTCGTTTTTCGGTGGTATTCTTCACGTTTCCTATGCGCCAGAATTCGAATCGGTGGAAGAAACTAAGCAGAAAATAATGGATCGAAAACGAGTCGTTGAACGTAAAATACATTGTATGTTAAATTATTTGTTCATTGCATTTTATAAATGCTGTAAGGCGTAAGCATATAAACTGCCTATATTCAGATATTTTTAACACATTTCTCTTGCTAGTTGCAAAGTAGTATTGTCGTGCAATATTTGACTGGATTTATAGACATATGTTTCGCAGATCATTATTGGTAGAAAAATAACTGAGACCTTGTATAGAAAGATTCAGCACCTATTATTTTTTAGACCCATTAAGAATAGAGTTGGAACAGACCTATATACCACTTCACAGCGAATTGTGTTGTAAATTAAATTTCTGATAGGATTTTCTAATCTTTTTTGGGATATTTGGTGATACAAATGCAGATAGTCAAAAACAATCAAAGAGCGAACAGGAAACTGATCACGAACCACAGACTTCGCAACGTTCGCGCAGTATACAATCAGATTCTACTGTTACATGTTCAAGAGTGCACTCGACAGAAATAGCTGATAATCAGTCGACTGCCTCAACTTCATCCATGCCAGCAACCGCTATGTATGAGAACGAACCCACTCATGCGATTGTAAATGAATCACCATATCCTCCCCAATTACCACCATTCTCTGTTCCTACTTATCCTTCGCAAGTGCCAACTATGTCCACCTCATTAGCCAACCCCCCTCATAGAAATGTAGGCGAGAATCCTCCCTCAGCAACGGCTCCTCCCCAGCAACATTACTCCAAGGCTCAATCTGGACCTGTAACTTCTTCCAGCCGAAAATTATACGGTTATAACACAAGTGTTAGTTTCCCTACACTACCTCCAAATCAGAGGAAAGGAGTATCTCTTCAGCCACCTGGTGACAATACAATTGAGGAATCTTTAGTAAGTATATGCGAGAATGCAGGACATTGTACACCATATTATGATATGAAGACTGTAGCTAGCAGTCAGCTGCTGAACTTTGAGGATAACTACTATCCCTTGTACCAAAGTATCAGATGTCACTTAATTTTGCAATATATAGTCCTTATCGTGGTTCAAAACGTGACCCTCCCTTGTTCCTCAATGACAATGATGCTACCAGAACCTGCTAAATATACAAGTAGCAAGCAAAACCACGATTCATGTAATTTAAAATCATATATAAGTCTATCGCAGGATATGCAACCAGCCAACCACTCTGGGTCTTCATATGCTTATTACCGTAGGTAGAGGTTGACATGCCCTAGCTGATTCCAGGAGCACTACACCTATAACCGTAATATTCCTTGTGTAATAAATATGAACTTTACAAATAAAACATATCAATATAGATATAACAAGTAAATATAAATCAGTGACCACATGCAGTATGTTTCTTTTAGACCGGTGATCCTTCCTTGGACAGAACTGTTCTTTCTATAAGAGAAAAACTAAAAAGGGTATATATAGCGATATTGTACAAATATTTCACTTATTTGGCATACCCCCAACTGTTGCAGTTCTATATCTAGGTTTAACACATTCTGCAATAAATACTGCGCACTATTATATATATATAGCACCGTCAATATTTACTTTGTTTTCGCTGAATACTATGGTTTGACATAATGGTTTGACAAAAAAGGAAAAACTGGATTTATATTAGTCTTAGTCCAATCTTAGATTCATTATTGACCATTATTGACGCTGTATATTATGTAACGAGCGATGCTCCCTGGTACAGTCTTGACAGATTCACAGAGTGAAACACTAATTAATGAAAGCAGGTGCACCTGAGATGTTTATTGCTTGCTAATGAGTTAACAAGAAACACTGGCAAATAGTTTTTATTGCATTACCTGACAGTGCACTTTCACTGGCGAGTTAAATCGTCTGGTGTTATAAAAGTAAAATGCTATTATCGTAGTACAAAGCGCAGGAGGGCTCATTATCGGCTGATGAGTTAAATTGAGTGGTTAAACTGAGAATCTTCTCTTTGCATTATCAGGTCAATAAAGATCCCATCGCTGAAACACAGGCGACAGTTGGTGACAAAAAGAAAAAACAAAGAAAACGAATATAGCGTTGTGGTTAATATTTTTCTGGGCATTTAATTGTTGTTACGACCGTGGTAAGTCATTTCATACACAATCCCGAGGGATAAAGAAATGATGATGTTTCCAGTTCATCGCCCCCGACATCTTGACATGTTAATTTAATTTTTGCTCATTTTTAAAATTCCGTTAACTTACAAGCATTGCGCAAATTTTTTTTCGGAATTTGACCACTTAGATTACAACTGTAGTTCGGTCATTCCACAAGTAAGCCGTATATCTTAATCCTGCGAACTGCGATTGGCGCGGTTCTTTAGAAAAATAATAGGGATAAATGGTCAAAACTCTCTTTTATCTTAAGAAATACAAGTTCTCATAATTTACAAGTCGGGGTTTCTTGTGTCATCACTGGTATCATCGTGCTGCATATAGTACCGTTAATCATTCTTACAGATGATAAGCTATTTGAAACTTGAATTCGAGATGTTAATAAGTTTATTGCCGACGTTACCATGCACTGTCGCTGCTATTCATTAAAAAAAACTACTATATACCGTTACCTAAGTAAATATATTTTAATATTAATATTACCTATACATTACATTCTATACATTACATTCTATACACATTATTGCAGCAGTGCAAGGTGGACTTTTTTTCATCTACACACACAATACTGATCATTTTATTTTAGAATATACATCACAATGTGTCACGGGGACAAAAAATATGACGACAGCTCATAAATATAGGAAGAATTATCGGTGTCTAATACCAGTAATCTTTTGCAAGCATTTAAATCGCGGTGAAAAATATCTCAATAATTATTTCCATCCATTGATTCCTGAATTATTTTAATATCTTCATCATGGTATTTCCCGATGTGAATGAATTATTAAAGCATTAAATAGGCATCTACGTTGCGTACACTCCTTTTTACTTGCTAGCTGGTATCGCCGTTAATGTTTAATGGGCAATCTTCTTTTGGAGTAATTGACCCGGCGATTGGTCTACTGTTTGAACGAAGTGTGTTAAGATGTACTGCTTTTGTTAGCGTGTTGCTTTGACATATTGTGTTCGGTGAGAACCTCTGTAGTGAATTAAAACTGCCATTTGTATTTAACGTATATGTTGTGGTCAAACGTTCTGCAGTTTTAGTATCTTCAGCGTCTTTTTCCATTCGCTTGCAGAATACTATGCTGTAGCCAAACTGTAACCATTTTCTCCACACCCTTCGAGTGTCTTTGTTGAAGAACAGTAAGAAGAAATTCAACAGGCAGTAAATGCCAGGGCCACATATTCTTACGCTGGAGAGGAAGAATATTTGAACCTCGGGTCTTGGGCAGTTTTTGTCGTATGTCTGAAATGGAAGTGCAGTTGGGTGAATGGTTTAGTTTTGTTGTGATCGTCTATATATTTTCTAAAAATATTAGTATCTAGGCTATACCCTTTGGGTCTCAAATTTCTCGTTTTGTCTGTGCAAGCTATTGGAAACAGGAGCACTGAAAGCGGTGAGCGGGGCAGAGTTTTAGAAAACGTCGCAACTCCTTTTACCTCAGCAGGCACACAGAGAGCAGCCTGAACGAAAAGTATACACAGATTTGCAGATCCACAGGAGAATGTAATTTAAATATGGTTAATGTATGATACTGCTATATGGTGGGAAAAGGCACAGGGCTGCCCCCGCTTGCCTCCGCCAGATGAGGACAATGAGGGAAGCTGCCCTCTGAGCGTCTACAAACATCTCTACTTCTCTTCTTGGTAGAAATATATTGAAATATTTAGTGTTAGGTTGAGTACAAAATGCTAAAAATATTGATTGGCTATACTTTCATAATAGAGAACAAAGAAGAGAATCCAGGAACGAGATTTACCTTTAAGCACTCGAAGTATTCGTGGACTTTATGTATATACTCCTCATTTCGATAAGTCAGTACAACTTCAGAAGATAATACAACGGCGACTGTTGCGATAAATAATGCAGCAAGTTTTATGAACTGATGTTCGGCATGGATGAATCCTTTTATATCATCATCCGGACGAACTGCTTGAATAGTTGTGTTATTTTGCCTCACCTGTAAAAGAAATTGGAATTGGTTGAACTGCCATTCACAGTAATTGGTCTTTTAGTTAGGTTTACGCAAAATTTTCCGCTCGATAAATGCATTCCTGAGGTTTATCATATGGGCCGGCCGCTTGTATAAAACTCTTTAACTACATTTTGCATAGTTAAATCCTAGTTAACTCCGAAATACACGACTCAGATTGGCCACAATTCTGTCAATCGTTTGTCAGTTAAAAGTTAACTTGTCATTTATTCAATTGCATGGCATGGGCCTGCCCCAGGTGGCAAATAGGAAGCAAATAATTTGAGGTTCTTAGACCTGAAATCAATATAAAGTTTAAAAGCAGAGGACTGTCAGATAACAAAATGCGTGCAGTTATATCTCCAAACTTACCTTCCTTACGAAACGTATTATAGACCAAAGAAGAGATACGGAAATGCCAATAGCCACTTGCACCGGTAATGTAAATGTCACATACTCAAGTACTGGGGACGTGAAGACTGACGTCATTCGATCTATGAACAGTGACTTGTATCCAGGCTGTTTGATTGCCATATTGAGGGCAACTAACAGAGCAGGAAGAAGTGAACAGATAGAAAATTGGATAAGATGGTATTTGCATCTCTTGTCAAAAATCTTGTGTGCCCGTCTGATGATGACAGAATACGCGTTGACGACATAACATAACGACCAGAAACAAAATGCCAGGAAAAAGTAGTGAGATATAAATCCTAAATTTAAGGAATTCCTAATTAGTTCGAGTGATAAAAATTTTTAAAGATTACGTCTGATGTTAGCCGTGATGTAAGAGACGTCTTTTTTACTTTAAATTTTAGTTTCGGTTTCAATGGTTTGATCATTGGCAAAAGACCGAGCTGAAAACGAAATCTAGTAATTTTAGTAATTTAACGATACACGCACATTCCTTATCCTATAAATACTTTTCTCCTTTTGATATTAAAAGTGTTCAATGAGTTGTCTTTAAGTCCTATCTATAGTCACATAAAGCAATCCCAACGACATCGAGCTTTAATTTTAATGACGCGGGTGTCTGGTGACATAATTTGCCTAACTCTTGTTCCTAGTTTTTACCTTGAGAAATTTGTGTCTAAATTTTAATGAACTGCTTGCATGGCCTACTACTACCTTCAATAACAGTTGGTATCGTGCTATGTCCATCTTCGTTCCAAAATTGTTCCTTTCCACAGTATACTTTAGCAAGACCAATACGAAAGGGCAGTAAACTGGATGTTGCTAAAACAATAAAAGAGCGAGATTCATATACAATGAACGACATACAAAGAGTAGGAAAAAAATCGGATTCCTGTTTATGAAATCAATATAGAAATGTTTACTATCCTTTCTGCTCTAGTCTGCACGTAACCAGAGTAGAGACTAAAGCCCAAGGATAATGCACTTCAATTATTTTTTTAACATGCAGAATGCTAAACAAACCAACTTTTCACACAGGATTATACTTTCAAGTGGATAAACTTTTAATGGTTAAGCTTGCCACACACGTGAGCATGCAATTATCCGAGAAAACTACCACTTTTTTCGATCACTGTCAAACCATCGCCTCTCAAATCTATAGCATTAGGCACGCGCGGTTAGCTCAGCTCAAAGGGCACTTTCCATGCATTAATTAAGCGGCCAAAATGGTTGGACCGCCGGGTCGTATTTTAAATTGAAATAGAGTATTTCGTTAAGATTAAAGCGATGAAACTAGATTTCCCGTGCTAGGCAGATGTAAATAACGATATACTTGACTGCAGACTGCAGAGTTCTTGAAACACTCTAAAATACCAGTAATCGTTCTGTACCGAAGTACAACAGGACCGGTCTGGCCGTTTTTTCCGTATAAAGGAAAGCGCCCTAAGTGTTTAAAAAGTCATTACCATTAAAAATGATGCTTTTTTAAAATAGCATTGGGGATTTATGCAGTGTGATTTATAGCAAGTAGAATATTGGCATATCACTTACACTATAAGTGTAAGTAAATTTGTACAAATAATCTTGTACAAATAAATCTGCTAAACATTAAATATTCCGAACCAAAAATAGAACTTATTCTGAACCTGGCAGGGGAGAAAGGTTTTAGACTTAAGTATTCCTTCAATGACGAACATTTAAACGAGTTGCACAGATGTAACTTATCTCATAAGCAGGTCCGTGACGACAAGATGACAGCCAACACCTGTGCACTCCTGTCGTTCTTCAGACACTCATAGTGTGTGAATGAATATTCGAGTTACACACGTAAAAACGCACAAGTTGTAACAAGTCTGCAACAGACTTGTAGCAAGCTTGTTCCAACAAGCCGATATCAGGTTGTGTTCGCACCGCTTGTCCCAAGCTTGTTGTGACGGACTTGTAGCAAGTTGTTGACAGACTTGTAGCAAGTTTGTTGTGACAATGCTGTAGCAAGGTTGTTGCCAACAAGCTTGCTACAAGTCTGACAACAACTTGCTACAAGCTTGTTGAACTTGAGCTGTTCCAAGCTTGTTATAACAAGGCCGTTACAAGCTTGTCGCGACAAGCTTGCTGCAAACATGGCCGCGCATTAAATCTCGCTTGAAAACACGCGTGTTTTCCCGGAGATTGTGAAACAAAGAACAAACAACACAAAGTTTGATGTAAAAATCATATTATTTTAAAAACAAATTCAAAGGTTAGCAATTAAATACAAACTTCACACTTGAAGTACCAAGATTACTAAAGGCTCAGTACAAGAGCATATGTATTTTCCTTTCTGCATGAGTATATAGCCTAATAATCAGTTCGTAAGAAAAGTTTCTTTGCATTCATATGGTAAAAATTAACTGGTGGCGGTGCATGAGTATTCTTGTATAATACCAGTATTTCAGTCACTTGTTGAATTGACTTCGTCATCCCAAGAATCAACAGCAAATGGTTTGCAAATACGTTGAGGAAACTCCATCCTGTCTGCTGTGGCGAGGGTCTTGCTTGCCATGAATGCCATCCAAGTCTAATGTCAAATAAGTAATGTACAAATACTTTATTACCATAATACGTAAATATATATTATTATTTCTAATCAGAGCATGCTAAAAACATACGCACAGATATTAAAAATAGGAAATTTTGCACTTTACCGTACACCTTATCGTCATTAAAAATATTTGAATTATTGAATACAAAAAACCGGCGAAGTTTCGATTTTGATAAATATCCACAGAAACTAACAGTTCAATGTTTATAAAAAGCAATAAATTCAACAAATATTTTAAAAACTATATAGTTTTAAAATGCTATCTAGTGTACTATAATAAATTGTGTTGCCGGCGTTGTGTACGCCATATCAAATATTTGGATGAATTAAACGCACATACCTTTATTAAAACGTCGAACTGTAGTATTCTTTAAACTTTTTTAAGTTGCCCATCCGTTTTAACTGATTTCAACGTTTATTAAACTTTTAAAGGCTTAAAAAAACAAAGGTTTTGGCACAAAGATAGCTCAATGACCAGGTGAATCAGTGAACTCTTGAAAAGAGCAGGGAAATTTGCAAATACACTGACGTATATTTCAACCAATAAGATCACTTATACATAGTTTAAACAGAGTCTGAACCAATGAGATTACTCCGTTCAAATCGTCACTTCCTCAACGGTTCAACGGTTGTAGATATCCTTGAAACAAGGAAATGTTCATCTGTAATGTTTTCAAGGAATTCGGATTATTTTCAAATCTTATTATAAAAAGAAGTTATGAACTTCGTTGCAGTTGCAGAGTGTTAAAGTGTTTAAAAGCTCGTTGATCTTGCTTTTGCCATTTGATGAATGGCGATGATCAATAAAATCATATTTGGCCCAGTTCAAATTGATTTTGTTGTTATCGGAAAACTTTTGCCGTTAACAATGTCGCTACAACTTGTTGGAACTGTCTTGTTACAGCATTGTCAAGCGCAGCCTTGGTACAAGCTTGTTGTGACAGGCTTGTTACAACTTGATGACTATAACAACTTGTCAACAAGTTGCTCCAACAAGCTTGGTACAGCTTGTTGTCGACAAGCTTGGTACAAGTTGTTCCAACAACTTGCTACAAGTCTGCAAGCCAACAAGTTGTAGCAAGCTTGATGTCAACAAGCTTGCTACAACCTGTTGTCTCAACAAGCTTGTTACAACTTGTCAACAAGCTTGCTACAAGCTTGTTGAGCCAACAAGTTGTCAACAAGATGTGAGATTTTTAGGTGTGTATGCTTTTTACATTCAATCAACAACGCCAGTAATCGTCATGTCACCCTTCTTTAATTTAATATAAAAAAAGTATACCGCAGAATTACGCCCTGTCTAGACTTAGTTGTCTCTTCACTTTTTCCCCCCGAGACTATGTTACGGTTGTTTAAGAAGTCGCATTCTACGGCTATTTGAACATCTTTCTTCCACAAAACGTTTTAAAACTCTCCAACCTTTCCAAGTCCTTCATGTTCTCACATCTGCATGATGTCCACGATCTGCGTCAACTTTTTTTACTTAACTTGGATAACATTGCACCATGTGCCTCATCATTCCTGGCGTTCAGTATGTTTTTAAATTAGGCCCATTCCTCAAGTGAAAAATGCCAATAAAGAATTAATCGAAAGACTTTATGGCAACAAATTTAAAGAACTTTTATTCCTTCTATCCTAAACATTGTCTTGAATGATGGAGTTCATACTATATTTCACTGCAGCCAAAGCCATCGTGCAACTCCAGATGATTTCGAAAGTTTTCCCTTGTGCAGAAATATTGGGAACGAAAAAACCATTGAGGGCCAAAAAAAAAGTGCGGCGGCCTACGTCTAGGTCCATTGCCGTTGGTAATATGATGAGACTTTCTGGCTGTGACAGAATACGCGTATAAAAAGCCAAAAAGAGCAAGGAACGTAGGACGACGACAAATATAATGGTGTTGGGTATATATCCAGGCTGCTGACTGGCGAGATTTATATATGTCATGATTCGTTTTTAAATGGAAAATGGCGGAATGTAAAATATAAGCCAGCATATAAACTTGTTTTCAGCATGAATCACGTCTTTGATCCCGTGATTAAGTCAACTGATGATTGAATATAGCTATGTAAAGTAGTTTATGGTAAAGTAGTTTATAGTAAAGTAGTTAAACATGCCAAGAGTTGATTTATGATTTTCACGCGTCGTTCGACAATTCTTTTAAGACGATGATAGCCATGAAACCTACGACCACTTCGTCGAAGTGTTATGAATGCATCACAGCAAGGCCTGTGTTAGAGGTGTAGTGCTACTACTAATGCTGAGCGCATTTAAGAGTAAAAAAATGGACATTAATAATGCTCTCTCTTATTTGTAATTCGTTTTGGTGCGACTGCGATACATCTTCTGTTCTGCGTGTGTCTAAACCCGGTTTTCCATGCACAAGCGATATTTTTTGCACGAATTAAGCGACTTTTTGTATTTGAGCAATTTGTTACAGATGGTTACAGTTAGAGCTCTGAAACAATTTCGAGTTATGAGCTATCCAAATTTTGAGGTAACAAGGTGTGTGCAAAAAGGAGTAGTAAACTTTTACTATGGTTTGTGAATTGTGACAGAATTTGGCAATCAGAATCTTGTATTTCTAAGTTAACTGCGATTTCTATTCGCACAATGTACCTAATACTTCAATATAATTGGCCCCTGCCCCTGGTGAACCTTTCTATATATGGTTTGGTCGTCATGAGTGCATCGGAAGAGTCTGTGTGTGGACTGGGCCGATTAAATATACATTGGTCATTATTATAGCTGATTTTGTACAATAAATTAGAATAGGCTTCCTACTGCGCTATTCAATAATTATTTAATTGTCGTGTTACTTGACTAATAACGTCATTAACAGCAAAAGCGTGTGAAAATTACCAGCTAGGCCTAGGGACTGGTCTGACAATCATTACCATTCCTAGCATAAAAATAAACAATTTTTGTTGAAGTCATTTTTACTTACCATACATTGCTGAACAAATCAGAATATAAAAGCGGACAATGTGTGGATATTCACGCCTAAACCAAGCAAAGAGGGCAACATATTATTCAGTAAATGTAAACAGCGAGACGTATAGCAATCAAATTTTTGTTGAAAATTTTTTAGCGGGTGGGAATTCAGGAAAGGAGCGAGATTCAATTTTGAATGTGAGGTTGATGTTACTTACATTTTAGAGAAAGATGCAAGTGTTGCCAATGTAATGACAGTTGTAATAAGTGCAGCCCAAAAATTAAAAACCATAACAGCGTAGTAAATATCACGTAGTCGTGGACTCATCAAAGACCAATCACATGGAATACGACATGTGCCATTCTCATCCTTTACCAATGGATGTAGACAAGAGCTGAAGTTTCTTTCTAAAAATCAGAACTTTGAAGTGAGACTGGGTGCAGGAAATTATTAAAATATGACGTAAATAGGACAGAGATGCAAATTATACTAAAACATTGCGACATGAGACAGGAGCAGCAAAAGCATTCAATAGAAAGGTAAATGTTCCTCCTATAAAAAAAAACACCATGTCCTTGAACAATATACGTAGAAAATAACATTAAAACTCACCTTCTGTTGTGCCTTTATGCAGCAGTTCACTTATACAACTCATATTTTTTAACCAATTATATCTCCCTTTTTGAAGTGAAATATTGCTTTTGATGTACGAATAACAAGTTTTACAAAACTTATTCGTTTCGTTAACCAGTTGAGTTTCAAGCTTTGCAATGGCTGCTCCAGAACTTCCATTGTTGCAATGATAATAATAAGCGAGATGTTTCTTTATACATAACGTTTTTTCAAGAGTCGTATTACACGTCGAATTGTGTTCTTTTGTAATTGAGATTGCGTTCAAAAATTCTTCCAGTTCTTCATCAGCAATCAGCAAGGGGTCGACAATACCGGAGCATCTGGGCTGATAATAATCTCTGCATCTTTTGTGTCCTGCCATTGATGTGACATTTTCTTTAACTTCACCGTGTGTGTTGTTAGGACTGTAACGACAAAACAATAATATATATTTTATTATAATTAAATATATTCTTTAAATATAAATTAAATATAAATATATATTTTGCGTAATAAATTTCGAAGGCTCTCTAACAACAGTACTGTATATAATAGGCTTGTTTTGGGCTACAACGATACAACGTTTACCACTGTGTCTAAGTACTGTCTTGTACTAATTGTACCAAAATTAGTAAAACGTACGGATGTAAGTGTTGTATTCAGTGGTATAATTTTTCAATTTTTTACCTTTGACCCTATGGCCTCGTTATCGTGTCGGCTGCTTTCTAACCTAATAAACAAGCTTGTGATTGAAGAAGCGGGTATACACAGAAAGGATCGAGGCAATTGTATTAATGCCATAGAATGGACAGTAAATTGTATATGAAAGAAAAATGTAGGAATAACAAGTTTGTAGGAATAAAAGATTTTAATTCAAATGGAAAATATCACAATTTTTAGACGTCTATCAGTTATCACCGTCCAATAAGGAAATGCATGTGGAACTGATTTGTTTTTTTTTCGTGAGTTTTCAATTAATACGTTTGTATAAAAATAATATTTTTTAAATATCAGCAATATTTGTCATAACTGAGGTCTTATTAAAATCTGCTCAGTGACATCTTTTGGAGAACAATATTTGTTCACTCGTGAAGGTATATCAGAAACTAAGATTGGCAGGTTGCCATTCAATTTTTCAAATGGGCAGGTGGCATTCGAATGAAATCGAGTACATTAAGATTTTTTTTTGACTAATGAATTTGGGTAAGGTATAAATATTTGCGTAGGCTCGTTTTCAATATTTATGCCGTTGTTATTATGATGCTTGGAAACAGACACCAACCCACGGTTCATGCTGTTCTTTCCGGCAGGAACACACCGATATAAGCTGTCTAAGTCTCATAGATGTTCACTGCACATAAATTACGCCCCAGATGCTAATTTAAAGTATGATCAGACTCTGAGTGTAAAATTGTTAGTCAAGTACTGTTCGATGAAGCAAACAGGAAATCTCTAGTCCTGAGAGGAGTGAGACGGCGATAAATTGTCATCATAAACTCAGTTATCATGCAATATGACAATAACCAACTCGGATTTCATTCCAGGAATTAAATGTCAAAGCATATTTTAAATGCAATCCAACTCCTAATCTGCGCGCCTTATTGTAAACTCTAACCCTGTTGCGTCAGTGTATAGTTATGTCCCCATTTTCAAGACAGCAGCTGTTGAAACGTAAATTACGCGGGACTAAGCTTAACCAGAGGCCCATTTCAAACCCTAACCGATAAATGACACGGTTTTTGGCACTATTGCATAGTGTCAATGTTTGGTATTTGACATAACTCTTAAAAAAGAGTGAGGCTCTGAAGCTCGCAGAACATTTTGGCTGTTTTTCGTCTCAACAAGCATTTAAATTACGATCAACCTGTACTATGAGGGATTTCCATTCAGTGCAAAGTGCTGCATGATCGCTATTCATGATCGCTTTCTTTTTAAATTGTTTGCAGTCAAGTTCATCGAACGCGATTTGTTCCGCTTGGCTGTTTGTTCAATTTTGAGAAGAAAGAACCGCGCGACCTTTCGCATTGAATGCAAATCCGGTTTGAAATCGTCGGATGCGCGCCTGGCTTTAATGTGCACAGTTTCACGGTAGATCACCACAGGTCGTGGTGATTTGAAAAGAAGATTTTTAGAAGTTATAGATAGTGTTGACTGTTGAGTATTTTCGGCGATTTAAATGCATGCATGAGCATTTTGTTTACCTACGGATGCGTAAAACCACAATGAGATCGAAAGCACGTATTTTGGGCGCGCATAAATAAATCCGATTTACAGATGACTTTAGCATGATAATTCACCGATTTAGTTCGGTTGTGTTTCGCGTCGGTGGTTTCAGTGTAGTGCTAAAGCGTGACATCTACTAGCAAACCTATAACTTTCAAAGGTCTCCTTTATTTGGTACACCCTGAAGGCTCGTACCCTCAAAATCTCCAATGATATACGTGATGAGTTGTATACATGGACTTTGCCCGAGGGTTCAAACTCAGTGTGTACATGCTCAAAAAACCTCACCTGGAAATAAAACTGAAGATCGTCGAGTTTTCGAGCAAAGGTCCATACGATGACCCCTCTAGTATAAATCCTTCAAAGCACGCTGACATTACTGTTCTCCCTTCACAATTACTACTTCATTATATATAACAAGATTCAGTATTAACATTGACCTTTTGTCGGACCACTATTTTAATAGATGCTATATACGAACAATGTTATTAAAATTCTAGAAATTCTTCGACCATACAGCGATCTATCAGATAGACACTGTGGCTAATCAAATTATATACACCAGATAATCATATGATAAAGCATTATAAAAGAAATTATTCATATGTGTTTAGATGTTTATGTTGAAACATGATTGCATCCAGCTACGAAACAAAGCATTTTTAACTGTGCAAGAGATACACGCTATCTCGTATTTTATATTGCTAGATCAGGCCCTTGATTTTTTCATCATATTATAATATTAATATCAAGTATTTTTCAAGATGTTTAATTAATAGCGCTATTTTTTCTCTTCTCGGTTCTATTCATAGTCAAATTAAGTGATTAGACTCGCGCCATTAACCCATTACTCTATGGTCCCAATATATGCATGAGATCGCCTAGGCTATTATGAATAAGAGCCAGCTGTGCGATTCCTTTTTCTGTTATGTATCATAATTCCCTAGATAGTGAGTGTTATAGGTCTAGTACGATGTACCGATGTTGTTGGTAAGCGAGTCAGTTCGAAATTCGACGGTTTAAGATGTATTATTATTATAATTGCATCTACTGTCACAAGGAAGGTGGTATCTTTGTTATCTATTATTCTCACAAACTAATTTACCTATCTATCTGCACTTAAAGTTATACAAACAAAGTATGATATAATAGCATTAAGTCGTCGATCACAAATTCAAGTTATCTGCTGTTGCTCATAGATGACCACTCTCAGATTAAACATGCAACAACGAAATATATTCAGGTTAATGCGCAGTAGAATTATAAAAGTTGAGATTGTAATATCAGTTTAGTTATACATGTCGTTTTATAATTAATACTTACCTAATAGGTTCCGTCTTTATTTCATCGTGTCTGGGATGATTTATCCGCAACAGAAAGAATACTGTTGGTAGAGCAATCCCAATCCACACGACACAATGAACAAACCAATACAATCCCGTTTCCTTCTTGCACAACCTCATCGCAAACACATTGACGGACAAACCAAACTCTTAACTTTCACAGTTGGAGAAGCCAGAACATGATTAATTGAATTTTCCTAAAGAGTGTAATTTAATAGCTGAGAATATCAACGGAGCGTCATTGCGTGTTCATTAAGACCGTTTTCCACTTCACGCTTTCGCCTGCTGTTGACGGAAAATTTCGCCGAAGGCAAGATGTGTTTTAACATTATTTCCCCATTTACAGGTTTGTCGTGCCGCCAAATGGCTAAATATGCGAAACTGTGTTTGATATTTCGCTGACGTGTTTAACAAACCCAAACGTGCACCTAGAGAAAATTGTTTGCGAAACTGTTCGCCGGCGGCAATCAAAGAGGTGATGAAGTGGAAAACGGAGTTGATTAAGCGTCATTCGATATGTCCGGTTGCAAATAAATGACACAGTTCCCAAAAAAAAAACACAAAAGCGAATTTTAGTTTGTTCAAATTTGAATTTCAGATTCGTAAATCATTCTTGTCACGATTGGCAAACAGATTGTCACAAAGCCTTATGAACAAGTCGTCATAGGGGTTTAAAGTTATTGTCGGAAATAAACATTCAAGAGGTCACGTGAAAAATCAAAATGTTGTGAATCATCATACAAGACACACGACTAGGACGAAATATCGAATGAACCCAATGTTTTCTTTTTTATACTTTCGTTTTTGAAATGGTTCACTTGGGATTTTATCAGTATATAGTCCTTTCACTAGAGACGTGCGGGGGGACGGAATATTTACCTAGAGTGAAACAATCAGAAATTCGAAGCCAAAACTAATAAATAAGGAAGCCACTGGCATCCATATAGGAAGCGCCTTAAGTAAAAACGTCGAAAAAAAATTATATTGAGTATTTTTCATGACATATTCCATCAAACTATACCGTAAACACTACTGACTACAACAAACCAAGTCTGACACACCATATTTCACAAATCATATCACTGTCCACAGGCACAGATTTTTCAGATGGATGTCAGAGTCAAGTTGATCCAGTCTTCCCTCATAGTAACTCGAACAGTTGAAACTCTAGACCTGTTTCAGACGTCGAGTCTTCATGTGCCATCAGTGCCGAATTGTATGCAAATGAACTTAAACAAAGACTTTAGCTCATTAACATTACTGTTCGGCACATGATAAGTTCGAGTGTTCGACGTTTGAAACGGGCCTGAAGCGAGTGACAGGCCATGCAGTATCTTAAAATACGCGGTGTGGTGCCTCATGAAGTGTAGGTAATTTGGCTTGAAATATGCATTGTTATATAGATACGTAAGAAATACCACAACGTCAACGACACTTTAGATATAACTTTTAAATATAAAGAACACTTCCCAAAAACAAATATTGATAACATGAAATACCTACTAAGTCAATTTCATTATATACCAGTTCCGGTGCATGGGCAAATTTGCCGGCCGGGTCGACCTAAACGCCTATAAAGGAAGTTCAATTGTGGATTATTGTCGGATTAAACGTAAGATTTATTTATATTTCATGCTCAGTGATGCTCTTTTATTTTAACCACACTTGTCTTACGAAATCTAATATATCTCTATACAATCTTTACATGTTAAAGTTGAAATAATTGAAAGCATTATTGCGACCATTATGGTTGTCAAAAGTAATCAGTTGCGGGTGAACTCACTGAACTGACATCACAATTGCCGTATCTCGTGTTGCCTGCGGGAAGCCTGAAACAGAACCGTTTCTGGTGTGAAATATGGCCTCATTCCAGAACTGTATAAAATAATAAACTGCAGTGCATGTATGTTATTTTTTGTGGCTAGGCGTCCAGGAAATGAATGTTAGGAAATGAAGCTCAGGAAAGACAATCCAGTTTGGGTGTGTGATACGAAACTGACGAAATAGACGAAATATTGGCGCCTTATAGATTTCCAAAGTGCTTCACAAGAAAGCAGCTCGTATTAATTCAGTTTCTTTGATTTTTTATTTCATTATACCACTAATATAATTTAACGATTACGGAATTTGTATAAAGCAGGTCTTAAATCTGGTTCACATCATTTCCACATGTCATAAAGATATGACAATAGGTTTTTGGCTTCAATACCGTAAATATGATAAACTTGACTTATGACTTTTGAATTTGAAGTGCAATATCGTGAGCTGTATACGCCAAACAAAAAACTGAAGATGGCATTTTTTTGTGGATTCTTCCAGACATATTCATTTTGACAGGTTTGAAGGGAACCATATTTAGAGGGAGGGCAGCCTTCGTCGAAAACGGTTTACCCGCAGCGAAGCATCTGCATAAAATAAGCTGGGTAAAATGTCAACTGATAAACAATATATTAAAATATCCAACATTTTACGTAAATTGGTAAACATGAGCGTAGGCATGCAGAGATCGTTTGACACGCGATACAAACTTCATTCAGTTATTATGAATAAATTGGATTAACTTTATGTGAAAATAGCATCACAGGTGATGTATATTAACGCCTGGTGGAAACTAAAAATGGAAAGAATATTTCCTATGATGAAATCCCGGTCTCCAACGTTCAGATGGCGAAATATAACACATTAATTACGGGTTTGATAATATGACAAAGGAGTGGGTATAGCAGTTGAAACAAGCGAAAACAGTCACTTGTTTTTTAGGAGTCGCAGCCTGTTGTAAATTGTACGGAAAAGCAGCTGTAGCTCAGGGGAAAGTGATTTAAGAAATAATAGTGTCCAATAATTTCTATATATCGTAGATATATATTGCAGACTATATATACAATAGCCCATGGTAAAAATATGAAGAGCCCCTTTCATGCAGAAGGCTACTGCGTATAAACTTTCCGGGAGAAGTTACCTATATATAGTATGCAGGAATATTGATTATCGTATTGTTAAAAACATTTTCTAGTCAACAATCGGTAGTACAATGTCCTTGCAAGATATATATGTCAGTTTGGGCGTAAAAATAGGTAAAGCCGTTGTCCTGTCCTACATTACTGCATAACACAGAACCAACTGCGTGTTTTGAAGTGGAAAATTATAAGAGTTTACATTATAATAACCGCTAGTGCATGTGCATGGGAACAGCGACTACAAAGTCTGGTGAGAAGTGGCTATGTACCACTGGTTTGCACTGTCCATTTCTTTATCACTTCTTGTTTTCACTTTGTTTACATATTAAACGTAATTACTGAAATTTAGCCCTTCTGAAAAGCACTAGATTAGTGATGTAGGCCGTCTGTTTTAAATAAAGAAATGAATGGATATTGTTTTGGTGTCATGAAATAGTGCAAGTTTTATCGACTACCCGTGCTTAACCACTGCTTTACTACCTCCCCCCACCCTCGCTGCTCTCAAGTCCGTATATATCTGAGCGAAATCCGACCTCGTGTCTAGAGACTAAAATTCACGTAAAAGCTTGGGCACTTAGTTGATTTTTAGTTCTACCCGAAAAACTCAGTTTCAAGTACCTGCTGCAGTGCTGCAGATAACCTTGCACTGTGATTATCACTTCGTCCAATCTGGTTTTGAGTAGGAACGAAAAATTTGGCAATTTTCACCAATTTTCATCCTTCGAGAAGGTCTAGTTCCATATTTTTCATTACATTTTCGTTACCTTTATACCTTTGTCTGAGCAGGTACTAAATATATATGCAAATTAAACTCTCATGCATGCATGTATAAACTTTTGCTTCAGGATGACAAACTTATCTCACTCAACGTAATATCTCCTAGTCCTATTACCATACTGAAAGTCACGCATGTGTTGTGCATTAAACGAAATATCTATTCTTCGGCATAGTGAGTCGAACCATTATTGTTGCCCCGTCCAATTGAATGATGTACTTATAATTTGACTTTAATAAGGATAGGAATTTGCTTTAATTCCAGAAGCAGAAGTGTATGCAGCGTAACCGTTAAGCATACTGTTCAGCCATTCAAATTACAACAATATATTACATGAGGATAATTTCTTTAGTATCACTACTCTTTTGGGACACCCGGTACAGCGTGTAAGAAAAAAGAGGCACTTTTATAAATTGATCTATTGTGTTGAGCTTTAACCTCGCAGGGTATAATTCATTTCTTATAATATTGTGTTTGGCAGATGCACAGCCATTAAAATCACCACATTATATACCAATGCACAATACATATATGGCAGCATTTCGGGAGGTAGCCATTTTTAGACACTTTTATTATGCTCATTCAGTTTATTATGAGTAAAAATACCAAAATAAGTAAGTATCGGTTAGTTAATTCGTTTGCCTCAACTGCACATTGCTTTATAGTATAGGGCGACAGAGCGTATATATATATATATAGATATAGATATAGCCTTACCCTTAATCAATATATTGTTTATGTGCTGTGAAGAAATTTTAAACTGAATAAACGGTACTCACAAACTACCACACGAGACTTTAACATTGAAATCATCAAAAGATAAAGAAGCACTATAATTGTATACGACTATTTAACTTTTTTCTAACTGCAAACGGTGAAGTCCAAGTTTTTTCAGCCCAAATATATATCGAACTCGTTTCTTCCGTGTATATAGTGCCCACTTTGAACCGACTGCGCAATATCTCTTAGTCATGCAAACAAAAAAGGCAAACTGAATTAAATAATCATTTCGAATTTAAATCCGGAAAATAGGTCTAATTTAGATCGGTTTTGACTTAAACGACGGTTGATGCATGTTAACAAAACTATATATCCGCTAAGTCATATTACGCGTTCCAATTAATGTATGTATATATGTTATATTTCATCCAGAAGCGAAAGTTTTTGCATCTGCATGCACGAGAGTTTAATTTGCATTTAAGAAATAGAAAACATTTTCCGGCGTGTTTCTACGTATACAGTTATAAATCACGCGTGGGAGTTTGGGAGAACGAGAAATAATCAGTGGGAAAACGATATTTCCTACGCGGTTTTTGATTGGCTTGCGAAAATGATATTTTTACACGTAAAAATATCGTATATCGTAAAATATCGTATCTCTACGTGGGTTTAAACAGTAGCGTAGCCAGCCTGTCGATTTGTCCCGCTATGCTAATATTTTAGTGTTCACTCACTGTGAAAACAATATATTTCTAAAGACATGAATAATTATAATAACTCGAAATTTACATAGCGGGACAAAATCGTCAGGCTGGCTACGCCACTGGGTTTAAATACGATTTTTCTCGGTGGCGTAAAACTTTAATTAACACTCATGTTCATATAATAAAAATAGTACTTTTTTATATATGCTAATACTATATGAAATGATTGGCTGTCATGTGTTTATTGATCACAAATCAGCTCAAGTAGCTGAAAGCACATCTAATGGCAGTATGCTCAGTAAGTTCGCATCAAATGTCGTTCTATGCCGATGACTACAGTATTTTGGTGTACTGATGGCACCTTTCATCAAATCCTCATTTGCATAGCCATAGGCAGTACGGGCTTATTAAAAAATAGTTGGGGTCAGCGAATGATTTCAGTAAAATTTACCCGAGTCACGAATACAAAATGCCAGATTTATCACTGATGTAAGCAAAATCTTCGTAAAATATGATAAAAAAAATTGCTCAACTTTTCTAGATTCCAATGTATCTGGGGGGTGAGGCAGCTGCCACCTCTACCCTACGCGTAGGGTACCCTACCCCTCCCGCATGTACACCTATGCTCTTGTATACATTTACATATCCTGCATTCTTTTTCGCCTTTCGTCTTTACACATGTAACTTTACCGTCGTCAACCACGATATGATTTATAATGTGCTTCATCATGTTCTTCTCGTCTCGCTCATTCCACACTCAGTATCTGCCAACATTCTCCTTCTTAATTCGTTTAAAAGTGGTTGGTTAAGGTATTTTGATAGCTGTGAAGGGTGGATTAGTCGTGAATGTTCAGGTAATGGCATATATTGAACAAACAATTTATTACACTAATTCACTTATTGACGCGCATCAAAAGATGATAAATTGTACCTGAAGTTCCAACAAGAACCACAAACGGTGAATTATGATGAATCATAATTTGACCTAATCATGCGACTTGATAGCTTGATGGCACTGTTTCATGTGCTAATTTGTAGTCATGACGGGGTTTTTAAAGTATGCAAGTATAAGTAGCTATCGATGCGACTGAGAGTGAGAATGGTTACTAATATAGGATGGTAGAAGATAATTCCATGCCAACATTGGACTGTCTGCTGAACGCAGAATTTAATTAGGACATCCATTTGTCTCAATAATTATGTCCTTCATCATGGTCCCTATCAAGAACTCGTTCCAGATCAATCCATCACTCAGGCCCCCGAAAGGCATTATAGTCAGCCCAAATTGGTTGGATATTTATAAATATATTGTTTAGTGAAAAAATGCGACATAATTTGTCTCGTTTCAAGTGTTCCAGAGCTCGCCTATTGAAAAATTTCTTTCCTCTCCAGTGAAATGATATTGCAAATGCACTTTTATAGTCTTTTATTCTTGTACTTTCGTACCCAGATCTCTCAGAGCTGGACGCCGTGGACGGAGTGTATGTGAAAAAAAAGGTGTTCCGATCAGTGGTTCCGTAGTGGTGGGCGATACTGGGATTTTATGATTCGATACGATATCGATATTTTTTATCGATATTTTCGATACGATACCGATATCGATACTGGCACTTTTCACCTAATTTATGCAGATCGTGGTCTTCCCACTCTCAGTGGGTCTTCCTCGCAGCCTCCTGTTCGCGGGTTCCCAGTCGATCTCAATCGGTGGGGAGCGTGAAGAACACTGAAGAATGCTTCAAAGGTCTATAATACTCCATGTAATCCTCACGTAACCTAATATCGAAATCATCGATACTGAAAAATAGTATCGATACCAACAACCAAATTCTTAGTATCGGAAGTATCGATATTTGAAAGAAATATCGCCCACCACTATGGTTCCGATAGCTCAGTGTGTTCCGATAGCTCAGTGTGTTCCGTCCATTCGTCGTGTTTAAATGTGAACTTAGATTCCTTTGTGATTGCTGGTAAGTTGTTGAACAAGTCATTGTTAGGCAATTGATGGATTCGGACTTTCAAACTAGATTTGATACTTTTGTACTTTATTAAATTACTAATCATATTAACGTGTTTGATTCACTCAAGTACTACGTCTACTACCTTAACACTAACCTTTGTTTCCTTATACTTATTGAATGAGCGACCCTTACAGTACACATCTTTATCGATTATCGATAAAACTATTAGGAATAAGATTGTCATGGGGCTCTTACTGATATTTAATTTCCCAACCCAAGAAGCTCTGCAGCTCTGGCCTCTGCATTCTGCCCTCAACCACCTAATTTGATAATTGTTCTATAGCTCCTGCAAACATTGAAAATATGGAGAGCTTATTGCATTATCAAAACCCTCTTAATATAAGGTTTTTGTATTGATAAACAGAATTGATCCCTCAGCTAAAAATTCTCTCTCCAGGCACAAAAAATTTCTGTGTGACAGGGTCTTGTTTATTCCTGCAACTAATGTAGATAGTTAAAAGTTACAATAACCTCATTAAATAGATTTAGACAGAGATACTCTTCAACTGACTAATAAATTATATAGCATTAAACTAAGTTTAATACAGAGTACCTGGAGCATTAGTTAATTCATTATGTTTAAATAAACTGCATTCTAGCCCTGACCAGTCAGGTAAAAAAACATCAACCTAGCAAAAGTCAGGCCGGTGTAAGTGTTTTTTTATACTTCATAGTGATTGATATCAACAAATACTCTGATTTAAAAACAAGAATGGCAGTGGCAAATAATGTTGGAAAAAGCATAATTGTTGCAGGCGGTTTGGGTAATGACTCTGTAGAGATGTTTGATATGCGCCAAAGAACATGGTTATCATTACCTGCTATGCCACAACCACGTGGAGGTGGAACTTCCTTTGTCTACGACAATTATCTATCAATAGCTGGGGGTTACTGTCGTAATTTTGGCAAGGTTGATAATGTGATACAAATGAATGTTGACCAAAGTCCTGATATTGCAACACACTGGAGTAATTCTCCTATTAGACTGCCTACTCAGTTAGCATATCACAGCAGTGTGCTTTATAATGATAGTCTAATAGTCACTGGCGGTTATGATCATCAAAATTCAACATCCAGTAGTATCCACCAAGTCCAGCTTGCACCTCCCTATACTGTGACAGCCTTATCTAGAATGCCGGAAGAAAGGCGATTCCATTGCATGGAAATATTTGATGATAATCTCTTTATTGTTGGTGGGTTCACGCCTCGTTTTAATCGAACTAGCCTCGCCTCTATCTTACACTACGATATAAAAAAGAACGAATGCAAAAGGTTGTCGGCTGGATTGCCGTATATGGTGAGTGATATGGCATCAGTGAGATGGGGGGACAATATTATTGTGGTAGGTGGCTTTGACACTTACAGACGCAATTCTTGCATGGATTCAGTAGGCTTGTATAATGTCAAGATAGAACAAAGGAGTATTCTACCAGCAATGAAATATAAAAGACGTGCGTGTGCCGCTGTTGTTATTGAAAACTACATTATAGTACTGGGAGGGGTGGATGAGGAAGGACATTACCTTAAGTCGGTTGAAGCCTTTAACTTGGAACGTAACACGTGGGAAGAACTTCCAGATATGTCTAAAGGAAGAATCAAACACGTCGCTGTTGTCGTGTGAACAATGTAAAAAAGGCCGAAACAGTTCTGAAATATTTCATAATTGTAGTTAATTCCTTTTTACTTTACGCGATGTAAAGAGTAACAATATATATTATGTAACAAGTTTCCATGCATCAGCTATACAAGCTAAATAACAAACGGTGGAATTTGCAGTTCATACTATAGTCGTCTTTCAAAGCCGCGAGGAGCTTCTGAAAAACCCAAAGGTAGTACTCCAGAACTGAAGAAACCTATTTGCACTTTGCAAATGTCTAATTTTTATGTTTTGAGGTTCCTAACGTTAGTAACGTATACTCCTTACGTTTAAGAGTATAGTTACAACAAATCGGAATGATAGGAGATCTACCAATACGTAATCATCTTAAGGTGTCCCAACCTTTAAATGCGGCACGGGCACCAAGAAGAACCCCAATGAAGAACCCCCTTGGGCGAATTGTGGCAAGCTTGTTTCCAATCTTACTGAGCCTTTGATTAGATTGTTTCAAACTTTCTATGGTTTAGCAGCAAATGCCTTGCATGCCTCAGTGATATCGAGCCTTGGCCACACTTCTTCCTTTGTCCATGCCGACTCCATGGCGCGGCCTCATGGCCCTGGGAATGAGATTGATTGCGGTAGCGGTTATAAGTCCATGTTATGGGTCACGAAATTTATTACTATAATTAATTAAATATATTTAAGGACCATAAAACCTATACCCCGTAGAACCAAGAACCATAGAAGCTTAGAACCTTAAACCATAAGAACATAGAAGTACGAACCAAGGAACCTATAATTAAGGCTATAACCATAGAACCGTAGAACCTAAAACCATGCATAAATAGAAGTGATAGAACCACTGATAGAACCAACCCTTAACCACTGCCCTGAACCAGAGGAGGTTGGACAGCAGGCCGCAAAGCATGATGGGTATTGAGCGCTCAATTATGCGAACGCTTCATTTGACGTTTTGACTGTCGTGATGTGAAGAGCTCTGCGAGTATAGGAAAAATGGATGCTTTCGAAAGACAGGATTTTCAAGCTGCGATAGTGCAAAATACTATGATGTATATGTATTGTTGCGATCCGCATTACGACTTATCTTTTACTGTACCGAGTTTACCGTTTTTTAAGCTGCATGGGCTTTGCTGCCATTTCGCCTTTCATAATACTCCGTCTGAAAGAAGACTTTGTATTATACCAAACACCGAAGCACTGCTTTCGAAGTTGAATGGCCTTAAATCTCCTTGTGTCATCAACGTTAAAGCAAGTACTATATTTGAGGTTAGTATAAAGTACTTGTCAACACCTCATTTTTTAATATTTTTTATTAACTTTTAAGGCTTGATTTGTGTATTAAAATTTAACTGAAACTTTTTTTTAGTTTGGTACTATCCCTGATGAATTTATTCATTGTAAAGCGGAGAGAATGCTTTTAATTTGGGATTTTGATGTGGATCGTGTATTGACAGAAAATACGAGCGCTGTGGATGCGGTTACTCCTGATTTGATGACATCGAAATTAATAATGAGGACAGTGAAGAAGATGAAAGTGAAGAAGTTGAAAGTGATGAGGAAGAAATCACTCATGCTCTACCATTCAAGTGCATTGGAGCTGCTCATGAACAAAGTTACCAACATCATCTGGAACAGGCATATCTTGCCCTTGAATATAATGAATCAGTAAATGTTAGACTAAGACCAGAGCCGGAGAATCCTCGGGACCAAAATGCAATTGCTATTGATCTTCATTATGGAACTCAATGGGAAAATGTTGGATATATAGCTTCTGAACATTGCAAGTATTTACATCCACTGATTGCAGCAGGAGATATACTAGACGTCTATGTTGAACACATCAAGTTTCGGGTTAACTTTTTAAAAATAGGATTTTATCCAAAAATCTGGATAAAGAGGCGTGGTAAATGGGAAGGTCAGATTGTAAGGGCTAGTATGAGTGTACGTTGACATATAATTTCATAAGAACCAGGGTTTGCAAGTTGTGAATTTCTGCAATTATTTCCATTGGCTAACCTATGTAGATTTTTCCAGCATTTTTGCCATCAACTTGTTTTTAGTCTGGTTTCCATATGACAATCAAGTTGTTGCATAATAACTAATAATGATAGATATTTTTCTTAATGGTTAACACAACACCCTGACAATGTTGTATGGAAACCAGGCTTTCTATTTTATATCCTCAAAACCTATTGTCTATAACCAAAGCACTTCACTGTCATGTGATATTTCATACAAACCCTTGCAGTATTAAGAAAATTAGAAAAATATTCATACAATACATGGTATAAATATGTAAATCTGTATTTATTGATGAACAAATAAATAAACTCATCAAATTTTATTATGGTTATAAAATATTGTAAGTAAAATTGCCTTGACAAAACAGCCAAGATTTTGCATTTATACATATATTTACATGATGTTCAAAAAAGTAAAAACCTGCATACACACACCATTGTTTTTTGTTTCTATGCTATTGTTTCTATGCTAATAGCATTTACAATTCATGCAAACTTGAAGATCAATTGTACTAGATAAGGTGTTCATGCCTTTAGCTTTTCAATCAACCTAATATACATAAATATTGCCAGTTCTAACACACAATGGCTTAGTAATGCAGATCTTAACTCACACTAACTGTAAACATCAACAAGCATCTAAAGAACAGAACCAATATAAAATGTCAGTTTATTTTACTGAAGAAGTGAAAACATATAATCACACAATATGTTTCATATTTATCAATTTTGTGAAGGTGGTGGTGGTGGTAAGCCTTCTGGTTGTTTGAAATGTGCTGATCTAACACTCAATTGACCACGTTGTGGGATTACAGCTAGGCGTTAGCGAATGAGCATAGGAGTCGTCACTGCCAAAAATGGAAATCTATATAAAATACAAAAAAATACTATTTTCCCGTCTAAATGTTAATAACTAAGGAAGTTAAACCATGAATACAAATAAAATTTACATTAATATTACAAATTATGTAGTTAAACAATATTTGAAAGGGAAATATCCCATTGACCCGAAATGCGCTATTTTGAACATCTCAAAACAAGAGTGGTAAATTCAAAGCCCGATATCTCGGAAATGGTGTGGGGTCGCAAGGGGTCGATCCAGCCGATTTTTTTTTTACATACTTAACTTCATTCTTACAAAGAATCTCAAAAATCGAACCACAGGAATTCGAGATTTTCAACTTTGAAAATTGTAAACAGACAAGCACATGACTCATCACTTCGGAACGACCCGACCAACTTCAGTTATAAAAATCGACTTAAAAAGTAACGCTTACCTCGATAATCTCGACAGATATCGCCAGTCCAATGAATCTTTTTTCAAAAAATATGCGTTTTAATCAGTAAACTTTAAAAAATATACTCAATATTTTTATGTTTCTCCGTCTTATGTAAATTTTCTCGCTCAAAATCTTCGCAAGCACGCTTGGAAAATAGCGCAATCTCATTGGTCGAGAAATTCACGTGACAGCTGTCCAACCTCCTCTGGCCCTGAACCAACCGTGGTGCCCGTATAATTAGAGCAGGGTTTGGCAGTGTCAATTACCGGAGAAGACCCGCACGAGAAGACCCAATTACACGAGAGAGCCCCGGCCATATATGGAGTGATACATAGAGGAGTGATATGCAATGCCGCCATTATTGAGTAAAAATCTGTTTTCTAATTCAACATGTCGGACCATTTTAAAGATATTTAAAAAGTGAGATCTATATGACAAGTTGGCTTAAGGAAGGATTGGGAGTTTAAGCATTGCCAATAGAAAATGTCTGAGACTACTAAGGAAAAATACAGCGCAGATCGTGTAAGTAAAAAATATATATTAAAACTATATAATTGTGAATATTTTACATGTGATTTATATAGATGTGAATATTATAAATGGACAACAATGTTCAACTAAATACTAGCATATATTTACAAACAAATTTTAAGTTGATATTTTCAAAGACAATGAAAATTTCCCTTGGGCTTTAGCAAAGTCCAATTGAAATGTTTCATAAGGACATAGGTGAAAGAAGATTCTGATAAATTTGTGGAGTTGTCAGTATATTATGTACACAATGACCATCAAGGGTGTCTAAAGCCGGTTTTCCACTAGCGATATTATTCGTGCGAATCGATATAAATTTTACATTTGTTCCAGAGCTCTTAACTGCAACCATCTGGAACAAATTGCTCAAATACAAAGGAATAAAGTCGCTTCGCAAAAATATTGCTAGTGGAAAACCAGCTTAACAGTGGCAGCTATCTGTGAAAATATCAGCCTGGTATTATGTTAAACAGATATTATGAAACATGATGTTTTCTTAAAGGTTTATGCCATATATAGTCCTGATGTAATTACTTCCAACTTTATTAATTAGCTTTCTTTAATGCACTCTTTACTGCAGAATCCTGGATATTCAAGAGTTGAGTAAAATTTTCTGAACTCGCCATATTTACCATTTCCAATAAAGCCATACATTTCTTTAAATGACATGCCACATTGAAAACAAGTTTTTATTTCATACATTTTGTAATTCTCCTCTTTGAATTCTTTTGATGATGAATTCCATTCCCACACACTGTTTAACCAGGCGAAGTGAGTGGTGCGTCTAAAAGAGTCTCTTCCCACTATCTGTCTAAATCGCTTACAAACCAAGCTAATTGTTAAGAATCCTTTATCACCTTCATTTAATACTTCTTTAAAGACAGACTCTAAGCCATCATCTGATAGAGACAGAATATTTCTAACCTTTGCTTTAAGTGTGTATGTGGCATGGTCATCCTCATTGCAATGTTCAGTTTGTTTCCTAAAAGCAATTGGTACTTGTAAATGAATTGTCTTTTACTAGCTACCCAAAATTTAGAGTATGTGTTAGTGAGAATAGTTCTCAACAAATTCCATTATGTCAACAATAGATTTTAAGTGACATCCATTTAACTGACCTTATTGGTATTTGGACGTTTTTTTGAGGATTTGCTAGGCGAACTGCCATGTATTTCCTTAAACATGTATGTCTTCCTTTAGGTAAAAAATGCAATATGATTTATCATAAATTTAAACATATTAAAATACAGCAGGGGTTTTTCTGTGGTTTAAATAATGTAGTTACCAGAAATTGTACTTCGATATAATTACCTGTGTAAAGTTCACATCCAAACCATTGACCATATAATCAGCTACCTAACAACAAAATATGCCGCTAGACATTACAGTAATTGAAGCAATGGGAAAAACATAACTATAATATATTAGATAATTTATATCAAATGTATTTTTCACTTACCATGCATACAAAAACCCCACATGAACTTCCATCAAGTTGTCTGGGTCAAATTTTGTGGAGTTATCAAAATATTTAACATCTGGTGGACTCATTTCTGGGCATATTGCTTGAAGGTGTGCTATCAGTAATCTATAAGTTGAGTGAATGTTAAGTAATACATCCATGTCAAAACATTTTTTAACACCTAATTTATCTGTCCATTGAAGGCCTACCTAATTTTTTTGTGGAAGCTTCTCTCTTCTCTTAACATCGCCATAGCCATAGGGTCATAAAGAAATATGGTACATGAAGTAAAGTCCACTACCTATAAGGATTAATTTAGAACAACAGTCCAGAAGTGAAAAGTATTGCCTAAAACGTAAATTTATTGAGTTGAATTTATTTTTTTAGGAACCTGACTAAATAAAATATTTGTTTTCTAAATTTTTGAAACAGAGGCATATACTGTATGTATATTGTATTCTATCGCAGGTTCTATGCGGTTCTACGCAGTTCAAAAGGCACTTGTTTTTAAATGAAGTCTTTATGTTTACTACTTTCCATTACAAAATTAAAAAAACCCTGTTTTTTTGCTATTATACTCGCATTTAAAAAATTACTTACCCCAAGACTCCAGTGATTATTGTCCAATTTATTGGTATGAAGCACAGGTCTGCTTTAAAGAATGGGTTCTGAAAGATCCCACACAGAAATCAGCGTTGAGCAATATACAGTATAAAGCATTATTTTGAAAGAAACGAATCCATACCTTTTGAATCCATTTCGTTATGGAATGGACGCCATATTTACATAGTTTTGTGTACATGAAGCTGCTCATGACTGCTACACGATTGGTACCCTAGTAAAGATAAATATTTAGCTGATTAATATATATCACAAAATAAGGAATACCAAGTGGTCTTATTTAAATATAGAGGATATAGCACGGATTTTATGTTCGAGTAGCAAAAACAATCTCACGAGTGAGCGCACCGAACGAGTGAGAAATTGTTTTTGACACGAGTGCCATATCTTCAAGCGAACCGTATAATGTTCTGTTTATTATATTGATTTAAGCGAAAAATATTTTGAATGTTATTCCTCAATCCTCAGTGTGACATACGAAAAATACGCGCACCTGGTCCCTGATGTAGTGGCGTATGAGCATTCCACTAGTGTTTTAGTTCCCAGTAAACTACTCTTGTTCATATAATAAACTGTTAAGAACACTATCTGCAGTTATTATTCTAGTTTCAGTACAGACAGTAGTTTACTTTCCCCTACCTGAGATTTTCTTTGTACGTCGATTAGAAAATTGTTTATTATCTAAATTTCAATAGAAAAATACATGTTTATTCATGATGTGAGTTACTGTAACTATGTGGGTTCTCGGAATACTATATCAATTACACCAGTGATAACCTTATCATTTAGCCATCCTTCGTTATACGTTTCTCCATGTTTGGTTGCGTATTGTTCAAGCAATGTTTTTTCATAGTCGGAAGGCGCTTGGTCAAGCAGCTTGATGTCGTAATACATTAACAGCGTTCCGTTGATGTGTGACACAATGTGATGTAGCTGATGTCCCTTGCGCAAGTCCCAATACCTCTCAACCTACGTCAAGGAATGAATGGATTTTATACACTGTTTATACTAAAACGTTTAGAGCGTTGGTAAATCGAACAAAGATCATGCAGGATATGGTTTCAACAAAACCTTTTCTGTGAGTGTACTGTCCTGTACACATTCAGGTGGACTCGGAGGTGTCGTTACTTCCATTTTATCCTTTATCTGGTCTGAAACATATTTTGAGTAATAAGATAAATTATCTATTGTTTTATCCATTGATTAAGAATTTATTACCGTTTTTCGGTCTTAACAATGCGTTATATATCAAGAAGTAACGTTTCTTTACCGATTAAAGTAATCGTACTGTATAGTATCGTTAGTTATAATTCGAGATCAGATGTCCATTTAGAATTTTATTTATGAGATATATAATATATATAACGGCTCAAGCCAAGACGCGCCTACGGGGATCAAATCGCCAACAAAAAGTTTAAAATATAAAAATATGCACCTTGCTCTGATATCGATGTACTTTCATCAGTCATAATTTGAACCTCAAAATGTTCTAAATAAAAAACACATTCCTATCTTTTTAAATTTAGATTAAAATGAAGACTGCTAACATTCAGGAGCGTAACCAGTAAAGGGTTGATTATAGGCTTACACCACGCTTAAAGGATAATAATAATTAATAAAAATCCAATATGGCTGTGACAGTTAGGTAAACGTTTGTCGGAATGGTCTGTCGTATGTTTATATATAGTTGATCTTACACTTATACTTATAGGTTTTTTCAAAACGTATTTATAGCAAACCTTCTGAGCTGTAAAACAGCATATATACGTCTCCGTTGAAGATGGTTTCGCACAACTGTTGTGGCTTGACCAGTTTGTCGTCGATTAGAAACCACCTTTTATTTCGTAAAACCGTACAGTTGAAATGACCCTCTTTTGCATCAATTCCATAGTGTGTCTATATGAGACATTTAAATTGACACGTCAACGCGAAGCCCGTACAAAAGAAATCAAGCCCGCTTTTCAAATCGTTTGAATATACATTTATACTTACTAAAAGCTGAAAGTTTGTATGTATGTCTTCGTCCCAACAAGTCGTGAACGCCAATTAATTCTTGTAACTTAAGGCGAACATGCTGTTTTTCCCCATTCTTTGTTACTGGGAGGATGTTGCAAATTAGACTCGATGGTAGTTTCATTGGCTGTCGCAATTCTACGATATCTTTCTCTTTTTCTTCACAGACACTATAATTAATCAACATGTCTCAATAGTCTATCGTATATACTAAAGCATAATCACAATGTATATTATACTAACGACGAAATGCTATACTATATATCCGTACCAAAATGAAGATTTAAGATCCTTATCTTCCAGCTCGAAGTTGTTTAGCAGCATATTTTCCACCGTTTGAAGACATTTTTCTCTACTTGGCAGGTTTAAAACTGTGAAGGCAACATCCTGGTGCTCGTTATGTTTTCCACAGCTTCGGCATACTAACTGCACCCTTTCAACTCCACGACAGGCACTGATTTTTAATGGAATGGATGTTTTATATTGATGCCATGCGATATCAATAGATCGGAACATTTATAATTGAGTCAAGCAACAGATAGGTATTATACTAAATTAATTGTATATAATATTGTTGCTATATCACTTTTGTTTTTTTGAATAATTTATAGGGTGAGTATAAAAAACTGATGCTCATAATAATTTTCCTAATTGAAGAATTTCCAACAGGCGCAGTTGATAACAGTTTTATCATCTCGAACAATTAGAATACATTTTAACTTCCAGCGCCAACAAGATTTCTCTTTTAGATTCACGATTAATGATTCGCCAAATATGCGGCAAATTTGTATTTGAACAGTGATCAGTTTTTATTCACCCTGTATGTATACAGATAGAAGTCTGTTCAACGACATGTTAATTACTTTATACATTACCTCTGCAGTGCTTCATCGCCTACAGACGAAGTGTAGCGTAAAAGACTATAAAGAAAATCGCCTGGATCATCGGGATCGTTCGAATTCACGAGTTTAGACGCAAGGCTCTCCAATTTCTGGGATACATCTTCTTGTCTAACTTCGATGTATGTTCGGGCTAAGTAAAACAACAACCACGAAAGGTCGCTTCCGCTGGGGGATTTCACTGGAATACACGATGCCAGACATTGCAATAAGCTGTTTACAAAGCAACGATTTTTCTTCGGTGGATTTTCTAGTCCCTTCAAAAGAAAGAGTGCAACAGTGGGTATAGTACTGACCTCTTTTATAGTTATAGCTACATGATTAGAGAAAATGACAATTTTCGGATTACATACAATTATATGAATTTAATAAATTTTACTAACGGTACTTAATGAAGAAATTAAGCAACTTATATATAGTGATAAATATGCATGCACAATTATAAAAAAAGATCCTTACTCGAGGTATAAACCGAACGTCAGGTTCTTCCGTCAATTCTTCCCTTTCCCAAGGGTCGTCAACTCTCGCTTCATTGACATTGCCAGTAGGACTGCTAACCGTATTCTCGTCACTTGAATGTGTCCCAAAAGCAGCATCTGCAGGGAAATAAGGCAGTGTATCACACCCCTCTTTTGTAATATAAATGTGAATAGGTATATATGCGTAGGCCTAATACAATAATGCTCTACCTATATTTCCAGCGATAATGATCCTTCCTAATGAATCAACAGTCGTATGTGCTACTAATCCATGCTTTTGTAGGGCCTGCTCTTGACGACCGATCTCCTCGTTGTTTTTTTTCTTGTTTCGCAGATGAACAAGAAGTCGTTTCATGAATACGTGTGTAGCCGGTTGCATCATGTTGAGGAAATAGTTGTCTTTGTTCATTACACTGTGAAGTTGTTCGTGCGACTCGCTGTTTACATTTGCGTGGAGCTGCGGGCATATCACTAATCGTCGAAGCACATCGTCTGGGTTGTTGGAATTTTTCTCGTGGAATCTGTCATACATGCTGTAACGCTCTTTCGTTCATGTCATTGGATGTGTGTCATCAGTCGTTAAACCAGCGTTGGCATTGGTAAGTGCTGAACATGTCCACCATGGAAAGTGTTTTTTCAGTTTGCCATCTGTCGCCAGTCGGATATTTTCGTCCGATGAAGGAAAGGGTTTTCCTTCGTTAGGATTGAAAAAACCTGGCTCAAGTCGATTCATCAGGTGGGCAAGTCTTTGTGGGATGTCAGATACGTTGAATGTAGGTGGATACTTAAAAGATCGAAGAAGGTCTGAATAATCCCGCGGTCCCTCGCTTCTGAGGACGAACTTGATCGCATAAATTCTGTTGTGCGGACAAGAGCCTGACGCCCATCCACCTAAAAAGATAACAAGCAGGAAAATCATACAAATCAGTCAAATCGTCGCTTTACAATTCTGCATGTAAACGTATAAAACTAGTCATTAAAACACTTACCCGACGCTCCCCATATCTTTGTAAATATCTTTTTGTAGTGTGTTGGTACATTCAACTTCTTTCTCAGGAATGATATAACGTCGTTTTTGGGTAGATGTGAACTGCCTTTCGCTCCCAGCTGACCACACAACCTCTGCAACACATGGACCTATTATATAGAAAAAAACATTGACGTTGATATAGCAACATTAATTTCATGCACGGGTTCAACATTCATGCATGTCAAAAAGCTTTTGCAAAATTAGAAAAATGCAAATATTATCGTGTGAAGTGTTTGTTATGTGAGACATTTGTTGAGAATCGTATTTTTAATTCAAATAATCATTGTGGGGACAGTTATGACAGGTTTAGCCAATTTTAAGATTGCATCCGCGATAACTGAACCTGAGACTTCGTTAATGCATGCAAGCATGCTTGGTTTAGAGATTTGTATGAACTCATGTTTTTTAATCTATACCTGCGCAAAATTCATCATGTCCAGTAGATCCTCTTCAGAATATGTTGTTAAATTCATATCCTCAAGCACCTGGTCACTTTCTGGGATTCTATGACACTTTCTGTACTCCGTGTTATATGCACTGTCCCCTTTTCTTGTGTGCGGACCAATCCATGGAGCCCAGAACTGGTAGTTGGCCTTCACTTGAAATGAGGAACTCTTGTTCGCTATATTTTGGGTGTGAATTAAAGTTTTAAATTAGTATAAAAGTTTTATTAGGTTTTAGCCAGGCGAAGTTGACAAATTTAGTATATTTTTGTATTACGTGCGGATATAGATGTAACTAGGTCCATATATACTTACCGTTTACACCTCTTGCTAAATGCATCACTTCAACACTTTTCCAGAACTCTCTAATGCTTACACGGTCTGAGTCGTCACATTCAGGTGGAATATCTAGATCGCTAACTATTTTTTGATAAAAAATATATAACGTATTTAGGCCTTAATATATGTATATATATAGAGAACAAGACGGTGCACTTACGTGCGATTGAGAAACACCCTTTCTTGCAGAGATCCCAGTTTAGATGTGGAGGGTGATTTCCGCAGAGCACACATGTAAAATCGTATATGTGTTCAGTAAGAGCTTCGAAGTGATAGTAAGCATTTCGCACAACGGTTTGATTAAGTTTCACTCCGGCAGTGCTACCAACTGCTGATGCGACTCTTCCTAATGCTGTATGCTCCTGCAATAATTTAAATATAACTTTATCAGTCGAGTCCTGCAGGTGCAGGAGTCACTCATTTTTGGCTTCTCTACCAGCTTACCTCGACAAATGCTCGTAACAGCAACAGGAAGCTTAGACTAAAGCAATGGTAATCGTCAAAGTTATGAAGCCCATCCGTATACTCCTGATATCGGTATATCAGTCCACATTGTGGACATGATTTGTAACATAGTTCAACATCTGAAAAATATAACATGTTTTGTTTATTTTTGCATTTTGAAAGAAATTCCGTAACCATGAAATAATACCCTTTTCAATTTGAACGCCATGTTTACGTAGCTGACTGCATAATTATAAATATTGAGCGTGATGTGTTATCGAAAGCTCTGGGTGCATTAATTTAGCACAAACTTACCTTCAATAACTTTGGTTAAAGTAAATATCTTTCCTTTCCGTGTAATCAATTTCTCTTTGCTAAGGGCAATACCTTCGCAATTGCAGCACGTTTCTTCTGTTGGTACCAGAACACGTGGAAAGGACAGAACATCAGCATCATGTGTCAATGATCGTGGTAGAGATGGCGGAATTCTCTTCGCTGAATATATGTATTCTACCATTCTGGTTAGCTGTAAATCGTTTGGGGGGTACTCTCCAACGTTTACAAAAAGAGTCTCTTCTTCGGCTGGATTATCTACCGATTCGCTTTCACTGACATCGTTTCCGTAGTCGTTTATTGCCGCGGTTTCTGATTCTTGTGGTGTACTGTCATTGGACAAATCATCTGGTCTCACCTGATATAGATACCACTTTCCGATAGCTTTATGGACGCAGGTGACCTTCAAACGGCAGCAACCGCAAGACCATTTATTTAAAGTAATATCGAACGACACTACCACTCTTTTAAATCGGGAATAATGGTGTACTTCTCCGACATATACTGAGAAGTGGCGAAATCTGTTTGAAGTTTCGTTTTTGTTGCAAAACTCGACAATCAGCGGCGCGCTTGCACTTTCTGCTACCATTTGTGCTTGAAGGCATTCTTGTTCTCTGCTTTGTTTAAGCCACTTCATTTTAACAATTAGTTCTTCGAGTGCTCTTCGTGTAATTTTAGGTGGCCCTTTGAATGGTTCCGAAACGTACGGCACGCTTTTCAAATGACAGCAAGTAAAATTTGGATTCCCGCTTCTTCTCGCTGTCTTAGAAACCTCCCTACATTCGTCTAATTCGCATGAGAATCCACCTTCGCTTCCAAAGCTGTGAAGAACATGAATAGGATGACTAGTGCCACTAAATGAGCGTCTTACCAAATACAGTCCCTTGCGCGAATCAACGCAAACTCCGTAAAGATGTCTGTTAGCATTTATGTAATCGGGTGTGACATGAATGTATTTTATGTGGTTCCGAAGTGATTTTTTGGATGAAAAACATTTCAAACACGACTCGCACTCTAAAGTACCTTGCTGGTTATTAATGTCGCTTGAACTCGTGCGCGATTCACGATCCTGTAAGTCAGATGTTTGCGACTGTCCCGTAAGTGATTCGTCGCGAGCAAGAGTTTGCCTCTTGTGGGAATACAAATGATTAGTAAACGAGTCCGTTCGCTCGAAAATTCTATCACAGGAGCAACAGTGAAAATGCGAAACATTGTTAACCATGCTTCCGTCTGAGGAAATGCATTCAAGCCGACATCTTAAAATGACAAATTCTAAAATAGGTAAAAGAAAACATGATCTTGAAACAGTCCATTCTAAAATTAACCAGAACTTAAAAGTATGAGCTACATATTTATAGCCAAGTGCATTATGAAGTGACGTCCTCAATTACATAAAATTTGCTATGATTAGGTGAAGTAAAAAATTCATTAACTTCCATGCACAAACATTTCGGCCTTCGTTGTATCAAGTAATTGCACGAACAACTCTTGCATGCATGCATGGAATGAACTATATGTAGTCTATACTGATAATTATCCTGAGACGGTGGTCATTCCACATCCTTTTGCTGGCCGTGTAATCTATATGACTTGGTAAAAATGACTATAACTATACATACAGCTTACCGTCAAAAGAGATTCTTGTTTTCCAGTGAATAGCATGAAAATGTTTAAGCAACTTGCATCGTTTCAATCCTTTGATTTTCGTTGGAGTACATAGTGGGCAATGAAACAGTTTACCTCCGCACTCACAGCTTTCTGAAGTACATCGCTGAAATATATCTCCTGGAACTTCCGTTATGCTGCTTCTCCATACGGATGATATAGAATTCATTGCCATTGACAAGTAAAACCTCGCTAAAACACAATTGGTGAAAAAGTAAAATAATTTGACACATGTGTTACAGGTAATTTATGTCTTGTATATTATCACTTCGTTCAGTGCTTATTCATATTATCTAATAAAGTAACCAAATAAAATACTTACATTTAATTGTGAGACAAGTTGCTGTTTTTTCTACCTTGTTCTTCTAATGGTTTCCGTTTAGCAACTGCATGTTCATGCATACAATGTTGCTTTAAACCAGCATCGAATTATTGTGCTTAGCTTAGGAGTTCTTAAATTCTCCCCTTATATAACCAGGTCGGGGAGTGGTTTTTTATCCCACGAAGTAAACTTCCTGTTGATACTGATAACTTAATTCCTGTTGTGCTCGACCTGCTAGACTTAGACATCACTTGAAAATTTAAAAATTTTGAACATTTGAGTTTTAAGAACCGAGAAGGGTGTAACGGATATCGGAAAATGGTAAGAGGATGGTGTAACGGACATCGGATAATTGATTATTAGGATTAAATGTAAATATAGACTAACACTAATAGAATAAGGAACAACTAGTTAGTTGCCGCGGATGCACCATTGCAAGTGCTTCCGAGATTTTATAAATATAGAAGTTGATACTGATAAATATAGCATTATATATACAATATATAACTCATTGAACTCAGTTGAACAGAGTCAATGAGTTATGAGTTAAAAAAATTTCCTGCATTTCTACCAGTGCCAGTGTATGTCTGCAAAGGCTTCTAATTAGGATAATTTCTAACCTTCCTACCACAATTTTGATTTTAATTTTCAAATTGCCTTATTAAGCAGTTATTTAGGGGACATTTATGACAACTGAGATAAAACAAACGTTAGGAAATTTTCAAAAAATTGAAAAAAATTTAAAAAACATTTGAGTTTTAAGACCTCGCGAGGCTGCATGTTAGCCCAGCAAGTTACTCTCGTGTGCGGATGGGTTTATGAGGAAATCGCCTCGAGCGGCAAGTTTCTCCCGTGTGCGAATGGTTTTCAGGCTGAGTTATCAGCTAACTGTCCCGCGAGGTCGTTAGCTCCACTGATAGCTCTCGTGTGCGGCGGACTTTACTTCGGTGGTATTGTCCCACTCTGTACATAGGAACACATGCATATATACAACCGCTTGAAATTCTAAAGTATTAAGACTGGATTATTGACGAATACTCCTAACCAGACGAAAAATGAAAGGACTCTTTCTTTATTAGCATACGAGCCCATACCTTATTGACTTACAACTCAAAACTGATAAACTCATTTGACTTATAAAACAGGCGACATCGTCCTCGAGACGAGAAGGGTGTAACGGATATCGGATAATGCTGGATAAGGGGATGGTGTAACGGACATCGGATAATTGATTATTATAGGATTAACTGTAAATATAGACTAACACTAATAGAATAAGGAACAGCTAGATGCCGCGGATGCACCATTGCAAATGCTTCCGAGATATATATATATAAATATAGAAGTTGATAGTAAATATAGCATTATATATAATTGTATAATCTGTACGTATCTACTTAAAATAAATCATAGGGGCTTGAGCACGCCACATAACATGCCAAGATATTTTTTTTCTTTTACATTTATACAGTCAGACACCGACGCGAAGTGAGGCACGGCTCTTTGTCTATTATACATATAAATTTAAAATTTTAATGATTTTCGTCTAGTTTTTCTCAAAAAACAACCGTGAGACATGGTATATTCTCTATTCTGACCCCTGCAACTGATCCGAGCCTGGCATAACATGCAGTGTCGTGAAAATGTGTCAAATGTCATGCATGTTCGTCAGTAGAGTTATGGTGTATTATATATATTCATATATATTCATTTATGTGGAAATATAGTAAATTTGTAAACAGGGATGAAATATAATTGGATGAAAGACGCAATCCTGCAGGGGCTCTTTTAAAGTGAACATTGTGCAAAACAGTAGGGGTGTATTGAAGAAGGATCATCTCTTCGCAATGTTTACCTCTTTTACAATTTTCAGCCTGCTGGCAGAGAGCCCCTTGTAGTTAAAATTGCTGCTTTCATATGCACTGCATATTGAATATTGACATAACGATAAGTACTTTCATTTTGTGAAATTCCACATTTTCCAATCTTTGCCACACCTATACTTACAATATCGGATACATGACTGCGAAAATTCTATGAAAATTTCCTTTCTCAGTGCAAGTTAAAAACACACAGTTTACTTAGACGGGTACAAGCCATTTCGCAATATTCCTCGTTTTAAGGAAAATCATCACAGGCTATAATATTAAATTATTACAGGGGTTTTGAAGGGTCTTAATTTCGAATGGAATTACACACTTCAAATTAGATTAACATTAAATTAATACTATCAATATTATTAATGATAGCTGTGTATTATTATCGAACGTGATTCCAAACGATTCCACCAGTTAGTGACATTTATTTCAAACTACAAGTGGTTTTTAGTCTACTTAATAACCATGCGTCCAAATCCAATTTAGTAGCTATAATATGCAGAAAATCCTGTCAATGCATGAAATATTGTAGCATGGCAGTAACAACAGTTGTCCCACAAACTGAGCAAAATTTTCTTGTTTCATCAAAATATAATGATCTGACAGTTTGTTTCTAGTTAGAAATTTGTCTTTTTTGAATCTCCGAGGATACAACCACATTTTTCAAATTGGTTACTTTCTCGTTATGTGCGTATTGTACATCCACCCAACCAACCACAATAGTATTTTTATTTTGCTTAAAATTCGTGCGGTGGAACAACCAGTAAGTCGTACTATACTTTTATCATGTCTCTGCGAACGGGTATTTTAATAACTGTATTACGTAATAAGAAAGATCATACCTAATTGCTCCTTTCCAACCATCAGCGAAACTAATTAACTGGATGAAAACACAAGAAGAGCTTGCGAATTGATCGTTAACAATGAATGAAAAATTCCCTTCGTATTTTCTAAAATACGGTGGGAAATATGAAAATATAGCTAGTTTAAAGATATTAAGTCTGATATCTAACAGCTCTCTTGCTTCAGTTGCTTTTAATCTGCTTTTAATGAAAATCCTCGAGATTTTCAGTAGACCCAGCTTGATAGGTAGTCACTACCTATTTCAATTAATATATGAAAATAATATAACTTAGCATCAAATGTGGTATAACAACTGCCTAAAATAGACAAAACACTTCTTGACGTTTCGACCTGAGGGCCTTCGTCAGTACTCAGGAGAGTTAGTACGAATGAAAGCCCTTTATGAATGAAAAAAATAAGGGAAAAAAAGGGGAAAGTCATGAGTAACTTATGTAAAAAATTTTTTGTAAATTAAGGGGCGTAACCAATAAACAGAGGGGGTAGTTAGTAGTTTGTTGGACAACCACTAACCATGCGGTTCGTATGAAAATGAAAGGGTTTTATTCGTGTGTGATGAAACTCTTTAACTCTATTTATACCGGGGGTTTGCACGGGGGTGCGTGCAAACAAGTGATTCCATTCGCTTGCCCTTTTATGACTTTTAATATTTTTCCTCTACAATATCACAAATGTGAAAATTTTGTTTGAAAAGTTCAAAGTTATCGGGTCGTTTGACGACATTTGTCAAACAAGGTGTCGAGCCGAAAATAGGGAAAATGGGGGTTGGTGATTTATGAAAAAGAAAAATGGTAGTATTTATGGACATCAGAGGTATGCCATAACATTAAACTATGTCGTTTGAATTTAAAAAAACAAAAAATAACACATCCAAAATGTTTTTGTGTCTTCATAGAAAAGAACCAAAATCATAGAATATTTAGGGATTTTTGCCATTTTTCGATAGGTGGTCGTATCGAATGGGGCCAAAACGCAGCATTTTGGATGTGAATTAAACTTTTTTGTTATTTTAGGTTAAAGAGAGATAAAACTTCCTAAAAATATAACTAAAAGGATAATTTCAGGTAATCGACAGAATATCTGAGGGGTGTGCCCTATCAGCAAACCCCCGGTCATATCAACATCAAATAAACCCCGGTACAAATAGGGTTAAGGAACTATGTAGATATACATGTGTAGTAATAGGTTGTGTATTATTGTTGGCGATGTTTGAAATCAAAGGTATGCAAGGAGGTAGTTACAAAAGGATAACAGAAGACAAGATAGTCGAGCGTGCGAATCAGCGATCCTTCAACCCGTGTGTTGAGCCTTTAGACTGGAAATTTAGGACGAGAAATTATCTGTGACCGAATTCACATCAGACGAGTTTCCAGGCTCTAATATGAATTATGAATAGGTCCCGAACTAGGGCATGAGTAGTTGAATCAGGCCTTTATATAGGCGCTGTTTATATGATCTCGGTTATCCAGGTAAACTTGTGATCATAATCAGTTGTAGCAGCTGAAACGCAAGTGTTTATACACTGGCGGTCAAAAAGAACTGCTCAAATGTTGCTATTGTCGTATGTAACAGGAATCGTAACAATCAATCTTTTATTGTACACTAGCGGTCAAAAAGAACTGTTTAGATACAAATTCATAAAGAAGAAGCGAATATAGGAGAGAGCTTCATAGGAATTTTGGATAATTCTCTTATTCCAAGCAATATTTCAATAATGTAATGCAACCTGCCACACTTCCAAGATATAGTCAAACAATGGTGTCAGGAAGAGGGAGTGACAGAAATGGATTCGAGTGCACAGTCAAAAGACCTTAACCATATCGAACATCTGTGGGACAATGTGAAAGCGATAGTGCAAGAAAGGAATTAATTCATAAAGCGTCCATGATTTATGCATAGCTGTAAAGACTGTCCATATAGGATGAATTTCTTTTGAGCATTAAGATTACCACCTTAACAGAAGTATGCCACGCCGGTGTAAGGCCGTCATCAATTATAAGGCCGAAGGAGGGTCAACAAAATATTAATATTTCATATAGCTTAGCATGTATCTAGTCTATATTTACTCTTATATATTGTTAGAGGGACAGTTACGTTCATTTGAGAGCATTTTAACTTGTTTTGAGCAGTTCTTTTTGACCGCCAGTGTATTAGGAAGTTTTAAACTCGTCTCGGCTGGTTGGGTCAACGTGGGTGTGACACGCTGTTTACGAAAAAGAGTAACCCTAGTGGTAGGGAGAACCATGTAGCCTTACACTGTCTCGGCCTCCAGGGTTAACTTTTCCTACCGGTGCGTGCGCAATAGCGAATAGAACATTGATTAAAAAGACACTATCGCTTGCTATTTGTTTGCAATTTTATCATATAAAGGGTTGGCTTGGTATAGTTGTCTTGGGAGTATGATGTCCCCGATATACGAGATCAGATAAACAGCGCCCTAGTCTTTGACTTGTAAAGCAGTATTTCAGATAGGTAGACCGTAGACACTGAGAGCCATGCGAAGGTTTGCAGGTATTGTTCAGTTTAGGCCACTAAATAAATACTTCTATGATGAGAGAACATGCATTGGAAGTACATGTGAATATCCTGATACGGTTCCAGTAAAATAGTAATAGCAATAATAAAATGCCAACATCAACTAAGTCTAAGATGTCTACAAGACGACGACACAAGACAATAATAAAACGCATTCTGTTGGATTACTAACGCGGTAATATTCACATTGACGTTTATATTAGCTAAAATTAAACAGAGCATCTTAGTCCTATTTCAACTTTCTAACTCCAGTTATTAAACGTGCCAAACATCTTTGGTCTATAATTGTAAACGAACTAACACGGCTGTTTGTCGCGTCCGATAACCGCATTACCGCAGGAGAAACGCAAGTGACAAATAAGGCTATATACACCATATATGGCAGGGGCTCTCTCGTGTAATTGGGGTCTTTTTATGAGGGGTCAGCACTGCCAAGTATAGTAGTATAATTATGCACTTTTGATTTAATTAATTATTATAATATATTTCGTGACTCGTAACATGGGGGAAAACCCTGGGTACGAGGTTGAAGAAGAATCCAAGATTACAAAAACATTTTGCCAAGATGGCAATGTGAAATTCAATTCTTTGCGAGAATTTAAATGGTTTCGTACGGCAGAAGTATGGATTTCTCTGAAATTGCTGAGGGTAAGATGTTGTACATATCGCTTTTTAGCCATTGCACGACTTCAACGCGTGGTTTTTACATTTGGAAACCGAAATATGAACTATAAAAGAAAAATTATTATCAGCATGTTTTATCATGAAATCCCATTAGTTTTTCATCACTAGAAAGTTACGAATTTGTTCTTGCTATTGCTTGCGTGGATTCTGGGGTGAAGAAAATGGGAGAGTATATGAGCAGTATTTGCATGAAAGTTTCACATAAATATTCTCCTTTTCGGTGTTTGAAGATTTTTGGACCAGGAACTGGTCCCTAACCGCTGCTAATCTTCTTGTTGTTGTTGTTAGGGGGGCGACGCTCTTTAAAAAAACCCTAAGGCTCTATTGTTACTTGTTTGATCGGAATGAAACTTGGCACAATTATTCTAAGCAATATTCCGCATCGATTGACGGAGTTCGAATTTTTACTTTTGACCGTTGAAGCAAGTTACAAGCAATTCTCAAGCAATATTCAGCCTATATATCATTAATATTCAGCCTATATATAAGAATACGCAAATGATTAGAAATACATTGTCCTCTCTATTGTTGTAAATACAATGCAGTTCAGAAACTCAGTCACGCAGTTCCTGGTCCACTATCGTACGATCGTACTTGTTAATTTAAGAGTTGAATGGAAGTTGTGGTGTACATATACAACAGATCTGGTAGATTCAGCCTGGATGTGTGGGCATACTTTATGACCTCCAATGATTGTTTGAATCCATTTTTGTTCATAAATATTAGGAAGTTCATAACCAATAAGGGCTTTTTTAAATTTAAATAAAGCCATGTAATTTATAACACCTCACCCAGTTGCAGTATTAAAAAAGTGAAGTAATAATAAGAAAAAATTACATAAATTAATAATATGTAATTCCTATATTTTTCTTTACAAAATGTTCAAACTACTGCAAATTGACACAAAAAATTCTCCAAAGACTGTGTTAGTTTACGTATATTTCCTAATTTTTTTACCAGACGTTTTCCATAACAGGATTATTTAGCATATGCTGAGTGTATATACAAATGTAAAGCATACAAATTTAAACTTAAATATTGATATATTGTAAGATATGAAAATATGATGATATACTGAAAATCCAATCATTGAATAATCATACTTACAAAAGTCAGGGGTGGATTTACTGGGGGGTGCAGAGGGGGTGCAAATTTCCACATCAAATATTTATGTACCAAGCAATAAAGCAAAAATAATTGTTATATTAATGAAGCAAATTTACAAAAAATATCTTGAATTGTAATTATGTTGACAGAAAGTCAATCAAGAGTATGACTATTTAGCTGTTAAGTGGTTACCCTTAAGCTAACTATCTTTCTAATATTTGACCAATTATTTTACAAGTCAATTGAAACACTTTTCTGAATATATTTAATGACAGCAGCTATGTATCACCCCATCTAAAAATGTTTGTGATATTAACATGTATTTCTAACAAGTTTTTTGCATTGAAGTTTTACTGTATACTGCCCTCCCAGGTGAATGTTTAATATCACTGAATCAGCTTACTATTTTAGTGATTTCATTTTCTGTATCCTATGCTGATAGTTTCACTGTATACATTGCTTCCCTGATGAATGTTGTTGAATATCACTTAAGCTACTCTATATGCTACGTACTAAGTCAAATTGCTATTTTAACGAGTTATTTCATAATAATCATGTTATAACACAATAAACACAATTTAATTTTGTTATTTTCCTAGATGATATTTCAAATTTGGGATTTGAGTTTGGTAAGTAACCTGTACACAGTTGCATGCTTTGTTTGGAGTGTCAGTGCAATATTTAGGTCACTGTAGGCCATGGTACAAACTGAATTGATAATTGGTAAATTAAAAAGTGCAATTAGAGTTTGTAATATTCTTTCATTTGGAATAAAAATCATTTTCCCAAAAGGAAAAAAATTGTGCCAATATTTTCAGAGGAACTGTGGATGAGCCCCTTCAGTTTGATGACTAGGGTCCTGCATATTTTTAGATACTGACCAAAGTACGCCTGCAAAGAAACAGGGAGGTGGAGGGAGAGGTGGAAGGATGCATCCACAAGGAATCCCACACCAGAGAGGTTTTGGTCCAAGGGGGGGACCTCCAAGATTTATGGGTCCAGGTGGTCCATTTCCACCTATGAGACCTCCATTTCGGGAACCTCCTTTCCCACATGATGGCCCACCTTTCGATCACTCATTTGATCATGAAAGTCCGCCATTTGATCATAGAGGACCACATTTTGAACCACGATTTGGTCCCCGTGGACCACGCGGTCCTCGAATGGAACCACCATTTTCACCGAAAGGGCCTCATTTTGGCCCACGAGGTCCACGGGACCATCCTATGAACCGTCCAATGCCACCAGGAGGCAGTCCAGGTGAGCGACCTGCAGGACAAGGAGAACGTACAGTGCGGCCAAATCAACCAAATCGCTCCAATACATTGCCTAAAGGACCTCGAACGCCTCAAACTAGACCACAACAGCAAAGCCAGGGAGGTGAAACCCAAGCAAAACTTCAATCAACGCCACAAAAACAGCCAAACCAGAATAAACCCAAAAACGATTCAGGAAAAACAAGGTATTTACACTGATATTACATTTCTGCACTTTTGAAATCCACATATCCAGTAATAACAAGTTTAACCAGCTATAGACAAAAAATATCATGGAAATGCGATATATGACAGAGAAAAATAATTTACTCGACATGTTACTTGACATGTTACGATATGATGAAAATATATTCGATAATCCCACTGATCTTGATAATACACTGATCTGATGATAATACAACCGCAATTGAAAAGAATCAACACATCACGCGATCTCAAGGAAGGGTCTTTCAGAGTAATTTTACAATTTTCATGGTCTAAAAATCAGTTTGTATCAGGTTCTAAATCAACCTTAAAGTCATGAGATGATAGCGACGCCCGCAAGGTAATATTTTCCTCTGTTCAGTCACCGGAAGTTCATCAATTCTTTTTTCGTTTTTGATGGGAATACAATAGTTGCAATATAATATTCAGTGTATTGTTAAAGTGGTATACTTCAAGCGGCTCGTTTTACCTCCGGAATTTCGCGAAACCACAATTTTCAGTTTGCCAATCCACAAGACAATAGCAGCATAAAACCTAAAGATCATAATATGTTATGATTCGTTACTATAGTAACGTGGTGTTATATACTCGATAACTTATAAGTGTTTATAGCCAAAAACTCGTCCTTTTGTTTATATTCATGCGAATTTGTGGGCGGTGAAGCCGAAGGATTTTTTGCCTAAGAAACAATCGTCTGTAAAATCACTCAATGATAAAATTGATAAGCCGTTTCAACTTTTGGCTCATTGTAGATGCCTTGACGTGTGCGGGTATTTTTCAGAGTAATTTTTTTGTATACAATAGTTGACTGATTAATACCGTAATATTTCCATTTGTAGTGAGAATGGTTCACGTAAAGAACAGGATCAGGTTTGTTTGAATTCCCGTTTTTTAAGACTCCCATTGCTCACACCTGTTGAACTTTGTTAGTTTCTATTTAGTCGTTTCTATTGTCTGCATCCTTACGGTGATGATAAAAACTACTGCGCCCGCCGCCCCTCATTATCTTTACAACTATTCTTAAATATCTTTAGAACGCGGTAAAAGGCTCGGAAGTCAAAGATGTTGTTAAGGTACTACTAGTATTGTATTTGCATGGAAATTTACCGTCTACAAGTGGCGTATTTCAGATTCCATTCGATAATTTCCTTTTTTCAATCACTGTGCAATATTTATTTTTTCTCGTAACCACTGTAGGAAAAACACGAATGTGACGGTGAAGAAAATGAATCGTAAGTGAACAGGTTACAATCTTTTTGAAAAGACGCCGCGCTTAAACCGTAGCAGTTTGTTTCTTGCTGTTTATTTTTATTATTTCATGGATATAATTACATATTAATTTATCTGACTCCGTCTTTCAAATTCCTGGTCTACACGATTAGACCTTTCCATGTCTACAAGTTCATGTTTAGGTGAATAGTTAATAACCGAAATTAAAATCTATGAAAAGGCAAAGGAATATATTTAGCTTCAATTTTTATTTCTCATTTCATACCTAAAGGAATGATGTTGATTTGGAAGATGCCGTGAGTATTCATGGGGATGAAGAATTCGATATTGAAAAGGATCAGGAAGAGCAAAATAAGGAGATAAAGAAACAAAATACTGCTGGTATACACCATCTTATATTTTGTGTACATGAAGTAATATAATTTAATTTGGAGTAATTTAGCGTGATATTCGTATTGTGTAGTTTTATTCTGTTTTGATATCTTTTAGATTCTAAGATAAAAAGTAAGAGTGAAAATGAAGAAAAAGGGAAACCTAAGGGTACGGTATTCGGGATGTACTTTAATTGATGATTTTATTGATGGATTGATTGATTTTTACTGGCGGGATTTTGAAGTACTGTTTTTCATTGTGCAGCTTTAATATTGTTATTGCAAATTTTTATTAATTTTGCTAAAATTTTGCCTGATGTTCTTAATCTAGTTTGTTAACCATTTCAGTATACGGTATATATGTTTCATCGTATTTTTGAAGGTGACAGATCAGAAGATAAAAAGGATTTTAATCGTGGAAGAGGACGAGGTGGTAGTTTTGGTCGTGGAAGAGGATTAAATCGTGGTAGAACACCACCAAGGTAGATTGCGTAGAAAAAATATCTTCTATCAAGACTTAATCTCAAAGTTTTTCTTCTAAATGAACTTGGCTTTGGCAGGAAATCACAGTGAATTCTAAATTCTGTTTAAAGGTTTCATGGACCTGAGCGGGATATGCATCCTCCTTTTCACGATAATGGGCCTCGACCATTTCCAGCAGGACCATTTCACCCTAATTTTCGTGGACCACCTGGTGAGGGATGATTAGAAACACATGTCTATTATTACTCTGTTGTGCAAAAAGAACTGTCAGATAATTTGTGAAAACCCTTTTGTACCTTTTTTATCTTCGTCTTAATCATTGATTTATTATTTTACAAGATAGCGCTTTCCTGCTGGTTATTTCCTTCACTGACACATATATTTTCTCATGTTTTCTAGTTGGAAAAAATATTCACGTGAATCCTCGTTTTATGGCTCCTAGGCCTGGGTTTGAAGGTAATTTACTGCATTTCGTTCAAAATTCAGACGAATCTTGCTGTAAAATACATTTTTGCAGTGGACTACTTTTCGAACATTTTCGCATGTACCAAAAAATAGCGGAAGAATGGGGTTACCGTACGTTCAACGCCTAATCTTCTAAATCGCCGTCAAAAATCTCCTGTCTAGTCGAGGCTTATTACTTTTTCCCATTCCGCCAAGTATTAAAGCCCAAATCTCAAGTCTGTGTTCACTGTTTCATAAAACTAGTGTCTATTTATACATGATTGAGCTGTATTTGTCGAGGCAATAGTTTTTTGGGAGGGGTTTTCGCACAATTACAATACAGTCTTATTAAGCGAGTTTATCAAGTTGCCCTAAAGGCGGATTTCCACTTATAGCGAAATCGTTCGCTAGCGAAATATTTGCATATTTTCTTTTGATTTTTAACGGCATAAATAAATTAGGGCAACTTGACTGGTCACAATTCAAAAGAAAATATGCAAATATTTCGCTAGCGAACGATTTCGCTGTAAGTGGAAATCCGCCTTAAGAGTACCAGAAAACTTGTATGTGGAGGCACATGGCCCTGCTATGGTATATATGATCTGATAGTATCATTTGTCTTCTGTTAGGTCATCGTGGTCCTCCTCCCATGAGACTTCCAGGTCCATTTCCTGGCCAGGTATTACCACCGCCACCAGATCTACAAGTTAGAGGATTGCCACCAAGGCCTGGTTTACCTGGAAATCCAGAATTAGCACCACGAGTAAGCAATTATTATGTCCATGTCCGATAAAGATTGAAATTACAAGGAATTAGGTTTCATCTTTAAATTGCGAAAGATTAGTTAATTCAGATTGTTTGTTTTATTTTCGATTTCTGGTTGAAAATAAAACTACCTCCCCACTCCTCGTAATTTGGAATTCATTAATATTCGGGATTCCTGAAGTTATATATGCTATATTTTTGGGCTGCATGCATGTGACGCTATAGAAATCAATTCGAAATCGAGACTCGGTGGTAATGGGAGTGTGTTTCTTTTCCACTGTATGTTTTGGTTTTCTGCTTGATTGTAAATAACGTGCACATAACAATTCTAACTAACCACCATTCAAATCATTGATTAAAAAACTTGATGAAACCAACCAATACTGCGCTATCGATTAACCCCCCGATTATTTTATTTCTTAGTTTGTTTCTCCGCCGCAGGCAGCGATAACACCTGCCGGACAAAGAATAGTCCCTGCTGGGCCGTTGCCTGTTGCTGATGCTATGGTTGTACGAAATCCAGCTGCTGGTCTTCATCACTCGGCACAGTTTGCACCTGGAATGGCGCCTGTCTTGCGTCCTGGTCTTCCAGCTGCACCGCACGCGCCGTTAAGTGGTGCTACAATGGATCGCATTTACCTTAACCAGAGAATGATTGGCAACGAGCGAGCAGATTTAGCTGCATTATATAATAATCCGGCTTTCATTGCGAGGCAACAGCAATACCCTACCGCTGCCATGCAACAAGCCATGTATGATATGCAGAACTGGCAACAACAAATGCGTAGAGATCAAGCTTTTGACAGAGAATCAGCAGAACGACAGACTAAAGTAAGTCAGTGTGTGTATTATAGAAATATTAGTGAGTTTAAGATTCACCAAATATACGTCGCGGACGTGAAGTAATACTGCTCTAATTTCCACCGTTTCCCAACAAAGATGGAAATTATAGACTCGTTTTCATAAACAAAGTCAGAGCCGCATGTAAAACAAATTAATACTGGTTTCCTAATACTAGTGGCCGTTTTCATGTCACGTCCGCGTCTTAGATTTGGTGCATCTTAGTTGACCATAGATATTCGAAAACTGGTGAAATGTACTTGATGCACGTCTGCGTGCATTCCAGTATCACTAGGGTGATCGATCCTGGATCCGTCATTATTAGCTACATATATTATAAGCTGCGTTATCATTATTAAATAACTACATGTATATTTCCTGCATTAGCCGCATGTAGCTTAAACAGGCAGTTTCCAAAGCGAACTAATTAAATTGAATTTGTTTATATTTCAGCGCACACGCGAGAAATCTAATCGAAAATATAGCGACAATAGCGATTTAAGTAGCCGCTCAAGATCTGGTTCGTTCTCAGACTCTCGATCGGACTCTCGTTCTGGTTCGTCTTGGAGTCGGTCAAGGTCACGTTCATTGTCACCATCACCAACGCGATCATGGTCTAAATCAATATCCAGGTCTAGATCCAGGACTCCGGTGAGCCGTACCCGCTCTTCTCCAAGACGTGAAGTTCGAATACCTAGAGCAGGCTCACCATCCAGACGTACAGAGAGATCAGCTAAGCGAACTAGAGAGACACGTAGAGAGTCTAGAAGAGAAAAAGACAGGAAGAGCACGAGGGTCGGAGAACCTCGTAACAGGTCTCCGCGTTTTAGGCGTGGACCGCGTGTTGAGAAAGGTCGTGAGAAACAGAGTGAAAGGTCACGAGGAGATAGAGGGAAACGTGACGGTTCAAAGGAAAGACGAGACAGGGAGAGAGATCGAAAAAATGAACGAAGTAGAAATAACGAGAATGAGAGTAGGGAGAGAGCGGGTAGTAAGCGCTCAAAGGTCGAGAGTCGTGGAGTTCGAGAATCTCATGGGAGTAGTAGGGTAAGTAGAGATTCCTGTTTCTGTAGTTGTAAACGCTATCCAATTATAGACTTATTTCAGTGTCGTTGTTTACGTCTTTGAGACCCCATACTCTGTTTTGAATAACTCATATACCTATATGTATAATACATGATTGTTCCAATCATGGGATCATGTTTTATGTATCTAAGCTAATTTTCTACTGTCCTATACGAATACTAACATACGAATTAGAACATTTATTGTACATCTCAGTGATACCAATATTTAAAACTTTCTAGCAAACATTATTCAAAACACCCAAAATTGCAATTAGTTCAATTTGGTTTAACCGGTCGCTTTATCGTGAAACGCTTTAATTTCCTTCTAATTCAGCATTCCCGCAAAAGCACTCCTGATCGAAAGTCTTCAAATGCTGACAGCAAAACAAACCGAGTTGTGGCGACTAAATCCAGTAGCTCTGGTAAACCCGCAAACCGCATTGTGATTGGTTCTTTGCCCAACTCTATCACTCCATTTAAACTGAAGGATTTATTGGCAACTATTGGACCTATTGAGGTAAATCAGCAATTCATAAAAAACCCACTTTTCAAAAAACTACAGCTAAAACTAAAGCCCGGTTTAGTTGAATATAAGTTTAATGCACAACAAAAATATGGAATTTCAAAATTTTAGCGTCTGTAATCACCCTTAATGCCTTTCTATCCCGTCTAAACAAATCAGGGCGAATTTTCTTATGGTCCGTTGCACCTTGAATGCTGAGTACATTTAAACCTTTGAAGTTTGAGTTTGAAATGGATTGGAAAACATCTGGGGCCAGTTTATAAAAATTCTTTAACTACACTTTGCATACAAGTATATATTTAAATCCTAGTTATAACTCAGAAATACACAACTCTAATTTGGGTATTTCTGTCCTAAACTACAGTTGAAAGTTAACTAGTCTTTTATACAACTGGGCCCTGAGCTTCATGTAGATGTTGCGACCAGGTGCAGCGATAGCTTGAATACCGTGCATGGGAGGGATATTCGGTATGAATAGATGTAGGTTCATTCATATGGATACCTTATAGCTACAATTTGTTTTTTTTTCTTTTCTCACCAGCAACTGAAAATGTCTACAACAAAGCATAAAGCCTTAGTGACGTTTGAGAAATATGAGCACGCTTTAGCTTGCAGGCGAAAGTTTCACAGGTATGTGCATAATTTCGTAATTTTTTATGTAGCTTTTCAATTCACTTTCGCTAAAATGCAGGGCGCAATAGTAAAAAACCTAAAAATGACCAGTGGTTTAATTCAGTAATCATTTATCGATTAACCGAGTTTCACTAAACCTAAACATTGTACGTATTAAAATAAAATGCTTTAGTTGCAGAAATTTGCTTATTTATAGGCAGAGTAAATTGGTAAGTAAAAATGAATCGCTTAATTTTTAACGCCAGTAATATGATATTTTGGTAATGCGACAAAAAATAACTTATTTGCATCTTCAAGGGGAAATGGAAGTAAAAATGTACCAAATATGAAGGTTAGAATTTGTTTGATTGTTTGTTTGTTTGTTTTCGTCGTTGATTTTTATGTTTTTACGTTGCGTATATTTTATGTTACGTCTTTTTATTTTTTGTTTCTTTTGTGTCGGGTAATTGTGGGTGATATGTCTGCGGTACAAAAATAGCTGGACTAAAGGAATTTATGACAAACTAAAATAACTGAATTGTCTTCTGAATTATTGCTTGTACCTGTTGCAAAGCATCGTATATGATGGTGCCAGTAGAGACTGCGCTGTATTGACACGAATAACCCTTTACTTCATGCTTGTACGTAATTGAATAACTATGTTTAGTAACAATGAATAGTTCTAAGATGGTATTATAAACACTGTCTGATCATATTTGTTCAAAAAGTCTTCCAAGGCATACTTTAGGTAAACGTCGAAATACACCTTTCAACAGTATAGTGCCCCGTTTCAACATAGCCGGACGAAAGGTTTCGTTTAGGCATTTTGAAACGATGTTTCTATTTTGTAACCGAATATGACATTTCTTGGGCAAAGAGCCTGGACGAGTAAAACTTCAGCCTGTATTCCTGTCTATGTTGAAACAAGGCCTAGGGGTGCTGGGGCCGATTGTATAAAATGTATAGTTAGTGAATTTTGGAACAAGAAGGAATTTCGTTTTAATCGGTATATTTGTTTACATTTTTTTTAGACAAAGCCAATCAGAATGCCTACATTTTTAATACTTCATGTAAAATGGTAAATAACATGCCTTTCTACCGGAAGTAGTCAAAATTTATGCATTCTGATTGGGTTGTAATGAATTGAATGTAAACAAACTTGCTGATTAGTCTAAAACGAAATTCCCCTTTGTTGTATGTTGGTCAATCAAAATTGCGATTTCTAATTCCAGACATATAAAATTGCAATGGGTTGATATAGAGAGCCAACACAAGGGAGCCTTGTTTCAGGTCCGTTTCTATGTAGGAGCTAGCGGTTGTAACAAAACTTGATTGCGCAGTTAATTTGCAGTAGATTATTCATATGGTTTTGCAAAAAGAGTTTTCTGAAATTGGCCCCTGACGTAAAGACATAAAGTAATTTTGCGTCTTAACAAACGGGTAATAGTTATCCCAAGTAGTGCCCAGTTTCCATTTGGTCGTTGCTTGTCGCTATCACGACACAAATGCCGGACCTACTCAGTAAGTAATCAAGTAAGTATCTGCAATAAGTAAATGCTGATTTGCATACACAAAAGATAAGATTTGAGCTATAAACTATTTCACGATTCACCACTTGTCGTGGGTTTACCGACAAGTAACGACTAAATGGAAACAAACTAGGTTTTAATACTGCCTTCTGGAACCACATATAGCGAAATCCAACAGAACGTTTCCTCCATTTATTTCTGGTATGATCAATTTAAAAAAAACAAGACACAAATAAACTTAGTCTATTTACATAGCCAGAATCCTCTCTCTGTGGCCTTATCCAGCAGGTTTAAAGTGTAGCGAGTTTCTCTACATATAACTATATTTTTACATATAATTTTAGCATATTTAAAAAAAGCTGTGAAATAAGGCATATCGCGCTATTGACCCTAATATTGATGCATGGTGATATTTTTTTAAACTAAGGAACAAATTGTCTGCCTTCAAAGCTTGATAATTACCCTTCGTAGGTTATACGTATATCTTCTTCAATGATATAATTCATTCTATATAAAAAATCATACGTATTGCAGCACGTAGAAGTTATTACATGATGGTTATTACAGATCACTTGTGGTCACCATTATAGGATTTTCCCGGTCTGAACTGATCTATAAGAGGTTTTCATCGTATATCTGTATTCACGCCAGCCTGTGCCTCGGTCCATACATAGAAGAATATAAATGCGGAAACACGTGCAAGCTATACAAACCCCTACCGGTCAGTTTCGACTTCGATTGTTTTTATGTAACGCTCTTCCTAGTGTAACTTTTGATACCGTATGTAGTAGACTGGTCACATAAGACAGTGAAAAAAATTGACGTCAGAATACAAAAGTTTCGGTTTGGTTTTAAAGCTTCAGTGTCGGGTGGACGCCTTGTTTTAGCGGTTGGAACAGAAATACGATGAAAGTCTGATAATAGCTAATATCGGGGTTGGAAGCGGAGTAATAATAAATGCATTCATTTTTAAAACTTCATTCACGTATCCCGTATTATATATTCCATTTGATGTCTCTGTCTTTATTCCATTTTTAAATCATCTAACTAATCATTCATCACTCTGTTACGCACTCATTATTCCATTTTCATCCTCGATTAAGTCACGTTAAAGTATTCGTCAAAACTTTGAGATATTGTTTGGAACATTAGATATACTAAATATTAAGCGAAAATTTATTTAGTATCTTCATGTAGTGATATCAAAATAAGTATATGGCTAGCTAATCTTGATCAATTACTTCATTAAACGTGCGCATATTTTTAGGTTAATATAGTTCAGGATTTGGGCTATCGGAAAATGAGCAAATACGATTTTTTTGAAAAATTCGGGTTTTTTGAACAGTTCGGGTAAAAAGAAGCCTGCATGTTTGTTAGACTATGCATGCAAATGATTGCTTGATCAACAAAATTCGTTAAATGAAAATCGAATTTCAATAGTTTTCACAAAATATACGTAGAGCTAGAGGACAAAGTATTTCGCAATAATTCCACTACGATTTTAAAACCATTCGTATTTGCTTCTTTTCACTTATGCAAATATCACAAAAAAGAACGTGATATTTCGCAGTCAAAAGCCTAGTCTGTATTACTATTAAAAATAGGCTTTTGTTAAAGTACAACACGCTGAATTTGCATGGATTGTCTTTTTTGATACATCCGGTATGATTGACAGAAATAATTGACAGTGAAGGTGCCACCTTTTCTAATGTTTGACATTTTTGCCTTTATTTAATAACACCAATGCTGTAGCAAGACATTACTTGGAGTTTCCGATACTTGTGCATTCTGTTTACATGTTGTCGTAACAGTCATAACATGTACGCTATGCTCGATCTTGAAAAATACCCTCATTGAGTTCAGTGAGTTGAATGCTCAGCTGACAACAGTGTGGTACCTCACAAAAAATATATCCACAAGCAATGAGTGAAGCAGAAAGAGGGTGGCAGCAACTGAGTATATATAAATAATTCCGAGAAATCTAATCTATAAAAGGTGTCGTAAAGGTTCCTCTATATTTATCTGGGATCGGTTGTGGGAAGGCTCGATAAGCGATTTTTTCAACCAGTGCAAAAATGCTTAAAAAGTAACAATTAATAAAGAGAAAAAAGTAACAATTAATAAAGAGAAAAATCACTTGATGAGGGGTAAGGTTCAATTTAAATTGTACCAAAACAGGGCCAATTTAAGAACGATTAAAAAATCCACTACCCGGTTGATAGCGTTATTCGGCCTTCAAACAACCCATCCGAGCTGTTTTACATATCCATTAGGTCTTCTAGGCGTGGCATACATGTTTGCGACTGTCTTGACAATATTAGTACTTATGCAACTATTATTATGCCTTAACAAGTCTAAAAGCAATGATTGTATATTAGTCAAAACAGGGACTTTGTCAGCAAACCCGTGTTTATGCCAGTTTTCGCCACATATGTTATATGTATCGTAAGGCTAAGGGCGCCTAATGTGTTTTTTCATCTGAAAGTGTATAAACTAAGTTTTTAGTTTCATTGAAAAAACGATGCAACTGGAGCATGCGTGCGTGGACGTGTCAGTGTTAATTGGGCATTGCCTGTGAAATTATAAGCCACTAACTAAAAAGATAGCAAATAGCATCTATATAGCTTAGCGTCCTGTAATGAATATAGTGTGAGTTCAACCATCATCCGGTATTTGATTCATTTGATTGTTTTATGATAATGTACTGTCCGTTCCCTGTCAAACTGGCATAAACACGTGTAAAGTAATGACAATGATCCGCACTGAAAACCAAGTTTGGAAAGCCAAGTTGGTAGTTTCGTATTATATCGTAATACTTGAATTCATTTAATTTTTAAACAGAGCGAAGGTGGACGACAGCCAGATCACGGTGGATTTTCTTTAGGTCTTGTATTACCCTGCTATTTTAAATCAACGTTTGCGCCTGGTGTTACTGCGGGATAGAAACTTTGTAACTAGTTTAAGTAGGTTGGCTGCTTTTTCGGCTGGAATCATTTTGCCACAAATATTTGGAACCATGGAGCAATTATTTGGAATCATGGAGCAATTATTTGGAATCATATGTCGAGCAAGTATTTAAAATCATGGAGCATGGAATCATCCGAGACAAGAATGAAGCTTTCCAAAAAAAAAAGTGATTACCATTGTCATTGATGAAATTATGCGAACAGAAATGGACGATTTGGTAAAGACATTTGAAGTTTTAGCAAGAGTCGTGTGTTTTTGATGGGATTTTAAAGATTGGAAAAAAAATAAACATTATATACATCCGAATAATCGGTGTACACATCACATTTTTATTCTGTTCCGACGGGGAATGCGGAAGCATTCCTACACTTGTGAAAACGATAATCGTAATTACTGTCCTATAAAAGGTGATAAACTTGTGTTTCTGATTTGCAAATTGGAAATAAAAAGAAATTGTAGAGATTGGCAACGCCTTCTTGAACGTATGTTTTTTGCGAACCTATAGAAAGAACTCGTCGTGATATTGTTTCCACAGATAGAACGGATTACGATATTGTAGAATTCGAAGATTTTAACTCACCTAGGCCTAGGGCAAGGCATAAATATGACCTTCATCTGCTTGCCAGATTTTTATTTAACTGAGGGCATTGTAACTGACTCGTTCATGATTTGAAGAACACTCCATATTTGTTCAACATTAATGGAAACCAGCGCAACGTTGCTGTACTCTTTCCTTCGCCATCCTAACTATCAGACTATTGTTTCCGCATACAAACGAATCCAGATACGTGTGGACAAAGTCAAAATTTGGTCCCTTTTGATTGCATGGCAAAAGCCAGTTTGCACCATGCACGTGGGATTGTAAAATTTACCTTTTCTACCCAAGTTAACATGTAGAAACATGTTTGATCTGATTAGTATAAGCCAGTTTCGGTGCTGTTCATGATTTTGTCAATCAAACACAATGAAAGTGAAAATCATGGTTGTCAATGTGCATACGTATAGTCGTATACGTAGCTTTATTATAAAACCTTAGCTATGCCTATAGACATGACTAATGTATCGATGCAGCATACGAACGGAATAGTGCAATAAATGGACATAGGTATTTAGATATACTGTTCCTAAAATTAAGATTAAAAAATTATAACGTTTCCATGGTCCATACAAGTGGATGACTTGTTTCAATGTTGACTATGCCACTACCATCTAATGCATTGGAAGTACTGATGGTCTGGCCAAATTCTAGGGCATGATTAGCTGAAAATAGTAAAAAAAGTACCATTAATTGAGCATAAATTGAATGTCGATGGTGATAAGAAACAAACAACCTAGGTCCTCCGGCAGGAATCGAACATATATGCTTAGTGTCATAAATGCTGTGTGCTTCATGATTGAAACTTGAGCCTTTGAGGATATCAGGGCACGAAATCGTACATTTAAGAATTGTGTATTTGGAAATATTGATACATACTAAGGTTCCATTTTAGTCCACTAGTTGTCACGCTGTTACATTTGCCGCCAATAGGTAGTAGGCCGCATTTAAGTCCCTCGTATCCATTGTTCACGTCAATTGAATGTTTTCCCTAGATATTTTAAAGCCAGGTGGTTTGATGAAAGTAGCTACGTCATTAATGGTTAAACGTTATGAAACAAACCTAGCCCTAGGGTTTACGAAGAGACTATGCTTGATATGAAAAAAAATAGGAATATAGGATGATTTAAAATTCTCGAATGGTATATACACGACAAAGGCACAATGACGGAGTCGGACATTGGAACAAAAACACGAAAACACATTAAAACGCGATAAAATAAACTACAAACAAAATACGTTACAAAATCTGAAAACAAAAACTATACTACGAGTCTACGTCTACTGTGCATACAATATACATACATATGACAATAACATTAGAAAGCGAAACACGACAAAGCGTAGCCAAGCCAAGGCAATAGTCGAATCAGTACAGTAAAATTCTAGAAGATTGTGCATTATCCACTGAATGATACCTATGCAAGTCCCGTCTTTGAGATTGGCACTGCACTTACTGGTTGAAGAAGAAAAGCAAGGCAATCACTTGCGAGAATAATAACCGGTTTATCTGTCACATTTGAAGCTATAAACAGCGTATTGATATTCCCAAGAGTTTGATCAAGTAAACCAGAGAATTCCGAGATAACCACTACCGCCTTTACCTAAGATAAAATTACACCAATACATGTAAGTCAAAGTTAAAGACGAACGACCAAAAAAAAAAGGGCGAAGGATGAATATCCAAAAACTAAGAGTGAGAGTAAGAGACATACATAGTCATAGGTTCGACCTGCCAAAGGACCTGAGCAGTTCTGTTGCATTCTTCGCCTGCAACGCTTCCCGTTTGTTTTTAAAAATTATTTTCCAATCCTACTTTGTTCTCCTAACATGCAAATCATCAACCTGGCTGCATAGGTGCATGAATATGTGTTTATATAGCTTTGTCTTTGGCCAAAGACTAAATACCGACCTGCTCGTCACAATTTGAGAAAAGGTACCGAATGGCTTTTGCGAAATCTGTGTAATTTTGATCAGGTGTAGGAATAATTTTTGTTCCCTAGGAGAAGAAGAGTGCATAAAAAGCAATCATAAACAAATTCGTTTACAGTCATAGACATGCATAGATTATGCTATTTATGATCGAATCGTTCCCGTTCGTAACGTGTTAGTTTAGTCTATTAGATATACCGAAGTCCGAAGGAATGGGGAGATGTAGTGAAATGTTTGCAGCTTTTATAGTTACACTGTTTTACATCACCTTGTCTTTGTAGTATGCCAGCACCTCTTCTCTTATAGAATCAAAGTCTCCAGTTATATACTGTGGTATCCATTCGAAACTATAAATTATAAAATATATTCAATTCAGTTGTTTTAGTACAAATGTGCACATATAGGCCATAGCTCAATGCAACCCTATTTTAATATAGGTGGTGAAGTAACAGAGTGTTAGAGAGCGGGAAAGGTAAATCAATTAGGATATTGTAGCACTTCGCTCGATTTAGGATAATTTCTAAAGGGTTTTAAGGTCTTAATGAGTGGGAATCATACACAGGAACAGTTGAGAAATGTATCGGTCCTCCGGCAGGAATCGAACCTACGTCTTTGGGATGTCTGTGCAGCGCTCTTGGCGGATGACATATATATAATTGATACAATTTTCTCAACTGCTCCTGGCTTAAATTTGAGTTGTGTATGATTTCCACTCAAAATTACTGAAGACTCTTAAACCCTTTATAAATTATAGATAAAAGATAGACACACTCGTGCAAGAAAATGAAGAAATTGTTTGATTTTCTATGGTATTTCCTCCCATTTGAGAGAAACGTTAACAAAAATGAAAACGACCATAGACAGCAACAAATGTTTTTTTTATATACAAACGCAACTATTGCATAGTTAATACTTTTAATGCCTGCTAGGAAAATGTTAAAACTCTCGACCAAAGTTGAGCAGGTTACTATAAATGTGCATACTTTCCATTTTCAACACAAATTTTTTGAAGTTCATTTGCTCCACCATCAACGCAAATTGTAACTGAAGCTGGTAATAGAATGATAAACTTGAGATTTGTATTTGTGAGACTACATGCTCTGTTTTTGCAATACTATATTGCATTATATCTTCCTGTAAGAAACAATTTCCACTAATTCATTTTAGGATTTAAGATTCCAATTTTTTCTATTTGGGTTTCTCAGTCCCCACCCCAGAGGCACCCATTTCCCCCCCCACCCCTCTTCCCCTGTGGTCCCTGTCAAAACTTTGATGATTGCTGTTTCCAAACACTGTATAGAGAGAATATGATGTAAGCATTTGCTAATAAGAGCAAATTACCTTTCTTCCAAAGTGCTTTAAGTTTTTCATACTTTCCGCACAAAGGTCTGTTCAAAATTATGAGCCCAACATTTTTGTCTGATACAAACAGAGAGTATATAATAGCTGGATGCAGTATCGAATTTGGTTGGTTATATATGGTTGGTTATGTAATATATACTTTATTTAATTATTAAAAAGATTGAGGCATATTAAACCTAGCTACAAACTAGGTTTTCAAATTTAGACTGGCATATAATATTTTTGTAATTACTTGGCAGAGGGAATGGCTGGCCATATAAATATATTCCACACATACTCATTACTTATTTAATTAATCCTATCTCACAAAGCTGGGAGTTTGCAAAATAAATACAGAAGAGGAGGCCAACCTCACAGATTCCTCTTATGAGGAAATATTATCTGTACTTGACATTTGTACTCAACATCCTGTACTGATGCAGTGTTGATTGTGGCACATGCCTTCACTTTACCAAAACAACAAAACCCATCGCCCTAAAGTGCTTTCTGTTATGCATACCATTTTGATACCATTTACCAACTGATCACTTCCTGTGTTTGTACAAAAGCTGGATAGCCCTCTGAAATTGCCTCATAAACCCTAATATTTTTCAATTCTCTTTTATAACTGTTAGCTCCCAATCTTTACTTTTATTGCAGATTTTCAAGCATGCTTAAAACGGTTCAAAATAATCACTATCCGGTGGATAGCGTTATCCGGGCTTTTGATAAACGGTTTATGCTTACCTGTCTGTGAATTTATAAGGTATAAAAATGGTGACAAATACCGTGTTTCATTATCCATATTGACCAGTCCACTGGAGGGGGGGGGACAAAGAGGGGATTTGACTTCCTAGAGCCATATCATTGTGATTGGCCGATACCGTATTTGATTTGAAATTTGAAAAGGTTTTCATAAAATGCCTATGCTGACATTGAATATTTCAAAAGGTCTCGTTTCGAATGGAAATATTTTGGAAATGGAAGCACACTGCACCACAACAGGCCCAGTAAGCCTAAATAGCTCATGCATTTGTGATTACACAGACGCAGAAAGCGAATTAAACAATGGAAACAAAGCATTGTTGAGCTGTCAGAGTTAGTGTTTGCCGTTTGGAGCAGTAATGGAATGTGTAAACAGTTAAAGTTTTTTTCACGAAAATTTGACAGGGTGATTTTCTCGAGAGTGAAAAAATTTAATTTTTTTCACTTTTTTGAAATTCTCTTAGATTTTTTTTTCACGAAGAAGTATTTTGTCTTGGGCTACCTGTGTCTGTCTTGGGCTACTGTGTCTGGCTTGACACAGGTAGCCCAAGACAAAATACTTTTACGTCAAAAAAAAAATCTAAGAGAATTTCAAAAAAGTGAAAAAAATTAAATTTTTTCACTCTCGAGAAAATCACCCTGTCAAATTTTCGTGAAAAAAAATTAAGGTAAGTAAACATGAATTTTTTAAAAGCGGGAAATTGTTTAATTTTTTTCCGTCTGCGACTTTCTTCATTTTCAGGCTTTTTAGAAGACACGTGTTTTTAAAACTTTTTTTACTTGTGCTTTTCTTTTAATTTTCAGGTACTTTTGAACGCGATAATTTTCTTTTAGTTTTCTTATTTCAAATTTTTTTTAACTTACAGTCTTTCGCAAAGTCTGAGAAGTCTTTTCACTGTTTTACACATTCCAAATCACACCGAGATTTTTCAGGCTAATTTTGTTGCATTGTCAGGAGTTGAAACGTTTGTCCTCGGATTGAGAGACGAACGTCTTAACCACTAGACCACCGCGTCATTTGTCAAAAGCTATTGTTCTCTAATCGACCTAATTCTTTTCGATGAATTTTAAATTAAATAGTAATTTCGGTGGGAAAAATCGAACCTTTCCCATGCAGGATTCGAACCTACCCTTACAACCTGGTAGGCCGAAGCCTTAACCACTGGGCTACGTCAATAACATACATATTAAGGCTGCTATCAACAACCAATCCTACGGCCCAGTGGTTAAGGCTTCGGCCTACCAGGTTGTAAGGGTAGGTTCGAATCCTGCATGAGAAAGGTTCGATTTTTCCCACCGAAATTACTATTTAATTTAAAATTCATCGAAAAGGATTAGGTCGATTAGAGAACAATAGCTTTCGGCAAATGATGCGGTGGTCTAGTGGTTAAGACGTTCGTCTCTCAATCGGAGGACAAACGTTTCAACTCCTGGCAATGCAACAAAATTAGCCTGAAAATTTTCGGTGTGATTTGGAATGCGTAAAACAGTTAAAGGACTTCCCGGCCTTTGCGAAAGACTGTAAATTTAAAAAAAATTTGAAATAAGAAAACTAAAAAAAAATTATCGCGTTCAAAAGTACCTGAAAATTAAAAGAAAAGCACAAGTAAAAAAAGTTTTAAAAACACATGTCTTCTAAAAAGCCTGAAAATGAAGAAAGTCAGACGGAAAAAAATCAACAATTTCCCGCTTTTAAAAAATTCATGTTTACTTACCTTAATTTTTTTTCACGAAAATTTGACAGGGTGATTTTCTCGAGAGTGAAAAAATTTAATTTTTTTCACTTTTTTGAAATTCTCTAGATTTTTTTTTTGACGAAGAAGTATTTTGTCTTGGGCTACCTGTGTCTGTCTTGGGCTACTGTGTCTGGCTTGACACAGGTAGCCCAAGACAAAATACTTTTACGTCAAAAAAAAAATCTAAGAGAATTTCAAAAAAGTGAAAAAAATTAAATTTTTTCACTCTCGAGAAAATCACCCTGTCAAATTTTCGTGAAAAAAAATTAAGGTAAGTAAACATGAATTTTTTAAAAGCGGGAAATTGTTTAATTTTTTTCCGTCTGCGACTTTCTTCATTTTCAGGCTTTTTAGAAGACACGTGTTTTTAAAACTTTTTTCACTTGTGCTTTTCTTTTAATTTTCAGGTACTTTTGAACGCGATAATTTTCTTTTAGTTTTCTTATTTCAAATTTTTTTTAACTTACAGTCTTTCGCAAAGTCTGAGAAGTCTTTTCACTGTTTTACACATTCCAAATCACACCGAGATTTTTCAGGCTAATTTTGTTGCATTGTCAGGAGTTGAAACGTTTGTCCTCGGATTGAGAGACGAACGTCTTAACCACTAGACCACCGCGTCATTTGTCAAAAGCTATTGTTCTCTAATCGACCTAATTCTTTTCGATGAATTTTAAATTAAATAGTAATTTCGGTGGGAAAAATCGAACCTTTCCCATGCAGGATTCGAACCTACCCTTACAACCTGGTAGGCCGAAGCCTTAACCACTGGGCTACGTCAATAACATACATATTAAGGCTGCTATCAACAACCAATCCTACGGCCCAGTGGTTAAGGCTTCGGCCTACCAGGTTGTAAGGGTAGGTTCGAATCCTGCATGGGAAAGGTTCGATTTTTCCCACCGAAATTACTATTTAATTTAAAATTCATCGAAAAGGATTAGGTCGATTAGAGAACAATAGCTTTCGGCAAATGATGCGGTGGTCTAGTGGTTAAGACGTTCGTCTCTCAATCGGAGGACAAACGTTTCAACTCCTGGCAATGCAACAAAATTAGCCTGAAAATTTTCGGTGTGATTTGGAATGCGTAAAACAGTTAAAGGACTTCCCGGCCTTTGCGAAAGACTGTAAATTTAAAAAAAATTTGAAATAAGAAAACTAAAAAAAAATTATCGCGTTCAAAAGTACCTGAAAATTAAAAGAAAAGCACAAGTAAAAAAAGTTTTAAAAACACATGTCTTCTAAAAAGCCTGAAAATGAAGAAAGTCAGACGGAAAAAAATCAACAATTTCCCGCTTTTAAAAAACTCATGTTTACTTACCTTAATTTTTTTTCACGAAAATTTGACAGGGTGATTTTCTCGAGAGTGAAAAAATTTAATTTTTTTCACTTTTTTGAAATTTCTTAGATTTTTTTTTGACGAAGAAGTATTTTGTCTTGGGCTACCTGTGTCTGTCTTGGGCTACCTGTGTCTGGCTTGACACAGGTAGCCCAAGACAAAATACTTTTTCGTCAAAAAAAAATCTAAGAGAATTTCAAAAAAGTGAAAAAAATTAAATTTTTTCACTCTCGAGAAAATCACCCTGTCAAATTTTCGTGAAAAAAAATTAAGGTAAGTAAACATGAGTTTTTTAAAAGCGGGAAATTGTTGATTTTTTTCCGTCTGACTTTCTTCATTTTCAGGCTTTTTAGAAGACACGTGTTTTTAAAACTTTTTTTACTTGTGCTTTTCTTTTAATTTTCAGGTACTTTTGAACGCGATAATTTTTTTTTTTTTCAATTTTACAGTCTTTCGCAAAGTCCGAGAAGTCTTCACTGTTTTACACATTCAAATCACACCGAGATTTTCAGGCTAATTTTGTTGCATTGCCAGGAGTTGAAACGTTTGTCCTCGATTGAGAGACGAACGTCTTAACCACTAGACCACCGCGTCATTTGTCAAAAGCTATTGTTCTCTAATCGACCTAATTCTTTTCGATGAATTTTAAATTAAATAGTAATTTCGGTGGGAAAAATCGAACCTTTCCCATGCAGGATTCGAACCTACCCTTACAACCTGGTAGGCCGAAGCCTTAACCACTGGGCTACCTCAATAACATAGATATTCAGGCTGCTATCAACAACCAATCCTACGGCCCAGTGGTTAAGGCTACGGCCTACAGGTGTAAGGGTAGGTTCGAATCCTGCATGGGAAAGGTTCGATTTTTCCCACCGAAATTACTATTTAATTTAAAATTCATCGAAAAGGATTAGGTCGATTAGAGAACAATAGCTTTCGGCAAATGATGCGGTGGTCTAGTGGTTAAGACGTTCGTCTCTCAATCGGAGGACAAACGTTTCAACTCCTGGCAATGCAACAAAATTAGCCTGAAAATTTTCGGTGTGATTTGGAATGGGTAAAACAGTTAAAGGACTTCCCGGCCTTTGCGAAAGACTGTAAATTTAAAAAAAATTTGAAATAAGAAAACTAAAAAAAAATTATCGCGTTCAAAAGTACCTGAAAATTAAAAGAAAAGCACAAGTAAAAAAAGTTTTAAAAACACATGTCTTCTAAAAAGCCTGAAAATGAAGAAAGTCAGACGGAAAAAAAATCAACAATTTCCCGCTTTTAAAAAACTCATGTTTACTTACCATAATTTTTTTTTCACGAAAATTTGACAGGGTGATTTTCTCGAGAGTGAAAAAATTTAATTTTTTTCACTTTTTTGAAATTTTCTTAGATTTTTTTTTGACGAAGAAGTATTTTGTCTTGGGCTACCTGTGTCTGTCTTGGGCTACCTGTGTCTGGCTTGACACAGGTAGCCCAAGACAAAATACTTTTTCGTCAAAAAAAAATCTAAGAGAATTTCAAAAAAGTGAAAAAAATTAAATTTTTTCACTCTCGAGAAAATCACCCTGTCAAATTTTCGTGAAAAAAATTAAGGTAAGTAAACATGAGTTTTTTAAAAGCGGGAAATTGTTTAATTTTTTTCCGTCTGCGACTTTCTTCATTTTCAGGCTTTTTAGAAGACACGTGTTTTTAAAACTTTTTTTACTTGTGCTTTTCTTTTAATTTTCAGGTACTTTTGAACGCGATAATTTTTTTTTTTTTTCAATTTACAGTCTTTCGCAAAGTCCGAGAAGTCTTCACTGTTTTACACATTCAAAATCACACCGAGATTGTTCAGGCTAATTTTGTTGCATTGCCAGGAGTTGAAACGTTTGTCCTCCGATTGAGAGACGAACGTCTTAACCACTAGACCACCGCGTCATTTGTCAAAAGCTATTGTTCTCTAATCGACCTAATTTTTTTCGATGAATTTTAAATTAAATAGTAATTTCGGTGGGAAAAATCGAACCTTTCCCATGCAGGATTCGAACCTACCCTTACAACCTGGTAGGCCGAAGCCTTAACCACTGGGCTACCTCAATAACATAGATATTCAGGCTGCTATCAACAACCAATCCTACGGCCCAGTGGTTAAGGCTACGGCCTACTAGGTGGTAAGGGTAGGTTCGAATCCTGCATGGGAAAGGTTCGATTTTTCCCACCGAAATTACTATTGAATTTAAAATTCATCGAAAAGGATTAGGTCGATTAGAGAACAATAGTTTTCGACAAATGACGCGGTGGTTTAGTGGTTAAGACGTTCGTCTCTCAATCCGAGGACAAGCATTTCAACTCCTGACAATGCAACAAAATTAGCCTGCCACAAAATCTCGGTGTGATTTGGAGTGTGTAAAACAGTGAAAAGACTTCTCGGACTTTGCGAAAGACTGTAAGTTAAAAAAAATTTTAAATAAGAAAACTAAAAAAAAATTATCGCGTTCAAAAGTACCTGAAAATTAAAAGAAAAGCACAAGTAAAAAAAGTTTTAAAAACACGTGTCTTCTAAAAAGCCTGAAAATGAAGAACGTCAGACGGAAAAAAATTTAGCAACTTCCCGCTTTTAAAAAACTTCATAAGCATATAACCACATAACTATATAACAACATAACCATATAACCAGATATGTATTTGTAGATAGTGTAATGTGTGTATAAAAAACAACTTTGACAGGCTGCTGCGTATAAAATATTAAAGTAAACGATATAATTTTTATATGGCAACATAGATTAGCTTATTCAGTTTGCGATTATACCGTTTTTATATCGACACGACCAAAACTGGCCAACTTTTAAAAATTGTTGCTCGAAATCAAATTTTTCCGCCGATGGGAATTCGAAGTGAGACCTCCAAACAAAAGAAAATGCAAATTTAATTAAATGGACAAACAGTTATGCAGCAAAATTTACATAAATTCCTGTTTTACATAAACTCCTTAATGACGAATTTAGAGTCCTATGCCTTCAACATGTCCTCCGTTTCTGTCTATGCAAGTTTGACAGCGTCGAAGGATGCCTTGAACTACTCGTCGAACCAGTATCATAAAATGTCTTTACAGTAAATGTTCGTTGTCCCGTGCTTAATTGAGGCATTGTGTTCTTCAAAGCTATCGTTGAACATTGAATAAGCAGAATTTTTGCGATAAATTTGCATTTTAGTTTTCAGTGATAGTTAGATTTTAAAGCCCTTTGGGACTAATTTTCAATAAAACAAACGTCCAATTCCCATCGGCGGAAAATCGTGGTTTTTATGAACTTTTTTTTGTCGAACCAGTACTCCTTCATTTTTTAACTAAATGACACGTACAACGTGTCATTTGAAAGAGAAATAAATCAACTTAACAATGGTGTAAAAATCAATCAAATTTGTCAAATATATTTTGCATTATTACACGCAAAATTTAGATTCGATTTTTTTCCATACAGGGTGTCCGAAAAAAAACGCAACCACTTAAATATGCAAGAATATTAATATTGTTCGGGTTTGCACCATACAGGGTGTATCAAAAAAAACGCAACCACTTAATATTCTAAAATTCATATTGTTCATAAGCTCAATAGATTTTATGCCCCTGGGATTTTAAAATGGCTTCTAATCGTACAGTCAACTGCTAATGGTCAAATCAGCTAAACTAATAATGGTGCAGCTAACAACTGAACAACGAGTTTTTATTGTCGTGCATGATAACTTGAATGCTAACTGTCGACCTTGTAAAATAAATTGTAAATAAAATTTTACTCGTTAAATACTTTCAATTCAGCTCGTTGGTTTACGCACCCGACTTTGTTTACCGACGATTGTGCCGCTAGAATATGATTATAAGCTTTCTCGCATTCCAGGGGCCAAACGTCTTTTGTGTTGTAGAACAAAGAGGATATTCATGAATATTAAGTGGTTGCGTTTTTTTTGATACACCCTGTAGTTCAGCTAAAATGACTTTTAGCATTGTAAATGAAGGATTAAGAGCCATTTTCAATTCCCAGAGGTGCTTATCTATTGCGCTTTAGAGCTGTATTAATGTTCTGCATATTTAAGTGGTTGCTTTTTTTTGGGACACCCTGTACACCCTGTATGAATGTAATTTCGAACTCTCGTAACATGAAAATATCATTGAAAATATAACCCATCTGGGGCCGGTTGTTCGAAAGGCGTTACGCTTAAACGGTGGATAAGTTAAAAATAGAAAACAAAATTATCTATTTATTGAATAACTGAGCTGAAATCATTTCGACGTAAATAGTTTAATTGTCAATGGAAGCACATATTAAATGCATAAGATGCAGGTTCAGTCAGTTGGTTCAGTCATTCACTGGCACTGTTCACAGGCCCCTGACCACATGTGCACAGACATGTGGCTCAGTGATGAAATCCAATATGGCGGCCAATGAGGGTGAATATGAGCGACCGAGAAAAATTGCAAAAACATTGAAAGAAAAGGACGTAGGAAAGCGCCTGATCGTTGTTTTGGAAAAAGCATCGCTTGAGACAGTAAAGGTAATTTTGGCTCAAACACTTTTTTAAAAAGCGAACTTATATTAAATTAAAATATTTTGTTTTAAAAATAGAATGGGAAGAATTTTGAACTGCTTAATTGTGATCACCACAAAGGGATTTTAAAGAAAAGTGGACGGGATATTGGATCAGTTAGGCCCGACATCACGCATCAGGTATGGACTGAATCTTATTATATGTATCCGTTCATAGTGCTAAATTGCCAATACTTTGCACAACACTGTTTGTAGGTCACATTTTAGTTTACAACACTAACCTTCAAGGATTCTTCCGTAGTGCTTACTGATGCTTCTTGACAGTCCTCTTAACAAGGCAGGACTCCTTCAAGTCTATATACACACAGAAAACAATGTCCTCATTGAAGTGAACCCTCACACCAGAATTCCTCGAACATTTGATAGATTTTGTGGACTGATGGGTTAGTAAACTCTTGGGTTAGTGAAATGCAAGAGGGTTGGGTTATCTTGAGGGATAATCAGTTAATTTTATTGTGTTATGTTTTAGTCCAGTTACTCCATAAGCTCAGTATTCATGCTTCAAATGGTCCGCAAAAGTTGTTGAAGGTAATCAAGAATCCAGTCACCCAGTATATGCCAACAGGGTGCAAGAAATATGGTATGTATATAATGATATGTCAATCGTGATTTGGTGATGGGGATATGTTGATGATTATTATATTGGTGATTGGTATAAGGCAGTTGTTTTAATTTAGATGATAGCATCTGATTAGTTTGATCTTTAGGAACCTCATTTAGCTCAACAAAAATTGTCAAAATGAATGATCTTGTACCTAAGGATGATCCTGCTGTTGTTGTGATTGGGGCAATGGCACATGGCAAGGTAAGGTTATTTACATTGGCCATTTTTTGTATTGCACTGTAAACGAAATTCCAAACCCTGCTCTGTATGTACCTATTTATCAAGTTATTCCTCTTTGTTTCATTCATCAAACTTAGGTTGAGGTGGACTACACAGAAGAGACAGTTTCAATCAGTAATTACCCTCTGTCAGCAGCACTCACCTGTGCTAAGATCTGTTCAGCTTTTGAGGATGTTTGGGGAGTAGTGTGACATGCTATGCCATGCTGTGTGTGGTGGATTAGATGTTTGCCAAGGACATTAATTCCACAGAACCTGTATGGGTGATATTTCAACACCGTAGAACATTTCAAACTCAATTACTCAGTATTGAGAATCACAATACTGGAAGTCATTCATTACTTACATGTGCTTGTGTGACACTTAACTTGACTGAATATTACACCATAAGATTGTTTTAGTCAAGACTAAAATTTGGCCCTTGCTGTGGGTAATGACATACTTGTGCATAAAAAACACGATCAAATCTCTTATTTTGAGGCTGGTTAACTGCTGTCACTATACACACATAATGCCAATTAACATACACAATACCATTAAATAAAGATACCAACCTTCAAAACTGTCCTTTCTATAAATTTAAATAGTTATTTTATTACATAATATTACAAAATATTACACTTATGGTACAAATATCTACATATAGTTTTCCCTAATTAATGTAACTAGGAGTTTTACACCTTCGCAGCGTGTACTTTTTCAATTTTGCCATATCACCAAAATGTAGTCTGGTGAACTGCAAAACTTTGAATATCACACAATCATCACACCTGTATTACTTTTCTACCTTGAATGAGTTTTTAGTTTCTTTAATATTCTGACACAATGTTCAGACACATTACTTTCTGTCGTAGCTGTTGAGCTTGGTGTAGATGGCAGGCTGTTGCAATGAAAACTACTTGAGGACTGCCGAGAATGCTGAAGGACTCCTTGCAACCTTTGTTGAATTTTGCATGCCAGCAGTTTCTAGGGAAAGAGAAGTGGTTGGCCCCTGAAGCCCATTTTCCACTAGGCGCGATATCTGAAATCAAATTCGCCGCTAAAAAGTAGAATCGCTTCCTACTTTTTATTTGTTCGCGCGAATAAATTAGCCTAGTGGATAATAGGCTTGAGTCATGGGATTGTTTATCTTCCAAGACTAATTCAAACAATCCAATTACTTGTCATCCAACAACCATCTGCTTTGAAGTGCTCGTTGAATAATTGAAATCTGCTGGTTGACCTACCTCACGACATGAATGATTTCTGCAAAGCAACCTCAAAGAGACCAAAGCCACTTCCCTCACATCATTGCAGCCATCATTGCATGCTACATCTAGTAAACTGATAACACAACTTATATTACTGAAGTAATTTTTGCCTCATTCAATATTTTAAAGATTACTCCAAGGATAACTTTTGATATGTGTAATACCTCAAGTTTGTAATTAAATATATGTCATTTTCTTATTATTAATATTTTAAAGATCAAAAGGGTAAACCCACAATCCCTCAAAGCTCTGCCAATGCAACTGCGATGAAATCATACTCAGACAAAAATTAGGTCATAATTATTTTCAAGAAGCAGCACCAACAACATACAAGTACTCTACCTCTCAGGCACATGATACTCCAGCAAATTAGAACAAAGTATTGGTGAATTGCGAACCAGATTTCCTAAAGCTCCTGCGGATAAAAATATTGGTATTTCATTAATAACCTTATACAAGAGTGAGCCCTTCTCATATCAGCTATAAACTGTTCTTCCTAGATATCTAGTAGGGACTTCATCTCTTATTGATCCAGTATTGATCCGAAAAGCTAAACTAAACAAACTACATTTATACTGCATAGTTCTATCAATTCGAAGCAACGAAGTTATTACGTAAAAATAAGATAAAGCAAACCTGCTGCATTGGACCTTGTTCGGGGCAGTGGATCAGATAGCAGTGGCAAAAGAAGTGGAATACTTTGTGACAGCGTACTATATAAGGAGTCGCCGTGGAACGCAGCGTTTCCAATGATGTAACTAGACGCCTGTGAAGGGAAGAAGGAATATGCCCAGTCAGAACAAGAATACACCTTTTATTCCTTGCGCCAATGTCTTGTACAAATGAACAAGAAACCCAGTCACACTTGTCTAGTTGTACTGCCAAATCGTGAATCGTTTTTTTATCCACCTTTCTGATATCATCATCTTCGTGTTGTAGGTTATTGTTGATCAAGCTCATGATGGAGTTTCTAAAAAAACCAAAATAATAGATGTAGACTTTCCTTATTGGAGTTTGAAGCAGACAATTTTAGAACATAAAGCTTTTTTGCAATAAGTGAAGAATAGTTACGTACTTCTTTAAAGCTGGAAAGAATGCAACAGATTTCTTTAGTAAATTTCCAATCATTCCACACGTTTTTGCACAAACAGCAATACTGTTGTGGCTTAATAACAACTGTACTGTTCCATAGTCACCTAAAACACGTCAATTCCGTTAATCTTTTGCGTGATAACTGGTAGGGTCTAAATGGGTCCACCAACCTTGTTCGCCTTTCAGTATTGATGAGATTAGTTCAACATGATGAACGGATGATCTAGCCATGTGACTGAAAATTGATAGAGTGTCGAGTATAATATGGTCTGGTTGGTCTGAGGAGAGCAGCGATTCAAGCAACCATTCAGCCTGGAATTAGCGAAAATGGAATAGACTAAACATGAGATTAACAATTTTATAGAAAGCACAACGTCTATTTAATCTATAGAATCGATACAACTAGAAAGTTTTAAGTTGCAGGCCAGCAGGAGTTTTAAATTTAAAAAAATTGGAAGGAAGGAAACATGCCTGTTGTCTTGCAACTGTTTTTGAGAACTGACTGACAAACATTAAATCGCTCAACACAAGACGCATCACAAAACCTGATAAAAATGAAAAACAAGAGAAACTATAAAAACAAACAACACACAAATAAACCGGATATACAGACAAACAAATAGACAAAGAACAAGATCACGAACAGCACAGAAACCTAAAGCAAGTTCCATATTGTCTGGATATAAGACGTTGGCCAGAAGATCCAGCAAACATTCCATAACTTGTACTTCATAAAATAGACTAAAAACATGGAATAAACTGTTTTTAAATCGAGAGCTCAAAGAAACTTTTCATTTTGACATAATACGTGTGGAAATAAGCCATAACTCGAGAACGAGGCCTCTGGTCCTTGCCTGGTAGCCTCGTTTTAGTGTTACAGCTTATTTCCACACTTATTTGTCAAAGTTAAAAATTCTTTCTTATTCATGTGTTGAAGAAGGATGTCGTGCATCTTTGCAAGTGGCTTGTGAGAGTAAAACTTGAAATCCATCTCATTTATTAAGGTGGTTCTAAATTAAGGTGGTTCTAAAATGTTGTAACGTAATTATCGAAGTGCGTTTGAAGCTTGGTCTTGCCCGGAATTAAACATTTAGATGAAAACACATGTTACTAACCACTATGTTTGGTAGAGTGTAACTGGAAGCACTCTTCTCACATGTGACTGAGGTGAAATTATAATGCTGTGACGTAATTATATATTAATTACCTTTGTAAATCATGTAGAAGAGATTCCTCGATTTCCATTGCAAATGGCGTACAGAATATCTGAAGGATCTGTAGGAGATACAGTACAATTCAGCAAAACGAAGATCTAGGAAGCTCGCCATTCAGAACACACTATTCAGTCATATTTAAAAGACCATTATCCAGTTTTCGCACAACCAGCTACTGAATATTAAATGTTGCAATGTTTCTCTTCCTCGTCTTAAGATAAAATGGAACACTTACCTTGTTTACAAATTGTAAAACCACAGTGTCCTCATCCGGCGATTCCTCAGCATATAATCTGTGAATGAAGTGAACGAACATCAGTATACTGTAATCAAGCAAAAAAGATCTTGCCACAAATGGAGATCAATCTGCGGTCTTCAGATGAAAAAAATCATTGCAGATTTCCCTAAGAACTACATTACCTTCTCTTAAAATACAGCAAGAAATCTTTCGATAACCACAAGGAAAGAACGTGTATAGTCTTATTAGATGAGCTCACCAAACTTGACACCGATACCAAAGGATACTGGAAGATACGTAGACACTTAAACCATTACAGTACATCTTATATGCTAACTCTATATTCTCACTGTTTTCATCTCTGTGGCTGAGGTTTGATTAACGCAACATTAATTATCTGGTCTGATTATAATTTGACCTCAGTCACATGTGAGAAGAGTGCTTCCAGTTGGACTCTACCAAACACAACGGTCAGTAACATGTGTTTTTTATCTAAAGGTTTAATTCCGGGCAAGACCAAGCTTCAAACGTACTTATCCTTTGCCAAAAACATTAATTACTCATCATACATAATAATTACCTTAGCAAACATTCTGCAAGAAAACTCCAACAAGGTCGACAGACCCTGGGGAGATAGGAAGGTCCAGTTGACTGATAACACTTGAGATCTTTCCCCGTTCGAGATTGCATCGCTGTAATAATATAAAGATTAAATTTCATTTCATAGTTTTATAGCTTGATGAGATTCAGAAATAAAACAAAGCCTTGAGTTACCAGTCTTCAAGCGAAGACGACGTTTCCATAGTTACTGATAAACTATACCACAATGCATCCCATATTCCACTTGATACGACGTCACTTGCATTGAGACTTGAAGATTCCTGATTTAGAATTTAGAATTTTTGCGCGTCACAATGGTAACTGAGAGTTCATAAAATGATTAAAATTATTAACACTGACAGTTCATAAAATGGAACGGTGATCTACGAGGCAAACGATGTAAAACCGGCCAACCCTCACCTGCGACAGCATGCTGTCGAGAAGATGAATGACTCCATCACATAGACCAATGCGACAAAATGGAAAATGTATCACCTGGGAAAGAATAATAGGTTTGTCAACTCTACAGTTTAATGCCAAAGTGAGAAAATATTGTTGCCGGTGGTGATTCACCGAATCTTGATCTACGGAGGACACCTAAATAACACCACAGCCAGAAAAAAAGCAACATTCATGGTAGAATTGAGCGATTCCGGTGATCACGAATCCTGCCGAATGGTTAGTTCACCAACACATCAGCCATTCTTACCTTGGGCATACTTGTGATGGTAACCAGTATCGCGGTAAGAATGTCGTCCTGTGATTGGTTAAACACATCCAGGCATTCTGGGAACAAGGTTTGGAACAAAAACGAGGTTGTAATTTTGAATAAAACGTTGCCGGAGTTAAGAAACAATTCGATTAAAAGGTCGCCACAAATTGACAACCTAAAATACAAAGGGATACTTCTCAGCTGGCAACACGATAGGACGGAATTGATGGAGGCATGTTAAACGCCTGACGATTTTATTGTCGGGGTCTCGGGGATGAAGCGTTCTCTCGTTATGGTTTCATACAACCATATCTTTTAACAAATGACCAATCAACGACACTTACTGTTGAGATATATCCTGCTGATGGTACTTCAATATGCACCACAACACTGTGACGTGTAAAATCCATTCTTCAAGATCCACCAAATCTGTTGACCCTGACTGCGTAGCAAGCTTATGAAAATTCACCCCTAATGTCTTCATATACTCCTCTTGATTCACAAGTGCCACACACATCTCTCTTGAATCCTCGCACACCTTAAGGACAGAAACACCCTTGTTTAACACGTATCGTATTTTTATATTTTCATGAAGATACACATTTAAGTAACCTCTGCTCCCAACCAACTAAACATACCTTGCAGAGGAAAGCAAGTGTTCTTAAGTCATTCACTCGTTGCAGGGAGAGCAGTGAAGATAGCTGTTTCTTAAACTTTGGTGACAGAAGCTTTTGGACAAGAAATTGAGTAAGAATCTGTTTGTAATTCTCTTCTTCATCTGTACCTCGGTGAATAAGCGCTGTCATAGCAGTGATGGTTGAAGAATGATCTTCAAAAAGAACATGAGAGTGTTGGTTATGGTGTTGAATGATGTCTAAGAATTTGCGCATTTCGATATACGTATCACAGCTAGTAGTATAGGGAATATAAAGAAGAAATTTTTGTCTCGCGTATATCTTATTACTCAAGGCATTATCCCATGCCCTGTCAATTCCATTTTCCAACCAATCAGAATTTCCCATTGTTCTCTGCCTATACTGTGTTTATATTACATGCATCTTGTTTATATTACATGTACCTTTAACAGGAACGCCGTGTGAGCCGAGAGAGTTGATAAGACAGTCCACGACCTGAATGTTTGTTGTGATTATATTGTTGTAGAAATCGGTAAATACCGACATCAAAGAGTCACCTTTTTCACACAACGCTGCGAAACACTAAAATAAACAAATAGTAAAAAATCTCGGGAATGCTCTCTATCTGAAGAAATCGGATTTAAAGGCGGATATATTGTACTTAGAACTATATTTACATTCAATACGGTATCTTGGAGTCGCCCATCGTAATCCAGAGCCACTAACTTCGGAAGAATGGAAACATAATGAACTGCTATTTCACCAAGAGTACGGAATGGCGTTTGCTCGGATGGTTCCATCGTACACTCTTCAAGAAATGTCCAAAAAAGCGTGACGCAATCGGTTAAGACCTCAATACACCAGGGCAGCTAGAGACACAATCAGAAAATATATCATTTTATCTTGTTTAACTGGTCTCTTTTCCCCTGTTATTACAGTTTAAACCCATTTTCTATATACGGCCATACCTTGATGAACTCAGTCGAGATGAGATCGCTCAAAACTGTCACACATTTCTTAGGTAACCCCACTGCAACACAGAACTCTAACTTTTGGCCAGCCAAGCTAGAAATTATAAAAATGCACCCATTATAAAGAGGTTTCTTTTTGCGCTGTCGATCTAACTAACTGAACGATAAATGTACAAAAAAGTGTCAAACTGAAGGCACTCTTCTTAAATGTGGATGAGGTGAAATTACAAGCAGACAAATGCAATATTGTAAGAATAAAACCTTAGTCACCCGTTAACAAATCAGATTGCGATTTAAAATTATTCGTTAAAACAGGTCAGTGACTCACCCAGGTAAACGTAAAATGTTTCCAAAGAGTTTAATAATTTGACGGAACTTTGAAGCTCCTTCCAGAATGCCTTTGAGAACTTCATCTTCGGCAGAACGAAATCCGGCGGCCATTTTTCCAAGAAATTCAGAATTCTCAGCGAGCCTTTCTAGGAATGGATACTCAATCTTCACACCTTGTTCCCGAAGATTTAACTCCTCGTTTGTGATTTCAACAAGGTTTGCCCATTCCTCATCACTCTCCAAATCCTTCAGGAATGCATAAACACAGATCATTGATGGCACCACCTGGTTCCAACCATTCCTGACGTTCAAAATAAAATGTTACCTGATCTTACCTGATCTTGTATTAAAGGTCCACTGGCATGCTTTACAAGCCCTTCTTTCACTTTATTTGTAATCTCCATTTCCCGATCGTAGTCTTCGCTGATTCGACCCTTCTCTTCAATCTTTTCTTTTTCAGAACCTAAATAGATTTCGACTAAGAACGGTGTATTTTACAAAAAAGCACAAAGTAGAGTAGATATTGGTAAACTTCAGAAATGTATACTCGCACTTGAATCATCACTTTAATCCTACCTGATTCCTTTTTACTTCTTGTGACTTGACTATTCTTCTTTCCATTTCTTTCCTTCTTATTTCCTGCACTTTTCTTCCTACCATTATCCTTGCTGTCCTGTGTCTGACCAGATTCTTTCTTCTGCACTTTCTTCTTCTCCTGTGTTTGCTGCTGTAGTCTTTCCACCCATGTCGGTTTCTTGTCCCCAGTTTTCTAGCAATGTACATCCAAGCGACAAGCATTGAAAGCAAAAATGACCAACAAGAACTTACATGAGAGTTTTGGCAAGGCTTAAAGAGATAAGACCTGATAGCCTGCAAAACTGCTTACTTTTTTCATTTCTAATTCAATTTTCTTGTTCTCTTCAGATTTCTGTAATTTTCCAAACTCTTCTGGTGTTAAGGGAAGTTCTTGAAAGTCCTCTTCTATACAGAATAATAGAAGGACAGGTTACATGCAGTACTAACTCACCATCTATGCATCCAGACCCCATTGAGGTAACATATCTCATTCACAACAAATTTTCTAATTTTAATAACTAAACATTATTTTAACAAGGAAAACATTTTACCATTAATATCATCTGCAATAAAAGGGTGACGCAGCAGATATGGCCAGGTTAATCGTTTCCGTGGATCTTTGGTTAACAGCCCTTGTAAAAAGCTCTAAAATGGAGTTGGGAACATTCAGATTTAATGTTAAAGCAGCATCAGTTGAGATATTTTATACCAACCCTGAAATTTGGTGACATTTCTGCAGGCCACTTTACACTGTCCTAAATTGAAATAGAGATGTCTTCTTGGTTACAGGAATCAAGATTCAAGAAGGGCTGTGATTTTGGATGAACTTGGCAAAGAGTATAATCACAAATACCTTGCATATAAGATTGACAAGTTGAAATATATTATTGGTATAAAATGGCGGCGTGCCCGCAAACAGCTCATACAGTATACAACCAAGGGACCTATATTTGTGAATTAAACATTGATACCAATATGTTATGCAGAAAAAAATAAGCAAGGCCAGTGCGAACAAGCTTGGAATATCCAAGTTTTTATGTCGAAGGTCTAGAAAATCTCTTGCAGGTATCATGCTCACTAATTTGTCCTCACTTCATGGTTTGCTCTCACACAATGGAATAGTTTAATTACCATAAGTCAGCATTGTGATCATAAGGTCTTTCCTCCACTAGTTCTGGTGACATGTACAGTGGGGTGCCCTTTATGAGAAAAGAAAAAAATTATGGAGGAACCCAGCATTTTTTAACAATCTTTGAGTATTCCATTTAAGATACCTTTATTGAAGTTAATACCAAAGTATTGATGCTCATTGCACGGGCAAACCTACACAAAATGCAAAGTCATGACACACTAGCATTGCTACAATGCACATTAAAAATCTAAGAACTCAACAGCATGATTTGGCAACCAACAGCAATTATATTGACATTTTATCAAGTTGTTATGACTTACTGTAAGATAATGTAATAAAGTGACTGTATCTTAATTGACCTTAATATTACCCAATTGGCATCAGTTCTGATCTAACTTATAGACAGTCACTATGTTACACTCTCATGGCTTATGCTCCACAGCACACATTGCTGGGAAAACATGCTGCTGCCTGGGCTGTGGTGCTTAGGTAGAAAAGCATGGCTTGTGAGCTAGGTTAGGCTTACCCAAAATCACAGAGTTTAACAACCCCTCCTTTGCCAATTAGGATATTTTGCGGTTTCATATCCCGATGAAGAATACGATGAGAATGTAGGTAGAACAAAGCATTAACCAACTGAACGGCAATCTCGTGCACCTGATCCTCAACCAAGTTACCGTCATCTTCCAATATTTGAAACAATTCTCCCTCAGCATATTCTGTCACAACACACACCTTTAAGAAATAGAGAAACCAAGGTGATTACCCTTGTGGGTTAGAGGTTTGGTAATGGTAATCTATATATGAATAACTGGATGGATATACAACATGCTACATGCTACTGCTATAGGTTAAGCCTAGTTTTCATTACCGTAATTGCCGTGAACATGTCAAGGTGGCTGATGAAATAGAGTATTTCAATGTGTGTGAAGACAAATTACATTCATACTATCTCTTATCTATGAAAATTACTTGTTTACAACAAAACAACAACCATGTAAAATGGTGATAGATGCTCAACCAAGCCATATATAACTGTGGATTGCTCTATATAATTATGCCCCTAATTAGCTACCTCATCTGTAGTTTCAAATGAGTCCAGGAGAGCTATAATATTCGGATGATGTAATGTACGCATAATGTCAATTTCCCTCTGCAAGTTGGTGAGATCCTTTGATGAGCGACCTTTCTTTGGTATAAACTTAAGTGCAACAACCTATAAGATAATGGTAATACAACAGTATAAATCATTCGATCTGGGTGTATTCCACCTGGTGCACAATCACACAAAGGTTGGTGATCAAGTTGACCTGATTTGGTGCACAGCAACATAACCTCAGGGTGTCTTTGGCTGCGTTAGGTTTATACAAAAGCCTACAAGTTTGCTAGCCTGCAAACTTGAGTATGGACATATCCTTAGGCCCCAATCAAATGAAGAATGTTCAACTATATTCTACACTGTAAAAAAATTATTTGTATCTTACCAAATCTCTTATCAGACTATCAGTTATCACTGACATTTCATATTATTAAATCATATAAAGTTATAAACATTGAATACGACGTCACCACCACACCATGCAAACATACAAGAATACAGGCAATTTGGTCTAGAAATTACGTCTATTGATTTACAACACACACCTGGCCACTATACTTTTTTCGCCCCTTGTAAACTCTACCAAAAGATCCTTCCCCAATAAGTTCCAGAACATGGTAACTAGCATCACTGGCAGCCATCTTGAATAAGACCGATAAGAGTCCTGGAACGAGGATATTAGGATGGAGCGATTCAAAAAAACAACTATCCAGTAAAAAGCGTAGCCTTCTCCGCAGGCATCTTTTATGTATTTACTATTTATATTACTTATATTAGGCATGGGCTATGGAAAGCGTTACCCAGTTTTCCTACAACCGGCCCTAGTTTTTCAAGTATCCATTGCAGGATCATGTACTTGCAATTCGATGTGCGGTCAATAAGGCGATTTCTTACTGAACTGCAATTTAAGTAGATCTGATCTTTTTTATTTCACCCACGAGACAAGTGAAAGATGTGGAATAACGCGGGACGTAGCTTAACTTGTGTGCCATAATTAGAGTCGATATTTACAAATTTTTACATTATATACATTGCAATAAATTCTGATTGATTAAATAATTGTTAAACAATTGTTAATTATTACGTCCGTTATTATAGAATATTTTCTATCAGTTCCAAATTCCAGGTATCAATTAGCCAATAATTTGACGTAATTTCGAATTTAATTCTCGTTCTTTCAATAAAAGCTTTTCGGTGTGTGTTTTGTATGCCTCAAATTCCTGAAGGAGATAAAATGAATAGGATAAATGGTAATAGACCTTTCTCATGACATTAAACCTTGTCCATGGGGAGTCCATATTTGCGTGAGAAACTAAACGCGAAAATTTTACAGGAATTTGTCAACATATTATGGTGGGCCATTGATTGGGTGAAAGTGGAAAGACTGGTATCGCGCGCTTTAGCGTCATTATGAGAAAGATTTATTCCTATAACACGAACAGAAATGGCTGTCGAATACACAACTCTTCGACGACATGAAATCTAAAGCAAACTGCTGATTTCTGCTCGCCAGTTTGGTACTGTCCGAAAAAGACACTAAAAGTGAAAAATCACCTTATCGTGGTTAACTACTTTATCGTCAGCTTTCCTTAACAATGCCTTCAGCTTTCGCACTTGGGCATTAGCAGATGCATCTTCCATTTCTTTCCTAAAGAAGATAGTTGACAACTTGACTTATCATATTCACAAGTTGCGGGTAGTTCGTACACCATAAGCATTTATTGTAATATATCATACAATATACAGTTGACTGTCTACAACACACACTAAAAGCTGCTTCCCAATTTTGCGTTTCTTCACTAAATGTTATCTATTTGACGAACTTGGACAAAGAGATTCATTTATATATGTATATTCACGTTCACAAATCACAAAAAACAAAAAAAAAGAGAAAAGTAGGTCACATACGCGAATTTTTCGCTTTGCTTTTTCAAAAGCAGTTCAAGTTCATGCACTTTTCCACGAAGTTCGGTAATTTTTTGCTCTTGTTTCTAAAAACATAAATGAAATAAAAATTATTCAACTTAATGTTTTTAAAATAGCTTAAAAATTTCAGTTTGCCCTTGGCCTTGTATCCTGATTTGTAGGGGCTGCTTATGCATTCATATCTATAAGTTACCATAGCTATCAATGATTTAATTTCTTACACATATGGTTTCTTTTTGTTCAGATGTAGCTTGGGTCTTGTGAGAAATATCTTCTTGCAGCTCAGTAACTTCCTTTTCTGTCAATGATAGCTTGGAGGAAACCTGCAATGCTTTCTTCTCCATTTCTAAAAGTACAATTTGTCATCCATTTCAGAAAGGAGATATATATTATTTACAAATATTGCAAAAAAATGCCAGCTCTCAGACTCAGTGAAAATGAACATTACCAAGAGCTCTTTCTTCAAATTTTACTGCTTTAGATTTCAACTTCTCAAATTCTTCATTAAAATGCCTTTCATTTTCAATAGACTCCTCTTGCAATTGACTAAACAAAATACAGTATATATAGTTTACACTCTCACAGAATCCTTGCTCTGCCAAGAGACCTTTGTTCTCTTGAAATGATGATTAAGATTAGTTTGATATGTGATAGAAAGGAAGACTAAAACATTTTACTGTTAGAGTGTGTGATGCATTACTTATTATACAGATTAAAGTCAGATGCAACAGCTAGTTGAATACTAAATGTAGAATGTATATATACATACTTCAGAAGGCCATTACAGTTATGAAATTTGTTGTTTAGTGCTTCCAAAGCAATCTCCAGTTCTCTTATTTTCTCATTTTTTTCCTCAACTAATACAGTCACTTCTTTATCTTTCTTTGTTATAAGGTTTTTATTTTCTCTCCGTAATTCATCATTTACAACTTTGTACCCATCTTTTATTTTTATTATCTCTTCATGATTTTGGAATAATATCTTGAACCTTCTTTCAAGTACACTGTATTTTCGTACTTGATCATGGTAATTGCACTCTGCTTCCTCTTTGACTGCAAGCAGTTCTTTCATTTCTTGTTCAATTGTTTGGGATTTAATAAGAGAGGTGTCTGCTTGTTTCTTAAGGATGCATATAAGTTCAGATTGTTGGTCAATACGATCACGCAGCATTGCATTTTCAGACGTTTCATCTTTTGATAAACTCTTTAACTTTCCCAAGTTTTCTTCAATCTCCTCTGGGAAAAATGTTGTATCCTTTGATATTAAATGATATTCATATTGGTATTATAATTCAGATATTATAAGCGATTATTCTTATTAATTCGTATTCATACCGATATATCTAGGTTTATTTATTACGGCATTGACGCAGTTCTGGCTATTTTTATTATCGCAATACAATATCGATTTATATAAAACACAAGTCAGTTCGTTGACATTCAAAATTACATTACTACTATGATTTTTACCTGACGAGCAACATTCAGAAGATGGTGTAAATCCTTGGGAGAACGCCCACCATTGTAAGAGGCCATTTTCTACACTACTTGTTCCGACATACCAAATTTAATACTTTATTTCAATTTTTTCGCTCAACTCGGCCGCCATATTGTTTTTTTTGTTTCCAGGGCAACGGAAGAATTGCAGAAAAAGAGTGGAGCCCAGTGGTTGAGAAGGTTGAGTGGTGGCCAAAGACCTCCAAGCCAAGTGAACTGAAATTAATTTTCTCAAGCCCCTCCAACACAGTTTATAAATAATAGTCTTTTTTACTCTGTCCTTGCGGCCATGCTTAATAGACACTAACCACAAGGAGCGGGGGGGGGGGGGGTTGGGGGAGAGTCCACAATCACGAGGCGCCACCATGGACCAATGACCATTTTCGGGCAATTTCAAATACTCAGTTTGAATTTAAAAACATTTTCGTTTAAAGTACTGTATTATTAAAGGGAGGGAGAAAGATATTCCGGATAAATTATTGGTATTGTTTTACTGCGCCCAATTCTTTCCTAGCCTAGTCACACCACTCCTTTCAATGCTTGTTATCATCAGAATGATCAGATATATATATTCATATTTAGATTTATATTTAGATATATACCGTTCCTCCTTTATCCAATACAAAATCGTGACGATTAATTATTCATATTTACTTTTGCACATTAATATAATCTATATTTCCGCCCTGTTTAGGACTCCCCAATCCCTGTTTGCTTTTAGTTGACAGTTCGGTTGATATGTACATGAAATATTGTACCATTTTCATTACACAAATAACTTTCTTAAGAACAAGAAGCGAATTTAATGGATGCTTATGGACTCTTGGATGATGAATCAGAACTCGTGCAGCGATATTATCGATTACCGAATCACGACGTGTTAATGTTCACACCATGCCATGAAAAATATTGGCATATCGATTTCAAACCTTGTTAACCTACAGCATTTCATACTAACACTTTAGTACACTACATATAACACTTTAGTAAAAACTTATTTGGAAGAAAAACCTGCTATGTAAGTTCTAATCCTCTTTAAGAGTTTTATTGACAATAAATAGTTTGCAGTGCATCAGATGAAAAATTCCGCTTTTGTAACCTGGTGCCAAGATAAGCAAGGCAGAGCCTTGGATTAATTTTGTTGACACAAAGGCTGCATTTGACTAGTGTACATAATCAGTATAAAGTCGATGTCAGTAAAGTCCATGTCAAGAGTTTCAAAGCTGAAGTTATCGGGTATGAATAAGCAAAAGACCTCTCCGTTCGCTCGCGAGAAAATCAAGCCGCACCATGTTCCTAAGATGTCAACAGAGGCGCAAATCGTGCTGCAAGAAATACGTTCCGTGAAAAGACAGTCGCAAGAGAGGACAGAGCTTGCTACAGAGTTGCAATACTTAGTATCTCCATTTGCGGAGAAACCCGATGAAGTACCAAATGTTCACTCAAATGCCTGGTCCAGTGTGGCTATAAATCACAGCGGAACCAATGTTCCAATGTTAAAAGACATCGATCATGAGTATCCATTTGTCTTCACTTTTCCAGGATTTGATATTAGGTACAATATGGCTGCACTCAGGCCAAGTCGAGAGTCACCACAAGAAAGGGAGAAAAAAAATTGTATACAAAGGCAGTCTATAGAAAAGTGTAAGGAATGGTTGGAAATGACTTGAGTCAATATTCATTGGAATATTCATTAGTCGAAGTGTGAAATATATTGAAATATATACGATTCAGAGAACAATATTCGCAGCCTCCGCACAACTGCAAGTGGTTTTAGACGGACCAAAAACATGACCGTTGGTGCCAGTGGTTGGTGCAGATAACCTCGTAATTGGTTGTGGTATTTCTATAGTTAATTTTTGTATCGGCACTTTGAAGTTTGAACGTGTAAATATGAGTTGGACTGGCTCAAAAGAGATACACTGTAGTACCCATAGCAACATCAACGTTGACTTATCTGTCTTGTTTTATAGCTTCTATTTATTCACAGGATTTTACCTTTAAAGCTTTACCGTGCAAAGTGACCTTTAAATTTGTTTTGCTGTTATCGGCGTTTTGCCGATTTGAATAGAAATTCGATGAGCATTTAAATCATTCACAGATAAACTTTTTCACTAGTACATGGCCCATTCATTGAAGACAGTTGAAGCGACCGGAAATTGCATATTTAGCGTCCAATATCCAGTTTCTTTGACCATATGAATCAAATTCCTATTTATGGTTGTTTTAACTGAAGTAAATTCTAACTCAAACATGAAATCCCTTCGAGTACCCAAGCTGTTGAAGGTACTATTACTCCCTCAAATATCCCTATTGATCAACAAAACATTTACGAAATGTCGCAAAACAAATTATGTAAACCAGATATAACTTTGTGTTCTTTCGGTTCCTGTTACATATTTGGATATAACCGGGCGGACAGCTGGTCGAGAGCGATCGCTTTGCCCTCTCAGCCCTTTACCCTTCTAATTGTTTAAAAACAGTTTAAGTGACATCGAAACAGGCAGCGAATGTCATGATTGATATATACTGCGAACTGAAATAAGAGTTTTAAATCGCATCATGGCGTTGACTGCAATTAAAATTGTAGAGGTACAGATCAGATAAATAGCACCAAAATTTCCCCCTTTCGCGGAAAGGTGTCACAAGGACCAAGGTACTTCACACCTATCAGCAAGAGCTTTCTCTCAATTATGCCTGATAGTTCTACAGAAATTCGTGAAAATACACTTGCTTACATTAGCCACTGCACGTCAGGCAACATGCGCAACGACACATAATTACACATTCGACACTTGCCGTAAAATTGGTTTTCCACTAGGCGGAATTTTGCGCGCGGAGTGCCGAAATTTTTCATTGTCTCCACGCTTTCATGCAGAACGTAATGTGAGAAAAACAAGAAAAATTCTGCTCCGCGCGCAAAATTCCGCCTAGTGGAAAACAGGCTTGATAATTTGTTAATAATTTGTGGTCATAATGTCAATTTTGGTCAATTTCCAAATTCGGTGAGTTATTAGCTGACGTCACAATCGTCACAATTTAAATCGCACAAGCTTTGTTAAAAAACGCGCGCGCAAATGAAGATAATTAGTTTGTTGATTACTGTGGTAGTGACTACATATGCCACCTAAAATTGTTAATAATTTCACTAAATCAGCCTTTTTTCACATAAAATTTGTGAAGTGAGAGATTTTAATGAACTACTGGATCTTCAAGCGTTATCATTGCCAAGAAACTTGATGGGACATACACCAAAATGCTACGCACCAATCTTAATATCTCATGGCGGGTGTGTATCACAAATGCAGAGGTTTGATTCTCTTTCCCGTGTATCTAATGTGGTTGGTCGTCGTCGACTGTTACTTGCTGGTCTCACAGTTCGACAAGATGATCCAGCAGGAAAAGTTCTACTCTGGTGTCCCGAAAAGAAGAGGCGTCGTGGCAGATCCCGTGTAAATGAAAATACTGTTTTGAAAAACAAACTGATCTTAAAGATGCCGATCTTCTGGCTGCAATGAAAGATCGTATTGTATGGCAAAAAATTTTGTAAGTGTTTCACCATGAACTTTGATGACAGTGGAAGAAGAAAGGAAGAAGTATAATCTTCAATTCAAATAACGACATAATGAATTTTACATGATGAAAAAAATTGTGTCTACATTTTACGAGGTAAGTTAATATAGTAAACTCTTGCGCGAACTCATTCACAAGCCCCGGAAGCCGAAAAAAATTAATGAAATGAAAAAATCAATCTTTTTTAGGTTTATCGACCATCAGCAAAAGAGCGAATTTGATATCCGTGTATGATCACACAACGATTGTGCTCTGGGGCACAAACATTGAACAAGAACTCGCAACCAAAAGGATGCAACAGATTGATGATAAGATGATTAGTGTTTTAAAAGACGGAACAACAAAGAAAAATTAACACATACAGTCAGGCAATTCATGCAATAGAGGATACAGCATGGCTATGAAAAAGCAGTTATCATTGGAGAAGAGAGCACAGATTGAGATTTTATCATAATAAGGATACTCAAAATATGGTGTTCAGTAATCACTGGCATAAAAGAAACAGACGGGCCAAAATACCGACAGGAAACGCTGTGGACAGAGCAGAGTAACAATAAAGCGGAGGACTAACACCGCGGAGATTGGTAAGACGTAGCTGCGATTCTTAATACATAGGCCAGATATAGGCTCAGTTTAAATTTGGTGAGAAAAGACTTTTTTGATACTCAACAAAGTAAGTTTCCACAAAACAAGATTTGAAGCTTGCACCCAGCACACGGCCCAAACAAATCTGAATTGATAACCTAGCTCATCATACATATGTGAGCTATGAAATGGCCATTTTGAGGCTTGTGTATAGCTCTCAGATGCATGACGAGCTGTCAAAAGATTGCGTATTCAGAACGTATTGAAATGCGTACTGAACTTTTTAAAGTTATTCAATATTTTTCTCTTTCATAGCAATACAGAAATGCACAATTGTGAACCAGTGATTAAAATTTCGGGTTGAAACTTCATAAACACCAATTTCTGCGGTGTTACTCGAAGGCAACACCATAGACACCATACCACATGCATGGACTTATGAGTGATGGTTCGTTCATCATGCCAGAAATATCGGTATATTGACTTAATTTGCTTCGTATGGACTTTTAACTTTAACTCAATTAATACCGGATGGTTTACCCTTTTTCTCTATACTTTTCATTGTTCAGTGAAGAAAGTGGTTGAAGATTGCTTATTAATGTAAAAGTGAGAAAACGGAATAGAGTATTGTGAGAGACAAGCAACAATTTCAAATGAGAGCATTAAAGATGAGAAGTACAAGGTATGTTTATCGGTTATATGTACACATTACACAAGTATATAATCGGTATATAATGTGCTTGAACTAAACAACAAAGAATTCAGTCAGGCCTTCGCAGGTATATACTTAAAAGTTAAAACTTTCTATTTTTATTTAAACGCAGGAAAAACATGTATGTATAGTACAAGCATGAACAAAAAAAGATGAGAACAAAATCACGGAAATCGAAATTTAGCATTGCTGCGTGAAGAAAACATGCATGTTCGTGTACAAAACATCTAATTAA